GAACTACCCTAGCTTCAAATCTATAATTTTATTTTTTTCAGATTAATAACACGAAAAAAGCCCATATTAAAAAGAAAAAAATTTTCAACTCCGTTAAACCTTTCTAAGTCGATAAATTTCTTCTTGTTCAATATATTCTTGAGCAGTCATTTCCTTTGGAGGAAGTTCAGGTTTCAAAAAACCATCATCAGAATAAACATTATTTGAAGAAGTACAGGGCAAATCTGACGTAGACGACGACGACAAACTTTGCCTTTTATTTGAATCTTTCATTGATTTTCGATTCTTCAAATTTTTTGTAGCATTCACAATATCATTCCTTTCTTGATTTATTCGTTGCAATTTTTTATTTATTTCTTCCATAGCCCAACCATCTATCCATTGATCTTTAAAATGTTCACCAACACGGGCTGGTCGAAATTGTCCTATACGAAGTGTTGCTTCCATTACACGTTCTTTTGCCTTGAAAATGAATTTTTAAAAAATGGAAGAATGGGTGGAGAAGTGTGTGAAGTAAGTCCTGGGAATAGGAGAGGAGGATATACAAATTCATGAAATTTTCAGAAAAGGAAATGTCCCAGACCCCTACGCCCACTAAGTCTGGGAGTATTACTGCTAGGGGCCCAAAAAACCTGCTAGGGGCCCACTAGGTCTGGGATCATTCCTTTCCCTATCCCTATTAATTTCCGCTAGTTATAATCGTTTTTCTGAAATTTAAAACAATTTATATTCCCACTAAAATAAATAAAAAATCTTGAATTCCTCGGAAAAAACCTTACATAAATTGAATTCACGTTATTACAGGTAGGGTTGAGGACCCGATCCAGGCCTGGTCCAAAAAAACTCGAAAAAGACTCGGTCGGGCCGACTCGAAAACCCCAACCCTACTCATGCAGAGGAAAAAAGAATTCACCACACAAGTTCTCCCCTAAATTAAGTCCAAAATTGAAAACTACTTCCCCTCTAAAGTTAAAAATCTCCACCTTTCCTCAAAAAATTTAATTAAAAAAACCTGTTTTCTCTTCATTCTAGACTGTTCAACCAGTAAACGTCTAATAGTTTCTTTACTAGCCCTAACTTTAATTCGTTGAACTTCTATAACTTGCTTCAATTCTGTTGTAGCTCTAACCAAATTTTCAATTTCTTTAGATTTTTTTTCGTCCTGTTTATCCGACAAATCTCCACTTTCAATTGTTTGAACAGATTTTTCAGTTTTTGAAAAATTTAAATTTGTTGAAGATGGAGGACTTAAATTTGAATCACTACCAGAATAAATACTACTTCCTCCACCAAATTTTGGATTACTATTTGATATTGGAGAGGAAAGAATGTGGATTGGAGTGGTCTAAAAATTAAGAAATTAAAAATTCTTTTAAATTAGGGGACATTTGGTCCCAATAATTTTAAATTGTTAAAGACAAGAATTTTTTCTCGGAGTTAATTAGGTTTTCTAGGCAAAAGAAAGGAACAGAATAAAATCTCTTAAATGATGGACCCTCATAATTAAAAAAAATTTTTCATTGCGGACATTTGGTCCCAAGAATTTTCGATTAACAGGGACGTCCGCTTTAGGCCGAAAAGACATATGGCCAGGTAGCTAAGGAAACTATTGCACATTAGGCGTAGCATACAAAATCCCTTATCCTATGATAGGCCAATCAGTTTTTTGGATAAACAACGAGAATGTTTTTCTAATTGTTAGGGTCAAGGAAAGCTTTAATTCTAACCAAAAAATTTATAAAAATCAAACCTGATGAGCATTAATAGAATCACTACTGAGGCTATCTCCATTTGGATAGGTGGCAATAATAGGGCGTTTTGGGCTGGTTGTTTTTATCTTTAAAATAAATCGATAAAAACTTTTAAAAAATTAAACATTCTCAAGCTTAAAAAATCTTAGGGGCAAATTAAAATAGAAGACAAGAGTCAGCTTAAAAAGAATAACCCGGAAAGTATATACATCGGTCGGAATAAGACGGGTTAACCGAAACTCAACTTTTTCTATCAAAATCCGACCGAAGAAAATTTTAAAAACCCCGACCCAGAACTCAAACCGGCTTCCCGAAATATGTAAACTTATAGTAGTTTGGACACCAAAAAAGCAAACGTGTCCCAGCAAAGAATTCAACCCGTAAAAATATTTTCCAAATGCGATCAAATGTCACCTATCTTCCAGACCCTTCTAAAACCCCAAAATCCTAAAGTGGGATCAAATGTCACCTATCTTCCAAATCCTTCTAAAACCCCAAAATCCTAAAGTGGGATCAAATGTCACCTATCTTCCAAATCCTTCTAAAACCCCAAAATCCTAAAGTGGGATCAAATGTCACCTATACCCCAAAGCCTTCTAGCTCTCTAAAAACCTAAATTAAAACAAAAAAAAACCTTGAAAGCATAGTCAGTAATCTTCCTTTCATGTTTTTGATTGTCCACAATTTTAGTTCCAACATCATTTTTAAATTCCAATCTTTTCCGTTTTCTTCCCTTTTCAACTATAGAACTTCCCACACCAACGACTTTTTCTTTTGTTGAAGTATTCAAAAATAAAATATCAACCTCCTTATCAGAATTTACACTTAAATTTGAAGATTCATTACTTGGACCATTCATTGCATTATTAACGACAATTTGTGGTTGTAAGTCTTCAGGTGAGGAATGTGTACTTGAACGGGTTGTTGTTGTTGCTGTATTTCTTTCTATTTGATGAGAATTGCTGCTGGTTACCATATGCTGAAAAAATTTGTTATAAAATTTAATGCCAAAAATTTAAAAATGATTAAAAGCCCGGCAATTATTTGGCCCATCCTCCAGTCATTTTTATGTTCAAGATGTACAAAATGGTCAAAAAATACAAAATGGTCGGAAAAAAAATATAAATTCCCGATTTCAGGAAATTCGGATCCGGCCCAAAAAACGCGGGAATTCAAGCGTTTTCGGGAATCGGGATGGCAGAATCCCTGATACGAGTAGAAAACATAGCAACCCCTCCTATCAGTGTTTTTATTGTTTTCGGAAACTTTTCTGGAGGAGTGAACCGAAAAAAATTAATTCTGCAGGGAAATCGCCTGGTGTAACTGGGGAAATCGATACCGACCTATACTCTAAAAAGTCAAAAATCTCGCCTCGTTCTCTGATTAAATTTAAATAAAAATTGGGCTCGACTTCTAGAAAGTATCGTTAGGTATATTGTTAGATGCGGATAATTGAGATTGTAATTAGAGATCGGAGCGAGACTAGAACAGAAATTTAGGTTATCAAGAATCATTATTTTGCGAGATATCAATCTCGATTCTTATATGATCGACTCTAGTTGTTAATAACGATTTAATGAACAAAGTTCAAAAAAAATGCCATAACACCCCAAAAATCAATAAGATTTGACTGACAGAAGGACGCCAAAAAATGGCGGGAACAAATCGATTATACTAAAATCTGATTTAATCGATATTAAACTCAATCTGGGACCACCAAAATAAAAAAATAAAAAAAACCCGTACAAATTGCGAAGGTAGTGTCTTGCTAGCACATGGACCCGTATTAAATCTTTGCTTTTCAATTTGAAATTGGTCAAAACGTTCGGGTTGTTGTTGATCCTCGTATTTGTTAATTAAAGATATTTGATCCGATTCTGCCATATAATCCAATTAAAACAAGTTAATCCTTTAAAAAATATATATGGGGGAGTTTTGAACTTTGTATGACCCCTTTTCTCCCCCAAAATTCTGTCAAGTACCCATCTCTGCATCTTAAGACCTATCGACCCAGTATAGCGCCTGCGGGCAGTTGTGCAGTTTCCCTCCCCACCCAAATTTTTTCCTTAATGAACAAAACGGTTAGCATTGCGGTCTAGTCCCGGAAAAGATTTATGGGAGTAAGTGAACCTAATTCGGTACTTATAGTTATCCCGAAGCAGTTTTTGCGGACATTCTATGCGGACTCATTTACGGAAAGGTCAAATGTTCTTACTTTTTCGATTTCACTCAATTCAGGCTTTAGCATTCAATGAGAGCATCAATAAAGCAAAAATTAATTTTTTGCAATGTCACCAAATCTTTTCCTTATTGATGCTCTCATTGAATGATGCCACAAGAAAAATTAAGAAAATCGAAAAAGAACCTTTGACCATTTATTCCGTACGTAAATGAGTCCGCAAAGAGTGTACGCAAAAACTACTTTGGGATAACCAATAAGTACCCCCAATTCAAATAGAAGTTAAGTAGCGCTGATTCCCCATGGTTTCCCTAAACCTTCCCACAGATTTGTGGAGAAACTGAGTTCACATACAAAGTTCAAAATTCCCCAAAATATAATATAGAACATAAAATACACGTAGCAACACAAATAAAGTAGGCAGAAATGCTTAAATTTATCGATAAATCGACTTATTTCGAGCTAGCGCGTCTAAGAAACACCAAAAATCTTAAAAAGATTAGGCCAGAAAATACAAAAAAAAATTTGTAAGATTCCCGGAAATGTCAAATTGTTAAAAAAATTAAAAAGAAAATTTGCCTATTTTCATTTTGGTAAAAAGAAGTAAAACATTACACTTTACCAAAAATAGGAGAAAATTCGCTACAAAACGTCTGTTAATTTAATTGCCCTTTCAGTGCAAACTTTGAGTGTTAAGCTATTTCGCTTCGAAAAATAATTAATTTTTACACTTTTTGTGTCTAACTATAATACTATTTTTTTCATTTTATTTCTATGTTTTGCACTATTTTTTTTACGAATTTTCCTCTAGAGTCTAGCTTTTTTGTATAACTTATTTACTATTTTTCTTTTTTTCTTCATATTTGACCAATAACACATTTTGCCAATAAGGCTAAAAATATATATTTTGTCATCTAAGGCCTTGTTGACAAAATGTAGGATTTTAGCCTTATTGGCAAAATGTGTTATTGGTCAAATATGGAGCTGACTTTTTCTTCCTTTTTTTCTTGTTTTTGTCAGTTTTTCGTCTGTTTTTTCGTTTTTTCTTTATTTTTTCTTTAATTTTCAGAAAAATGAACACAACAAATTCAATAGAAATGGGTGTTTATTCAACAATGCCAGAATCAGAAATTAACCTCGACGGCAGCGAAGAAATCATTGAAACCCAATATGGACCCATTAAAGTAATCATTTATGGCGACAAAAATGGCCTTCCTCTAGTAACTTTTCATGACATTGGAATGAATTCTGATATGAATTTTAACAATTTTTTTACTTTTTTGACGCCTTCAAAGTTGATGAAACGCTTTTGTGTTTACAATATTAATGCGCCTGGACAAGAATTTGGGGCTAGCAAATTGGCTGGGGAGTATGATTTTTAAATTTATTTTTTGTTTAAAAACGGCCTTTCTTTTTAGCTTTACTTTTCCAACTATGGAAGGACTGGCGAGCATTGTAGACGACGTTGTTTCTCATTTTGGGTATTTTTCTTTTAATTATCCTCATTTTATTAAATTTATCTTCCATAGTTGTCGTTGGTGTAGTGGGTAAGACTTCAGTCTCCACCCTTTTTGGGTCCTGGGTTCGAGTCCTTTCAATGGAATTCTTTTTAATGGGTTACTAATCAGTCAAAATTTAATTATTTTTATTAATTTACTTGCTTAAAAATACCTAAAATATTTTTGAGTTTATTTTATTGATTTTTGTGACTTTTTGGATTATGGGAACAGAAATGGCCTTCCTCTAATGCCTCTCACATCAGTTGATTAGATTACTGGGAGGAATTGAGGAAGAAAGCCTGACTGTTATTTACATTTAAAAAATTGATATGAGACTCAAATTAGGAGAGGAGAGGGAGGTGGGGTAATATTGAACCTGACAGACTCCCTTTTTTCCTCCCCAAGTTTTACCCTATAATTTCACAGAATGGTCAAACTTTTTTCTTTCTCCCATCCCAATTGCCGTTCTACAAATCCTACAATCAATTAAAAACATAACAGTTTTTCCTTGCTTCCTTCCCAATTGCCAAAAGTTGTAGAAAGACAATTTGGAATGGAAGAAAAGAAAAAGTCTGTCCATTCTGTAAGAATATAAGGGAAAAACTGGGGAGGAAAAAAGGGGGTCTGTCATGTTCAATATTACCGGAGGTGGTTTTTCATAGACCTTTCCCCTCTTTTCCCTTTTTTCCTCTTAATTTTATTTTTTAAGGATAAAATCCTTCATTGGACTTGGATCTGGTGCCGGTACGAATGTATTGATGCGATATGCTGTATTTTATTTTTAATTTTGACTTACTTTCTCTCCTCATTTTTAGACAAAACATCCATCTATTGTTGATGCACTAGTTTTAATTAATCCAATTTCTCAAAAGGCAGGGTGGATTGAATGGTTTTACCAAAAGGTTTTTTTTAATTTAATGTGGACTTGCAACACACCCAATACTAAATAAACTCTTAAATATTTTGAAATTTGTTTGGCCATCGGGACGAGGAGCTGCCCAATCGATGCCCCCTATTTAGTATACCCCTCGGTATTAGAGATCGTGATTTTTGAAAAGCTTGGGCCTGTTCTTAGGCTTTGGGTTTGATTTATTGGCCTGGGCTCTTGGTACAGGAAAACCCAGACCCAGGAAAAACCCAGGAAGGTCAAAAATGCCTGGGCTCTAGGGACAAGAAAACCCAGACCGATCTCTACTCGGTATAAGATACTCACTATAAGGAACTCCCAGTATTAAATACACCTCTCTATTTAAGCTACACTTTTAAAGCTGGGTTGGTCACAATTTGAGGGAGCTACCTAATAGTGATGTTCGAGACTCTCGGTCTCGACTCTCGAGTCGAGAAATTTCTCGGGTTTTTTGAGCTCTCGGTCTCGGTCTCGGTGTTTTGGTCTCGGAAAACGAGACTAAATTTACACCCCTAATGACGGAAATTTTTTGAACTTTACTCGGACCTTGCGTACTTTGATATTAAAATTTTTAAGGAAAAGTCTCCAAAATTCCCAAAATTTTGCCTGCGGCGCTGAAAAATGGAAGAAATCTGGCTTCTTGAGCTCCAAAATTCTCAAAATTTTCGCCTGCGGCGCTGAAAATGGAGGAAATTTGGCTTCTTGAGCTCCAAAATTCAAAAAATTTTCGCCTGCGGCGCCAAAAATGCAGCAAAAATTTGAATTTAATAAGATTAAAGGATTAGATTTTGTGGTTTGTGGTATATTAGATACTGTGGATTCTGAAGGATAAAATTTAATATCAAGGGATGGGTGCATCGATGGATCAAAAAGATATTGTTGGATTTGTAGGGATATGGAAGGATATGAGGGGATTTTAAGAGATTAATGTGAATATCATTGAATATATATTGTGGACAAGTGGATTCAAGCGAGTATGGGGATTTTGAGGTATATCAAGGGATTTTTGGGGATTAGGAGGGACATCAAGTGATATCCCTCTTAATCTCTCGGTCTCGACTCTCGGTCTCGACTCTCGACTCTCGTTTTGGTCTCGGTCTCGGGGTTGATTCTCGGTCTCGACTCTCGACTCTCGGGATTTTTTGACTCTCGAACATCACTACTACCTAAGCGATACCTTCTATTTAGGATACCCTTTTATTGCAGATCAGTTGAGGGGAATAACCGAGGGTGTATTTACAATAGAGGTCTAATTTTAATTTTATATTTTTTTAAATTTCAAGTTAAATTTAAATAATCTTCGAAATGGGAAGATGTCTCAATTTACTGTGGATTATTTTATGTGGCACTTTTTTGGAAGGTAATCCGAAAAAAAATTTTTCAAAAAAAATATTTTTTAGACGCATTGAAGACTGCAATCAGGACTCGTTAAAGCTTTACAAATCTTATTTTTATTATCATCAAAAGCCTTGGAATCTCGCTCTTTTTGTGGAGTCATTTTTAAAGTATGTAGAAAAAATTTTTCGTGACTTTTCGTTTATCTGCAAAATTTTTGCGGATAATCCGCAAAAAAACCTTTTTTCGAATTTTGTCCGCAAAATTTTTTGCGGATTCCGCAAATTTTTTAAAATTTAAATTTTAGTCGAGATGAAATCAATTTACTCAATTTATCAAAAATCCCAACCCTTGTAATTGTTGGAAATAATTCTGCATTTATTGATGAATCTGTTTATTTCAATTCGCAATTAGACCCGAAAATGACTGAATGGTTAAAGGTTTTTTTTTATTTTTAAAAATTTATTGGGAGGGTAATTATTTTATGGGGGGGGGGCGTTTTCTAAATTTTTATCCAAGAATAAGACAATTTATAATGATTTGTCCGCAACTTTAAAAAATCCGCAAATTTTTTATTTTTGTCCGCAAAATGTTTTAATTCGAATCGATGAATGTTTTTTAAGTAGTGTCTCTGGGGGGTCGTTAGATGTCAATAGGAGAAATTTTAAAGATTTTTAGGGAAATTTCAGAGATTTTTGGGGACATGTCCACAAATTAAATTTGGGTAAGATTAAAAAAATTTTTTTAAAGGTTTCCGACAGTTCTGGATTAGTTTTGGAAGACAGACCTGCAGAAGTTGTCCAAGCCTTTCTTTTATTTATTCAAGGACAAGGATTGTGTAAGGAAATTATTTTTTTTTTGATTTCGACTTTTGTCCGCAAGTTTAAAATTGTCCGCAAAAAATTTTTTTGTCCGCAAATTTTTTGCGGACAATTTTTTTGTCCGCAAATTTTTTTGCGGACAAATTTTTTGTCCGCAAATTTTTTGCGGACAAAAAAATTTTAAAATTCTTCAAAAAAATTTATTTCAAGGTTATGATTTGGACATTAACAAAATTGTGTCTTCTTTAAAAGGCGAAATGCAAAGCATAAATAAACCGAATAATCGAATTTTGACTATGGAAAAAGTGGATGAATTTAATAATTAATTTTTTGATTCTTTCAAGAGCTTTTAACAGTTCATGTATATTTTTTAAATTTTTTTCCTACTTAAAAAAATTTTTTTTGACAATTAAATAAATTTTAAAATTATTGCTTTGACAAATATTCTGAAAATTTTATATGTTGTCCGTATAATTCTCATATCTTTATATAATTATTTTTATATCTTTCGAAAGGTCTCGAGAGACTGGACATCTTTCTCATAATTGGCCCGATCTGATCATCAAAAAAAGTTAAAGCCTGAAAATTTATTTTTTTTTCTGCTTGTGACGACGTTTATCAGTGATAACTTTTTATAGAATGATCAGATCTAGTCAGTCCAATTAGGAAAAAAATGCAGCACCCCGTGGCCTAGCATCATATTTATTTATTTTTTAGTTTGAAAAAAATTTTTTAAAGAGCTTTATTCAAATGGACGCGTCTTTTGATCAATTTGGAGGTTATGGATGGGGAGAACAATCTGGAGGAGGTGGAGGTGGACAAGATTTTAACATTCCGACACCATTTCAAAAAAGCCACATAACTGATAAAATTCCAATCCCAGCAATTGTTGAAGATTTGTTGACAATGTCTAATGATGAGGAAAAGTATGTGATTGGTGGATATTCGTTCAATACGGTTTGTTTAAATTTTAAAAGGTTTTGGGGAGTTTGGTGTAGTGGGTTCCATTTTGGTTTTAGAGAGGGGGGGGGGGGGGGTTGTGGTTCGAATCCGGGCGGGGTAATCTCTTTTTTAGGAGGTTTAACTGGTATAAAGTCGTTTGGGGCCTTCTAAAGCCAATGGAATTTTCAGTTAGAAATTTTGTCAGGTCTGGTTTAGTTGGGTGGTTTTTGGCGTTGAGGGGTTGTGGTTCGAACCCGGTCTGGGTAATCTCTCTTTTATAGGAGTTTAACTGGCTATAAAGTCGTTGTGGCCTCTAAAGGCAATGGAATTTTCAGTTTAAAATTTTGTCGGGTCTGGTTTAGTTGGGTAGTTTTTGGATAACAGATTTGAGGGGGTGTGGTTCGAACCCCGTTTGCGTTTTTATTTTATTAAAGTGCGAATTATTTCGCGATTAATAAGTTCAGAGAAAAATTTGTAAAATTTTGTACAAGTTTTTTGAAAATATGGTGTAGTTGGTCCGCTTTAGGTTCTAATTATGAGGGGTCGTGGTTCGAACCCCTTTGGGGGAAATATTTTTTAAAGGTTAAGTCAAATGTTTAATCGGCTAAAAGAAGTCTTTTAGCCTTCTAAAATTTGTTAAAAAAATTTTTTTAAACGTTTTTAAGGTCAAAATTATGGGCAGGATTGTGAGTGTGTTTACCGATTCAAATCAATGTACTACCTACGAAATCTGTGACGGAATGGCTGGTGATCAACGCGTAGCTAAACGTTTTACGGTTATTCGTTATGGAGGAACTGATTTGGTTATTTTTTTAATTTTTCTTTTTTTTTTTAAATTTTGAGAAAGTTGTAAAATTCTGTCATGTCCCGAACTCAATTTATGCCGTGCTTACATAAAAAGCGTCTTGCGTTTTGCGGAAGAAAATAGCATTGAAAATAAAGAGACGCGATTTTGTCTCTCCTTCTTTTGAATGCTATTTTCTTCCGCAAAACGCAAGACGCTTTTTATGTAAGCACGGCATTAGAAAGAAAATCTATCATTTGGAGTTTCTCTACGAGCTGGGTGTGAGTCGAGCGACACCAAAATTAAGCCCCGGTTTTATTTAAGGATCTGAAATGCCTGGGTATATAACTTTTCCCAATTAGTAATGAACCCGGCTGAACTCTAACTAAAAATTTGTAAATAAATGTTGTCATTCGAGGACTGCTTGTTGATGTCCTCCCCTTTCGATTGACGTAATGGTTGTTTGAAACAAGTCCGAGACACATGACAGAATTTTCCCAACAAAATATTTTCAATTTTTAGCAACCAAATATGGAGCAAGTCTTTTCTGAGGGTCAGACAGTTCAGGCTGTTGGAAAACTTCGATTGGTTCATTTTTAATTAAACAATTTTTTAAGTTTATTTTTTTAAGTTCAATAACCGCCTTAGTCTTGTCAGTTTTCACATTCGGGATGTTTCGATGGAAGAAGTTGAAATTTATAAAATGGAGTGTAAACTTGCTAAATATTACTTTTCGAAGGTTTGAAGAAAAAAATTTTTGTTGAAGGGTTTTTTAGGGTTTGGGATTAAATATGTTTGTTATTTAGGTATTATTCCAAAATTACAAAAATCTTCACGATAAGCTCTCACAACATTGACCGGGATCAACACAAAAAGTCGAATCCTAGGAGGTCAAATGACACAGAACGTTAGGTCCCTATTTGTCAAGTTACCCATTAGATCAAATCCAAATATTTGGGAGATAAAGAAGGAGTTATGGGTGTTAAGGGGAATATGGATGGATTTGAGCGGATTAAGATGGGTTTGATAGTCTTAAGCAGGATTAAGGGACACAACACGGAAATTCTTTGTAAGGTTAAAGAAAGCAGGCTTATTACAACTATTTAAAAAGGTCAAAGTTTTTGACTTTATAAATTTTCCAACAGAATTTACCTGAAAATTCCCACGGATTAGAAAATACAATTTTCCGCAATGCACAAACATTGCCCCGTCCAGGAATATCTTCTCAAGCAACAACTCCAGGTCGTTCAACTACAAATATGTCAACTTCAATCACTCCAAACCGTCAACAACCATCAAAACAATCAAATCAATATGCCAATTTATCACAACAACAAGCCAAGGTTTTTTTAAATTTGGTTGAAGGAAATTTTTTTTTCAATTTTAGATAATGGATTTTATCAAACGTTTTGGAGATGCAAATAAAGGTTTGAAAAAAATTTTTGGGGGATTTTAAAAAAATTTTCCGGTTAGTAATCTGAGGTGAATTCTGTGTTGTCTTATCCATGTCTCTTTCCCCCCTTCCCTTCCCTTCCCTCCCTCCCACCTCCCTCTCCTCTTTACTCTTCCTCTCTCCTCTCCTTCTCCCCTCTACTCTTCTTTCCCCCTCCTCTCCTCGTGTTTTCTTGTCCTTATCTCCTGCCCCACTTCCCCTTTCCCCTTCCTTCTCTTCCCTCTCTCTCTCCTCTCTCCCCTCTACTCTTCCTATCTCCTTCTCTTCCCCTTCCTTTCCTCTTTCACCTCCCTCCTTTCCTCTCCCCCCCCTCCCTTCTCTCACGCCTAACTTGGAATGTTAGTGATTTTAAGTTTCAGTTATGGGATATTTCTCTGTTCCTAAAAATCTTCCAAGTTTGGATAACTTTTTGGCACGGCCAAAAAATCACTTTTTTCCCCAGTCCCCTCCCCAAATTTTTCCTTTCCCCGTTTCAGGGGAGGAGGAAATTGGTGATATATTCTAAAAATTAAAAGAATTAAAAAAAATTTTTTAAGATGGATCAGGCGTTCATGTAGAACAAATCCGTTCGTCAATTAAACCTGGACAAGATTTTATGAGTGATATACAATTTTTGTTGGATGAAGGAAAAATTTATACAACTTTGGATGATGACCATTTTTCGATTATTGATGAATGTTGAGGAATTTTTTTGGGAAGAAAAAGTTTTTTTGAATTTATTTAAGAGAGGGAATCTCTCTATTTTAATTTATTTATTTTTGAAGGATTTAAATTTGGAAACAAAATTTTTTTTTTGATTTTTTTGAAAGGATCTGTTTTTCCTTAATATTTTTTATATTTTTTTCACATCAAATTTTTAATTTAAAATTGTGGCTTATGTTAACTAGGGTTGGGCGGGATCGGTATCCCGATCGTTTGGGATTATTCGATTTTTTTAATCCCGATCCCGATTTTTCTGATCCCGAGACCGAAAGATAAGTCCTTATCCCGATTTAGGCCACTTCCTTTCCCGCAGTCCGTATTGGAATCATTATTCCAAAATCCTGATCCAGATTTTGTATCGAAATCCCGATACTGCCCAACTAATGTTAACCAATAATCAAATTAGAGGGCTATTTTCTAATCCTTTCCTGTCCCTTTTCCCAATCATTTTTAGAAATACTCGGGGGTTTAAGGGTTTGCGGAATCACAGGGTTTCCGTAAAAATTTTTGGCGCACAGTCCTGCTTGGGATCGAGGCCAGGGGTGAGCGTATTGTGTTTTTCACGATTGCCTTCTGCGCTCACCCCTGATCTGGACAATTTTCCAGTCACAATTTTATTATGTTCTATTCAAAATCCCTTTTAAAAATTTTTTTTCAGGTCCCTTCCAATTAAAAAAATTTTTTTCTTCAATTTTTAATGGAAGAGGACAATGCTAACGACATAATAAAATGGTTATTTAAAGACAAAACACAGGCTGACTGTAAAGGAATTGTTGAAATGAGTGGGGATGGAGCGAGGAAGACGAAATGGGAGGTTTTTAATTTTTTTGTTTTTTTTTTTTGAAATTTTCTTAAAATTTTGGAAATTTTTTTTTGAAATTTCCGAAAATTTTTTGAAAATTTTTTAAAAATTTTTTTGAAAATTTTTTTCTGAAAAATTTTTAAAAATTTTTTGAAAATTTTTTAAAAATTTTTTTGAAAATTTTTTTCTGAAAAATTTTTAAAAATTTTTTGAAAATTTTCTTGAAAATTTTTAAAAATTTTTGAAAATTTTTTTGGAAATTTTTTTCAAAATTTTTTTTCAAAAAAATTTTTTTAAAGGCAAGACTGAAAGGAAACTTGCTGGCCTTGGAAGCTGTTGATTTTACGGCAGAGCCAATTCTGTTTGTCTGTGAAAAACTTGAATTTTGGCCTTCAAATAAATCACAAAATGGATTGAGTTTAAGACAAAACAGCAAAGAATTTTTGATGGAATTTGTTGGGGGAGATTGTGTGGATAAATGGGCAATGCAGGTTTTGTAATTTTTTGGGATCTTTAGGAGGGGAGTTATGTTTTAAGTCTTCTAGGGTTATTCCCTGGATATGGGCCAAGCCCGTAACCAAAAGGGAATTTTTGGCACCGAAGCAGGGGGACCATTCGGGGCTAAAAAAATTTTCCTCCTTGACCCCTAGCCGGAAAAAATTTCTGTCTAACAATAAGAGGCTGATCTAGACTCCCGTCTGGGCTCATCTGGCTCATCTCTCACTCATTTTGGCTCACCCCATCCGATCAGTTTTTCCGTCTCTTTTTGATCAATAATTTCAATTTTACTCCACAAATAGTTTTCATTTATTTTTTTCTAGTTGGGAGTATGTTCTCACAGAGTTACCCAGGCTGAATATGAACAAGTTTTTTTTTATTAATTTTTTATTTTTAAAATTAAATTTTTTCTAGGCTCTTTTTTCGCATTATTCTCACGATTCTTCCAAAACTGGATGTTCTCCTCCCTCCCCGTTCAGTTCTTTTCTTCTTTCTCAATTAGCAAAGGAACAAACTTTCAATCTTTTCCAGGTTTTTTAAAAGATTTTTGACTTGATTTGTTGGGTGTCCTATCAAGGGCGTAGCCAGAGGGCGATTTCAGGGGGCTAGAATGGGGTGTGCGCCGAAATTTTGAACGCAAACTTTCTCACGATATTTTTCCCATTTCAGGTGTGCTATATCTATAGCCCCAGAAGCCACCCTTCTTACGCCCTTGTGTCCTATAGTCCTTCCTATGGATGCCCAGCCTTTCTAATTTTTCTAATTATTGTAAGATAGAAGGGGAATCCTTGACTCCCATTTATAAACGCTTCTAAGGCTGGGGTTTAAGATCCATGAAGGAAAGGGAAAAAGCAGGTCCCCGCAGCCGCCCGCTCACATCAGTCTGTTTCACAATCAGCTCGTACCTGGTGAACGAAGCAATAACTGACAGGAGCTTATGGAAAGTGGAGAAATAGTGTGGAAAATTAAGAGAGTTTTCTCTAACCTCTCCACTTCCACTTAAATTTAAAAAATTTTTTAATTTTTCTAGTCAGCAAACATTCCAAACAAAAAAGTTGTATTAAAAGAAGCAATGTACGAGACAAGACTTTCATTTTTAATACCTCAAGAAATGATTAAATTATCGTTAAAATGGACAAGTGAAATGCGTGATGAATTACTGGATAAACTTTGGGGAATTAAAAATTCAACAATGTTGGATACTTTACATATGTTTGTTAGACATTTGAATTCTAATATTGAGGTTTCTTTTGTTTTTTATAAAAAAAAATTTTCAAAAAAATTTTTTTGAGGGGTTTTATGGGGGTGGGACAAAATGTCATCTCTACTCTAGAGTTAAATAATTTTATGGCTGAAATGGTCAAAATAATTTTAGACAGACGTAATTATTGGTGAGCTCCTAACCCACACATAGTTTCTGGTCTGAATGGGCACATGACCGTTTCGTTCGCAAAACTAGTCCGCAAAACTTGTCCGCAAATTTTGTCCGCAAAACTTGTCCGCATTTTTTGATTTTAATTTTGACATATCTCTTTTAGCTTTGAGTTATTATTTATTTTTAAATTGTTTTTTTAGATCCACACACAGGCATCAGAATTTTTAGAAAATTATTTGGGACCTTCTTTCCGACCTTCAGTAGAAAAATATCGTCTCTCATTTCTTCACGTTCCAACAAATTTACATGTACAAATGTTTTATATAGACAGTAAAAATGTTGGAAATTTTGTAACCTCAGGTTTATTTTTAAAAAATTTTTTAAATTTTTTTAAAATTTTTAAGGAGCATTAACAGCAATGCCTTTGCGTTATTCTAATGGAGGAATGTTTAATTTAAGGTTTTTTTTTTAATTTTTTTTTGAATTAAATGAAATCTGGTTTGCTTGTTTAAATGAACAGGGTCTATTCCAAATTGTCTTTTTTGTTGAATTGACTCTTGGGATTAGGGTTGGTCCCCGACGGGGGCACGGGCAAAGTTTTCGGGGAGGCAGCACCACGGGGGAGGGACGTGAAAATTTTTAATTTTTTACGGGGGGGGGGGTGGGGGGGGCAACCCTATTTGGGGCCTATTAAAATTCGTAAAAAAAAATTTTAAATGTTCAAACACTTCAAAAAATTTTTGTTAATTTTACTTCAATTTTAGAAATAAATTTCTATCCAACTTAACACCCCAAGCAATTGACCAAACAGATGAAGGACGTTTTTATAGACGAAAACAGACCTTAATTAAATTAAAAAGAATGATTGGAGAATTAAGTAGAAGAATTGATATTGAATGGAAAATAAATGAAAAGGGAGTTAATAGTGCTGATAAAATTGTTGTTGGAATTTTCGCTGAGTCTAAACAGGTTTTTTTTAATTTTTTTTTGGGTTTTTGGGAACAAGGGTAATAATACTTTGTAACACAGCAACTTAACCGCCCCAAAGGATGCCTTCTTATTTTTTTTCTTTCTGTTTCCTTGAATTATCACCTTTTAAGTATCGTTGTTGGGTTGGAAAAGGAACCGAATTCAGTTCCTGATAGGGATGTCAAGGGTGAGAAAAAAAAGTCAGGGTTTCTGGGTAACCTGTGACATGCCTGATCCGGATATTCAAAGATTCCCCAAGCACATACAATCCTACTCTTAAGCCTTTTAATTAATTGAGAGGATGATTGTCGGTTCTTGTAAAATCTTAGGTTATCCGAAAAGAAAATTTCCTGATATCCGGTCTTTTTGGGATCCGGATATAAGGATCCCCTCCAACCTTAGATAGTCTTCTTACAGGCTTAAGAAGCCTATTAAAAATTAATTTTAATTTTTTTGCTTCGAAAAATTTCAGATTCACGAAATGCTTCTGGATTTAATCAATTCTTTCCCAAATATTTCTAATCTTGTTGATGCTTTAAGTGAAGGTGGATTAGCCCAACTACAACGAAAAAATGCGGATTCAGTCCCACGAGACACTCTGTCAAGTCAATTAGATTTATTAGAAGCACATTTTGTTTCATTAAATTCAAAAATGGCTGCAGCAGAAAAATTGGATGTTAAAAATGAAGAAAAGAAGAAATCTTGTGAAGAAAATATTAAATTATCATTTCATTCTACTTTGGATAGTTTACACCATTTGGGTTGGATTTTTAAAATTTTTAAAAATTTTTAAAAATTTTTATGACTTAAAAAAATTTTTTTAATGCATTTTTAAGTAGTTGTTTCAAGTTTTAGATTTAATTTGGAAAAGTTGAAGCAAACTTTTTAAACTTGAAACAAACCAGAATTATAATAAAACTTGGTGAAAAAATAAATCAGAACAATAATAAACCTAGCAAAACTTAAGCTTAATCTTAAAAACAATAAAACTTAAGTTTGTGTAATAGTTTCCGTAAAAATCAGAATTATTTAAATGTTTTTCCGGAAAAAGTTTAATCTCCGTTCTGATTTGTTTTAGTATTTTTTTCCGGAAAATATTATTATAATTTTTAAAAATAGTTTCCGGAAATAGAATTATTTTTCCGGAAAAAGTTTAATTTCCGGAAAAAAGTTTAAATTCCGGTTGAGTTGTAATTTCTGATTTGCTTCAACTTTCTTTTAGCTTTTCTGCAAAGATTCTGGTTTATAATTTTTGTTTTTTAAGCATTAAGTATCGAATCAGCACAAATGTTATCATTAATTCAATGCCTTAGAAACAAAAATGATTGCCAAACTTTTTTTCATTTGCAATTGAGACATGATGCTCTTCTTTCGCAAGTGATTAGAAACTTGAAACATTTTTTGAGAAACTTGAAACATTTTTAAAGTTTACAGCTGTTTTCCGGAAAAGTTTATTCTCCGGAAAGTACATGAAACGTATTTTTAAAGACTTCAGAATTTAATAAAAGTTTCCGGAAAGATTCTAAATATTCAAGAGTTTCTGAAATTCGCTTCCGGATAAGTTTTCAGAATTAAAGCTTATTTTCCGGAAAAAGTTTATTTTCCGGAAAAAAGTTTATTTTCCGGAAAAAGTTTATTTTTCCGGAAAAAGTTTATTTTTCCGGAAAAAGTTTATTTTCCGGAAAAAGTTTATTTACCGGAAAGTATATATTTCTATAGTTTCCGGAAAAATCAGAATTATTTAATAATTTTTCGGAAAAGGTTTAATTCATTATTTTCAGAGTTATGTATTTTCCGGAAAAGTTTCAGTAAACAGAATTAATTTACCCCTTGTTTCTAATTAATTTAAAGGCAATAACATTAGCAACAACTTCACTTCTTTTATTAATTTATTCTTCAAAAAATTTAATTAATTTAAATTATTCAAAAACAAATGTAACACCTTTATTAATTAATTTTTCTTTTTTGAGTTGTTATGGGGATGAACATGGAATGGTTTGTTTGGAAATTTTAAAGGAAATTTTTTTTAATTAGATTGAAGATGCTTTTGATATGTGGCAATTATTCCATGATGTGGCCCAGTTTCGATTTATTCCAACAAATTCATCGGTATGTTGAGAAACATGTTTCAGACATCGAAAAACGTTGGAAATGAAAGCTTCAGAGAAAGTTGAAGCATGCTTTATTGAATCTAAAACATGCTTCATTAAATGTGAATCATGCTTCGCTAAATCTAAAGATGTTTCATTAGGCCTGAAGCATGTTTCATTAAATTTGAAACACGATTCATTGATTTTGAAGCATTTCACTCCGTAACAGTAATCTGAAACATGCTTCATTAAATCAGAAGCACGTTTCACCAACTTTGTAGCATTTTTCTCTAAATCAGAAGCATGTTTCATTAAACTTGAAACATGTTTCTATCGAATTTGAAGCATGTTTCATCGAATCTGAAACATGCTTCATTAAGCATGAAGCATTAACTCTGAAGCATGTTTAACTAACTATGATCGAGTTTTTCTTTTTTTCTTTTCCAGATTATCCAAACATGTTTTCCACAAATTGAAGGATTTCGAACAAATATAAAAATTTCAATACCTTTACCTTCCGAAAAAATTGTAGAATTACCCAAAGGAATGTCAAAAGGTGAATGGTTTTGTCCAAAAATTATTTACTTGAATTTGGGTGTAAATCATGAAGCATCATTAGCAGCAAGTTCTGTTGGTGGGGGAAATAATTCTTTAGAAGAAATGATTAATAGAACAGCATTGAAACAACTAGATGAATATATTTCTATTTTATTGTTAACTTCAAGTATGGATTTAAATTGTGTTGAAGCAGTTAATAGATTAATGGGTGATCTTAGAGAAACGGTAAGAGTTGAAGAAAGAGAGAGTTTTTGAGTAGATTGAAGCTTTATAGATTAGAAACTATGCTTCAAATTTTTTTGAAAATGTTTCAAATTTATCTGAAGCAATGTTTCAGCTTTCCTAGAAGCAAGTTTCAGAATTTTTTAAACATGAAGCATGCTTCATATTTTTTCAGACATTAAACATGCTTGTGAAACATGTTTCAAATTTATTTGTAATATGTTTCAGATTATTAAACACGAAACATGTTTCAAATTTATCTGAAGCATGCTTTAGCTTTTTAGAAGCAAGTTTCAAAATTTTTTAAACATGAAGCATGTTTCATATTTTTTCAGACATTAAACATGTTTGTGAAACATGTTTCAGATTTTCTGAAACATGTTTCAGATTTTATTGGAGCAAGTTTAAATTTGCTTGAAACATGCTTCTGATTATTTTAAACTTGCTTCAGATTTTTGAAGCAAGTTTCAGATATCCAGACGCTTCATATTTTTTGAAACATTTCGAATTTTTGAAGCTTTTCACATTTTAATTTAAATAATTTTTTTCTATTTTTCAAGGTTTCAGTAAATGCTTCAAAAAAGAATTTGACAATATTTAAGCTTGTAATGGAAATTAATCGAATTTTGTCTGGTATTTCTATTTTATCCTGTCAAAGTGGAAAGGATCGGACTTCAATGGCTTTGACTTTAGAGGAGGGGAGGATTTTGAAGGAAACTTGTGGAATTTCTAATCAACAGGTAAATAGAGGCTAGTTGAATGAGATTTTAAAAGTTGCAAGAATTCACAAAAGACCAAAAAGTTGTAAAATGGTCAAAAGGCTAAAAAAATGTTAAAATGTCCTTTTTATTGTAGCTCAAGTCGAGTATCTTAGACTGTAAATGATCCTATGGATGTTTCAATTAAATTTGAAACATGCTTCAGTTTTTTTGAAGCATACTTCCGTTTTTTGAAACATGCTTCAGACTTTTTGAAACATGTTTCAGACTTTTTGAAGCATGCTTCAGTTTTTTTGAAGCATGCTTCAGTTTTTTTTGAAGCATGCTTCAGACTTTTTGAAACATGCTTCAGACTTTATGAAGCATGCTTCAGTTTTTTTGAAGCAAATTTTTTTTAGAAAGTAGCAACTCAGTAGCTCAGAGCTCACCTCAGCCCGTAATTCGTGGTGAGCGAAAGAGCTTAGCAATTAACTGACATAAGAACTGGGAATGAATGCCTGCCTAGGGCTAACCCTTCCCCTCTCTTTTATTACTTGCTTCACTTTTTTCAAAAAATTTTTTTCTTCTTTTAGATGATGGAAATAATTTCATGTTTACGCAAAGAAGGTGTTAGACGTGAAAATTGTCGTAAAAATGTTGGAAAGCCTCTATACAAATTTAGCCCTTTTCAAATGAATTTTTTACCAAAAGAATTTAGACCTCCTATGGGTACTTTTACTAATTTTGTTTCTACTTAGAAGAAAGAGAATAATTATTTTTAAATTTTTATAAAATTTTTTTAAATTTCAGACTTTAATAAAATTTGTTAGAATATAAAAATTAATTTTTGAGAGTATTTTTCAATGGGTTTTTAGCAATTTTCTTTGATCAGATTTAACTTTTTCTTGTGTACCTACAGGCCCAAAGAGAAAGATGAGTCCCAATTATCAACCGAAAAATCTTGGTGCAACCTATTTTAGGTTGCAAAAACGCCAAAATAGGTTCAAATAGGTCAAAATAACTCCCCGTAAACAAAAGATTTTCAAGAAAAAACAACGGATTTGAGCACAATTCATCAGGACTATTTCGCAGAAAAAATAGGTTACAACCTAAAAATTCGATCCCTAGTCATCAGGCGATCAAAATTTTACGTCCCAGAGAAACTCGATAGGCCAGGCTTCTTCCGCGGCATTAAAAACTTGCTGAATAACTTTAAATTTCAGCTTAAAAGTTTTCTATTATCGTTGAGATTTTCTATTATTTTTGGGATTTTTTGGGTGACCATTTCATAAATAAACAGTCCGCAAAAATGGGGGTAGGGATAACCGGCAAGTACCAAAACCAACTTATGGTTTAGTAAATTCTGTCCTCAAACCCGCAAAATTGGAAAAGCCACAAACGTGAATTTTGCCCGCAAATTTTTCTAATTTTGTCCGTAAACTTGAAGAAATCTGCAAAAAATTATTTTTTAAGATTTATAAGTGAGGAATTAAAAAAATAAAAAAATCAAAATCCATTACAACTTCAAATAATTAAATTATTTTTGAGGTTCTTCTTGAATTTTTTCTTGAGGTTTTTCCACTTCCAATGCCTCTCCAGTTGACTCCCCCGGTGCCAATAAACGTCCAACCAACGGATATTTGACTTTAAAAAATTTTTTTCAGTCAAAAAATTCAAAAAAATTACAAGAAAGTCGTTGTTCCCATTCTTTGGCCTCTTCTAAATCGTCTGCAGTCATTCCTGTGTGGTCATCATATTCGTCTTTGACCAGTTTAATATTCATTGTACCCAGGGCGCGTGTAGCGTCGTGACCGGCGAGTGCTGAAAGATAAAGATGGGTGAGAGGAAAGGATAGGGGGGGGGGGGTGGATTGATTGAGGGGGCACTGAGGGGTGACGGATTCGGAAACGGTCCAGATACCTGAAAGTTTTCGGTTCGGATATCGAATCCGGATATCCAAAGATGACCCAAAATCCGCCAAGCATAAACCAAAAAATAGAATTTATGGAAATTTTTCAGAAATTCTGAAATTCCAGAATTTGAAAAAAAATCTGAAAAATTTCAGAATTTTTCGGAATTTCTGAAAATTTGGATTACTTACTCTACAGATCGACACCCAACAGATTATAATCTTTTAAAATTGAAAAGTTACCTCCATAAGCTCCTTGTGGACCATAAAAATCCTTTCCTCTTGTAACATCATAAATCTGTAAATAATTTATATTCAGGGTTAATAAAAGGAGAATGGGTACCAAGATATCAGAAACCAGAATTTTTGAAAATTTCTGATTTTTCAGAATCAGAATTCTGAAAAAAATTCTGATTTCTTCTGAAAAGAAATCAGAATTTTTTTCAGAATTTCCGAAAGATTTTGATTTTTCAGAATCAGAATTTTTGAAAATATTCTGATTTTCTTCTGAAAATAAATCAGATTTTTTTTCAGAATTTCTGAAAAAAATTCTGATTTCCTCCCCTCAACTATCTCCAATAAAAGAAACCTACATTTCCATTCAGAGCCATGTAAATCCGTTCATTTTCCACCCCATTGTAACCTTTAAGTTCTTCAACAGTCATATCCCTCTTTTCCACTTGGTAAACCTTTTCTTGTGTTGGGGGTTCGATTACTGGGTGTTTTTTGAAGAATAATTTATAAACAACATAAATGAAGAGAATGAGCAATACAACATCTGAATTTTAAAAAAATTAGAAAAATCAGAATTTCTGATTTTTGAAAAATTCTGACTTCTGAAAAAATTCTGGTTTTCAGAAAGAAAACCAGAATTTCTGAAAATTCTGACCTTCAAAAATTAGAATTTCTGATTTTTGAAAATTCTGATTTTTTAAAAATTCTGATTCTGATTTGTGAAAAAATTCTGATTTTCAAAAAATAATTTTACAAAATTCTGATTTCTGAAAATTGTTATTCTGATTTCTAAGAATCAAAATTAACGAAAAATTCTGATTCTTAAATTTTAAAAACCCGAATTTCTGAAAAATTAACTTCTGGAAGTTTCGATTCTTCAGAATCAGAATTTCCGAAAAATTCTGATTTGCAAAAATCAGAATTTCTGATTTCAGGAAATTATGGGTTCTCAGAATCAGAATTGAAAATTCTGATTTCCCAAATTTCAGAATTTCTGAAAAATTCTGATTTTATTTATTTTTAAAAGTCAACCTGTAGCTGTGACTTCAAATAATCCTGCAATAACCGTCATTTTAAAAATACTTTATTTAATTAAAGGCAAGACTGTTAAAAAATAAAATTAATAAATTAAAAAAGAAAAAAATAAATATTGATTAAATACACATGTAATTAATTAACATGTATAGACAAGTAAATAATTTTTGACTGCAGTCATCTTTATCAGAAAGCGTAATAAATTTAAAATGAAACAGAAAAAAAAATAAAATCAGAATTCTGAAAAAATAATTTTTAAAATGTTCATCAGAATTAAAAAAAAATCAGAAATTTTGAAAGTATCAGAAAAATCAGAACAAAAATCAGAATTCCGAAAAAACCAGAATATCAGAAAAATCAGAATTTTGGTAAAAATCAGAATTTTGAAAAATCAGAATTTTGGTAAAAATCAGAATTCTGAAAAATCAGAATTTTGAAAAATCAGAGTAGAAATCAGAATTCTGAAAAAGATCAGAATATCAAAGATATCAGAAATCAGAATTATGAAAATCAGAATTTTATAAAATATCAGAAACCCCAAAATTCTGGTAAAAATAATTTTAAAAAGTGTCCATCAGAATTTTTAAAATTTCAGAATTTTTAAAAAATCAGAATTATTTTAACAATCAGAATTTTTCTAATCAGAACATTTTAAAACCATCAGAAATCAGAAAAAAATATAAATTAACAATTCAACAAAAAATATTTAATTTATTCCCTAACACTTTCTCCTCCTCCTTCTCCCTCCTCCTCCCCTTCTTCCCCAGACATTAACAAATCTTCCAAAAGACCATCCAAATCAACATCTTCAACAGCCCCCTCAATTCTATCAAAAAATTCCCCATTTTTAAAGCACACAATTGTTGGGATTGAAGTAACTTCAAACTGTTCGGCTAGGGAACTTGCCCCTCCCTCCACGTTGATTTTTGCTAATAAAATCTTTAAATAAGGGGGTATTATTTATATTTTGTTTAAATTGGACAGACCTTTCCGCCCTGTCCAGTTACTTTTGCTTCAAGTCTGGGTGCAAAGCTTTGGCAAGGACCACACCTTAAAAAAAATTGTTCTAAAATTCTGGTTTTTCAGAAATTCTGGTTTGTTTAGAAATTCTGGTCCGTTCTGAAATTGTTCTGAAATTCTGATTTTTGAGAAATTCTGATTTTTTCAGAAATTCTGATTTTATGATTTCTCTGAAATTCTGATTCTGAAATTCTGATTTTAATTCTGATTTTGGAATTCTGGTTTATTCATAAATTCTGATTTGTTTTGAAATTCTGATTTTTCAGAAATTCTGATTTTTCTTTGTAAGGCAGAGAAAGAGAGAAGATCCAGCTGGCTAGCATTTAAAACGCTGACTGCGGGGGTTTAAGATCTAATAAAAGAGAAGGTGAAAGCAGCGTCCCGGTAGCTCAGTTGGTAGAGCACCTGTACGTGGTGAGCGAAAGCGCCTAGCAATAACTGCCAGGAGGTCGCAGGATCGAAGCCTGCCCGGGATTAAACTTTTACCTCGCTCTTACTTCTTAAATTCTGATTCTGAAATTCTGATATTGTTCTGAAATTCTGATTTTTCGAAATTCTGGTATTCTGATTTTATTTTAAAATACCAATCGGCGTGAAAACAGGCAATCACTGGCTTTTCTGAGTTAAGTATGAGCTCGTCAAAACCATCGTCAGAGTCAACATCAAAAATTGTTTGTTGCTCCGATTGAGCAGTAAAATGACGTAGTGGAAGAACCTGAAAGCTAGTATGTGCTTAAATTCTGATTTTTTGAATTAAGATTTTTCACATTCTGATTTTGATCTGATTTCATAATTCTGATTTTATTCTGATTTTGAAAATTCTGATTTAAAAAATTTTGATTTTATTCTGATTTTCAAAATCAGAATTTAAATTCTGGTTTTGTTCTGATATCGTAAATTCTGATTCTAAAATTCTGATTTTATTCTGATTGTTCTGATTTTCAAAATCAGAATTTAAATTCTGATTTTTAAAATTCTGATTTTATTTTTATTTTTTAATTCTGATTTTTATTCTGATTCCAAATAATTCCCCCCATTAACTACCTCAAAACGTCTCAAACTCCAATAATTAACAGATTGAGTAGGCAAATAACAATTATATTTCTGCATTAATAAAGGCATTTTTGTTGTTTGTCCAAATAAAGTGGTAACAGAAGAAACTGTCCTTTTAACAAAATTAGAGCAACGAATATTTAACATTTTTTCTGAAAAAAATTTTTTTTTTTAATTTTAAAAAATAAAATTAAGGTAAAAAAAAAAGTAAAATTTATCCTTTAAAAGGAGAGAATCTTCAAGTTTATTCTTCAAATATTTATTTTTAAATTTTTTAATCAGTAGAAATGGGCAAGATAAGCAGAAAAAAAAGAGGAAAATTCTGATTTATTCTGAGAGAAATTCTGGTTTTTTAAATTCTGATTTTGTTGTGAAAAAATTTTTTAATCATCAACAGGGGTAGACAGAAAGAAAAAAAAATAAAGTTTTAACGGATCAAAGAAAGGCAGAGATCGGATAAAGAATAAATAGAGAGGGTATCTCTTGCCCATTCCTTTTAAAAAAATCAAAAAATGATTAGGTTGATTATTCGGTAATAGTTTGGAATTCGCCCCCCTTTTTTTCCTTTCTATTTTTTCCTGGTTTCTTTTAATTTTATGGCTAATTATAATTTTTTTATGGCTAATATTAATTTTATGGCTAATTATATATCATTCGTAAGAGCTCTTCAAGCTGAGTCGAATGACATTAAAATCAACGAAATCTGACTTAAGTGAACAAAGTTGTGATCGTTTATTTTATCCACTTGCATTGACACAAAAAGTCTTCCCAATAAGGATTTAGCCTCAGAATTTTGGTAAAAATAATCAGATCTAGCCAATTATGGTATCATTCGACCAAACTCGAAGAGCTCTTTTTATCAAATAAAAAAAAAGCTCAAAATGGTCAGGGAAATATGAAAACAGAGGGGCGAATTCCAAACTATTACCGATTATTCTAAACACTTTTTATTTAAAAAACTAAAATAAGAAAGAAAAAATTCAAAAATTATCTAAAAATATTTTTAAGGCTTTTTAGAGTATTTTATTTTGGAAAAAAAAAATATTTTTTTTTCGTTGGCAGCCTCTGTAAAAATTTTTTTTTAATTTTCTTCCACATTTTCTTCTTCCTCCTCCTCCCTCCAATTAATTTTATTTATTTTAGCCAAATGTTCTTTTTTTGAACACAATTTTGAAATTTCTTTCATTTTTATCATTTTTTCTTCTTTTTTAATTTTTTGCCAAAATGAAAGAAGTAAATTTGAATATAGAGGTAACCTCATATATTTTAAATAATTTAATTTTGTTGAAGGATAAACCAATTCAAATTCACCAATTCGAGTTAATTCGTCTTCAAATTCAACTGAAAAAATTAAAAAAAATTTTAGATTATATCTAGGGAGTAGAGATCAGCCTGGGTCTGAACCAAGTCCTGGGTTTTTCCTGTACCCAGAGTCCAGGCCCAGGCATTTTTTGACCTTCCTAGGGTTTTCCCGGCTACAGCCCTGGAAGGCGGCCAAGGCAACAAATCAAACTTCAAGCCCAGGAACAGGTCCAGGCTTCTCAAAAATCCGATCTCTACTAGGGAGGACAACAGGTTTTTTGGATATCACCGGGTTTCAACACACGATTTTCATTTCCGGGTTTGGTTAATATAGTTGTTCGGACCGTAGTACTAAGGCCAGATTTTTCGATATTTATTGGTATTACAGTCGGTATTACGATATGGAATACGGTGAAACAGAAGGGCGTAGCCGGGAGCTGAAATTGAGGAAAAATAGGAAAATGATGCTCAAAAAGGTAAAAAAAATTTTAGCCTATATCCGTGAAAATTAAAAAAAATTTCCGCCTGCGCCCCACCCCCGAAATCACCCCGTGGCTACGCCACTGTAAAATATTTTAGATTAAAATTATCTAAAGATATTTTTAAGACATATATAAGGCCTTTTTAAGGCTTATATCGAAAAATTCGGTTTAGAGTGTGTGAGGCAGGGTTGCCGCGGGTAAAAAAAATCTTCGGGTACGGGTTTCGGGTTGGAGCGTTTTCATTTCGGGTCACAAGTTTCAAGTTGGCAAATATATCGGGTCGGGTTTCGGGCGGCAACCCTGGTGTGAGGTAAAATCTTTAAAGGGCGGGTTAAATAAGTGGAAGTGTAAGGGAAACCCGAAACAACTTTAATAAAGGACTACCAAAAATTCCCCATTTAATTTTTAAAAAATACCCCTTACTTAAAATTCGTAAATCAGAACCAGTCAGAACATCACAAATATCTTCACGAATTTCCTTTAAATAAATTTTTTAATTAATTTTTTATAGATCAAAAAACCTTATTTTCACTAAAATATTCCAAATGAGTCGCTTCTTTTTCCAAATGTTCTTCATCTTTGTGAGCCTTCAAATTTCTTGTAAGGAAGTAAAGAGAGGAAAAGAAGTCTTCATCTTCATTGCTAAAAATATAAATATTTTAGAAAATCGGATTTAATTGTGAGTGTCAGAAGAGAGACAATATGTCCCAAAAAATATTTTTGACCCAAATGGTCTGAATGGGTCTGCCCCAAATCTAAAAAAATAATTTTTCCAGAATTTTTAAAAATTGTCCCAAATGAGACCTAAATTTAAAAAAAATTTGCGAAATTTTTCAAAAATTGACCCAAACGAGCATAACCCAATAAAAAAAATAATTCCAGCAAAATTTCTAAAATTGGTCCAAACGTGGCCAACCCAAACAAAAAAATAATTTTCCAAAAAAATTTTCAAAAATTGACCCAAATGGTCACAACCACATTTAAAAATTTCAAGAAAATTTTCTAAAATTTCCCAAGTGAGTTGACACAAATTTAAGAATAAAAATATAAAAGTTACAACCTTACTGGAAACGGAATTCCAGCCAAAATAAGCGTGTCTTTTGCTAGTGGGGCTTTTACTGCAATATCCAAAGGTGTTGAAGAATGAAGAGAAGGGCTTATATTCATCTCAATTAGCCAAGGGCGTAAATTGCTATCAACTAAATTTTAAAAAGAAAATAAAAAAATATTATAAAAAATAACCGAGAATATCCATTCCATAAAGCTCATAACTAAAAACAAAATTTTTACGTGCCAAAAAAAACAATTAAGTTGCTTAAGTGAACAAGCCCTGAATACTAGAGATCGAGATTTTTGAAAAGCCTGGACCTGTTCCTGGACTCTGTGGTTTGATTTATTGATCCTAGGCCTGTACTTCATGAAAAACCCAGGAAAGTCAAAAGATGTCAGTGCCTGGACTCTGGGTACAGGAAAAACCCAAGCATTGGTCCAGGCCCAGCTCGATCTCTATTATATACGTCCTTGTTATGGGATCCAAAAATTTGTTTGAAAACCAGTAACCGAGGCGGACTGGATCCGACCGGACTTTTTAAGGGTCCGAGTTCCAAACCCAGGGTTTTTCCGTGATCTTCAGATTTTCCAGGATTAATCAGAGAAATCTGGCCGGACACTACTTTAGCCTCGAATCCAAATCAAAAAAAGATTTAATCCAACGGCCGGGGGCCTTCTAAGGCTATACCCCCCTGAAATGGGGAAAAGGGAAGACACCCCATTTTAGCTCTCCTGAAATCGACCCCTGGCTACGTCCTTGTCCACCTGCCATTATTTAAATCCAAAAATGAGAGTGGGAAAAGGGTCCTATAATAGTTACTTTCCTTAAAAATACCTATTCCCTACAAAAAATATTAAAAAAAAACCTGATAAACGGATATTTACAATGATGAGCTGCATGCGCTCTAATATGGCTTTCACAAGAAATAATAGCCTTTATAGCAATTTTGTGTATTTCCTCTTTTAAATTGTTTGAATTATGCCCCAATTTATCCAAATATTTCCAAAATTGAGTCAATTTCCATTTCGGAACTACAAATTGTTGTTCCCCTCCATCCTCTGTTTGTGTTGAACTACTTGAAGAAACAGCCAATTTATTTATTGAATAATTTGTTAAATGCATAAATTGATTTGTAAATGAAGAAATTTCTGGGTTGTAAGAAACACTTGCAAAACTTGAAAATTTTTAAAAAATATTCGAAACTTTAAAAAAATTTCCAGGAATTTCAAAAATCAGTAAAAAATTGCAGAGATGGGAGGGGTTAGAGAAAGTTCAGAGATTGTCGGAGTGAGAAAGAAAGTCAAATCGGAGTTCGAATTGACTTTTCAAAATTTTCTTTAGATCGAAAATGATAAGGTAAAAAAAAAGTCAGGGTTTCAGTTAACCCTATCCATCCCTAAAGTGGTAAAGGAATCAATGAGGAAAAAAAAATGATTTTTTGGTCAGATTTGTTAGTAAAACATTTTTGACAAAATAAACAAATAGCTAAAAATAAAAAAAAACAAATAAAAAAAAAATAAAAAATCACTTCACTTATAAAATTAATAAAATGATTTGCGGACAAAACTTGCGGACTTTTGGAAAAATAAAGGACCGATTTTTCTATTGATTAAAAAAGCCAAAAAATCCTCGTTATCCCTTTTCATATGTGATACACCCATCAAAATACCATTCCCTCTACAAAAAATGCTTCCAAGCCTTCCCACAAAAAAATATTCCCCCCAAAAAAAACTAACCGAACTAATCCTTCCTTGTAAACATAAATACGCAAAGGGTCATAACTTGTAACATACACATAAATTCTCAAATCAAATTTTGAATCATTTATTAAAAAAGGGCTTTCAATGTAACTGAAATTTTAAAATTTTATAAAAAATTCAAAAAAAAAATTAAACTGTTGGGCAACCAAAGAAGTTTTTTCAGGCACCATACTAACACGTGAAACGATGTTAATTCCTGTTCCTCTAGCTGAAGCTGGCTAAAAAAATAAATAAAATTGGAAGGTTGAATTTAATAGGAAGCCAACAGGGATTAGCCTGGGCCTGTTCCTGGACTTTGGGTTTGCTTTATTGACCTAAGCATGTAGTCCAGGAAAACCCAGGGAGGTCGCAAATGCCTGGGCCTGGACTCTGGGTACAGGAAAAACCCAGGCCTTGGTACCAGTTTAATCCTAAAACGTATTTCTACCAACAAGTCTGAAACTCGACACCAGAAGATCCTAATCCCTTCAAGCCAAAATCCAAAACCAAATCCGAAAATTTGGGAAAACCGATCCAAAAGCATGACCCGATTTTTTCTCATCTCAGGACATCCATGGATCGGACTAGGGTAGCACTCCGTCCCCAGAAACCCCGACTGCTTTTTGGCAAACCCCGAACTGAACCCCGAAGGCTCTACCCCGGCAAAGCCCGAAACCGACACTCCCGCCCACGAAGGCTCGAGGTGCTACCCTAGTTCGGATCATAACCCAGAGGTTTAAAATAAGTTTCTCGCCAGAAAGTTGGCACAAAACGAGAGACCAAAAAAATTAAAAAAAACTTGAAAAATTTACAGGTTTCAGAATAACGTGTCGAACAGCAGCCTTCATTGACAAGTAAACCCTGAGCCTTTTAATGTCTTTAGGCAAAATATAAGTATAAGGCATTATGCAAAATTCGTCATCTGGAAAGCGCTGCATCATGTCAAATAAGTGTAACCAAAGTCGGTCTTTACGTCCAAGATGGAAGGCGCCGGGGAAGTGATTGACCTGGAAATTTTTGGTTGAATGAGTGGAAAGATGACATAAAGAATAAAAACTAGGATTGTCGAGGGATCAACCCAGAAGGTTGAAACCCAAAGGTCAACTGACCTCTTCTGTCAAACTAACCCGTTCTGGGTCAGTTGACCTCTAGGGTGTTGGATTCTGTGTTTTGACTATCTGGGGTGGATTTTTGTGTTACCAAAGAGAGTACTTTTGAACTTTCCGGAACAGTTAAAGGCAAAAACTAGGATCGTTGGGACCGATTATTAACTAGTTAACCTAGTTTTCAGTTCCGGTTAACCAACAGCTAACAACCCTGACTTTTACCCAATAATAAGTCCCAGTTAAATAAATCAAAGAATTGTTCCAAGAAAAAACTAAAGTCTGGACCAAAGGGTTTTTCCTGTACCCAAAGTCCAGGCCCAAGCATTTTTTACCTTCCTGGGTCTCTCCTGGAATATAGGCCAATGATCCGGCCCAGGTCAATAAATCAAACCCCACTCCATTAACAGGCCCAGGCTTTTTAAAAATCTCGATCTCTAAAAAACCACAAACTTTTTGACAAGGCTTTAAAGTTTGATACTGGGCTGATTTTAAATGTCTTCCCCAATATCCAAACCAAAATTGATCCTCTTCGACTAATTTGAAATGGCTTGCGAGTAAACTAGAAAATAATAGAAACTAAATAGAAAAATTGAAGAAAAAAACCTGTGACGTACAACCAAAGCTAATAATGAATTGTTGCACCAGGTAAGTTGTTGAGTATAATTATGAGGTTTTTTGACTTAAAATTAACTTATTTTATTTTTGCGGACAGGGGAAATTTGCGGACAGGATTTTCAACATTTTTTTAAATTTTGCGGATATCCAGAAAACTTGCGGACGAATTTTTTGAGCCGTTTTCTTGCTTTTGCGAAAGTCAAGAGACTTGCGGACAGACAAAGCAAATTTGCGGATAGGGTTTAAAATGTTTTCAACTATTGCGGACGGACAGGAAATTTGCGGACAGGATTTTCAACCCCTTTCAAATTTTTGCGGACAGACATAACAAACTTGCGGACAGACAAAAAAAGCTTGCGGATAGACTTTTAATGCGTTTTCAATTTTGCGGACAAACAAGAAACTTGCGGACAGATTTTTGCGGATATCTATACTTCTTCAACCTCCCTCAAAAATTTGTCCGCAAGTTTTATGTTTATCCGCAAAAAATAAAAAAACAAAAGAAAAAAACCTTTAGTTCCCTTAACATAAAAGAGTATCGTTGGAGGCACATTATCAAAAAGACTAGCACGAAGGAAAGGTTGAACATCGTTAGATTGTGAAAATAAATATTTAAAATCAGTTGTTTCGTCAAATTTTAGATTTGTAGACTTTGATGATTTTGTAGAAGTTAATGAAGTCATTTTATTCAAAATTACATACAGGCTAAAGAAAAAATGATTAAAATCGTCAAGATAAAAATAGGTGGGGGCTAACTCGAGGAATTCCAAATCACGGTTTTGGTGATTCAGTGAATTGTCCGTTCCGTGAATTGTCCGTTCCGTGAATTGTCCGTTCCGTGAATTGTCCGTTCCGTGGATTGCCGTTCAGTGAATTGTCCGTTCTGTGACTTGTCCGTTCCATGAGTTGTCGGTTCGTGAACTGACGTCGAGCAAAATTAGAACGGATAATTCACGGAATGACCAAAACCAGCACGACACGGATAAAAATTAGGAAAATTAACGGAAAGACTTGTGTCGATTTGTCAAATTATTCCCTTCTTGACATTTTTACATTTTCTTCTCTTTTTAACACTTTGACATTCTCCATGTTAATTCTGCGTTATTTCAAAATTTATTTTTCTCTGCTCTCCTTCTCTTTTCAACTTTAAAGTTCTCATCTTTACTCTTTACTCTATTCTGCCAAATCCATATTTTGCCAATAAGGCTAAAAATTTACATTTTGCCAACACAACCTTTTGACAAAATGTAAGTTTTTAGCCTTATTGGCAAAATATGGTTTTGACAGAATATGTGACACGAATCTCTGAATCCTTAATGAAGCGGATTCTTTTGATTTGAAAATCAAAGTCTCAACCTTTAAGCCCATCTTTTCTTCTTCTCCCTCTTTTCTGAAAACACCCTTTCTTGCCCTTCAAATCTTCCCCAAATAAATTCATTTAAGCATTTGTTGATGATCATTTCTCCACAGCTTTATTCACCTCCTAACACCAACAAAGCCTTTAGGCTTCGATTGCTTTCCTTTCTCTTCACTTTGGCCATCAAGGCAATAATGTAGTTTGCTTGCTGCTGCTGTTGTTGATATCCCCTCATCACTTTCTTCTTCTTCTTTTTGCCTGCCACAGAGCTACTTTCTTTCTCTACCCTTTCCATCTATGTCCACACATTTCGCCAATACCACATTTTGCCAATACGGCTAAAATTCCTCATTTTGCCAACAGTCTTATTGGCAAAACATGCATTTTTAGTCTTATTGGCAAAATGTGTTATTGGTAAAATATGTGGGAGCCCTCTCCATCATGAGGACCACCACCAACAAACTCATGTGTGTCAGTAGACGACGAGCAGTTCTTTCTTTTTCCTTTTCCCCCTTCCTTTCTTCCTTCTTTTTGCCCGTTGTCATCAGCGCCTCCATCCATCGAGCGACGACGACATTGTCGGCCTTGCTCGACAGCCACCACCACACCAAACGAGAAGAACTCTTTCCTCTCTCCCAGCTGCTGCTAAAAATATAGCCTTCTTCCTTTCATTTGCCTTGTGCTTTCCTTCTCCCATTTTTGCCTTCATCATCAACAACGACAGCAGCCAACCAACATATAAACGCTCAACAGCAACAGCCTTTCTGTGCTGCCTTTCTTCTCCAACACACAACAGCTAGCAAGTAGTCCTCCACCTCCAACCAACCAACCATTTTCTACTTCTACCAAAAACTACATAGACATTTATATATTGCTGCTTGCCACTCTCCTCCATCTTTTCTAGAAGAAAAAAATTTTTTTTCTTCAACAACGACAAGGTTTCTGGTTGGTATTTTACCTTGTTTTTATTGTGTGGGACAATCAGGGGGGTTTCTATAGGAGAAATAACCTCTTGAGCGTTTGGCAGTTCCAAAACCATTCCAACTCTTTCCTTCAATAGGGCAATTTACTAGCCCAAGACCCAGTGGCCATAGGTCCCGAAATCAGTCGGTTAACTGTTCGGACGTTGAAATACCCCGATATGTCCAGATTTCCTTTTTACCTTCACAAAAGGCACTTTTCGAGTCTCTCTCAATTTCCCTTATTTTTCAGATTTTCTTTTAAAAAATGAAAACTTGTCAAATTTGTCCCAGTCAGGGACTTGAGGCTACTCACTTTGAAAACGGAAAACAATTGCGAGAACACTTGATTGAGGCAAATTTTTAATTTTTTCTTAAAATGACAAAATATCCCACTTTTCTAGAATCACTCAAAAATCGTCGCCCAAACTTTTTTAACGCCCAAAGTCAACGACAAAATACATTTATGGCTTTTGGTGAGTTAAAAAAATTTTTTTTAGAAAATTTTTTAAAAATTTATTTGAACAGGCCAGCGTGGATTATTCAACACAGTCCACTTCAAATGGCACAAATGACATTCAAGCAAATAAGGTGAAGTTTTAATTAATTTTGTGTAAAGTCCAAAAGATCACCGCTAAATTGCTGCTTTTTCTAGTGGTGATCTTTTGGGTAGGCAAAGATAAATAAAGGGATTTCCAAAAGATCACCACTACGATGCTTCTTTTTCTGGTGGTGATCTTTTGGGTAGGGAGTGATTTTTCTGTTTTTGTATTTTTGATATCTGGGGTAAGTGATCTTTTGGGTGATGGGCATCTTTATGATTTCCAAATTTCTAAAAATTTTCCAAGTTTTTTTTAATTACGAAAAAAATATTTTTTCAGCAAAATACTAAATTATTCACTGTCGAAAACACCAAAACCAAAGACCAACAGAATGGTGACGCGTTAATGCTACTCAAAGGCTTCTTGGAATCCGTTGCTGAAAATAATGATGGTGGAGAGCAGGAAAAACAATTTTGTGAGGAGGAAAGAGGGGAGGAAGAAATGAAAGAAGAGGTGACTGAGGAGGTGAATGAGGAGGTAGAAGAAGAAGGGAAACGAGAAGAAGAACAGCCAACCACTTCTAGCAATATTTTAGTTGCTAGTGGAGAAGAGGAACAACAGCAGCAGGCAACTGACGAGGTAAAAAAAATTTTTTCTCATTTTTGAGAATACGATGGCTTCCTTCCTCAGTCAGAGGATTCCATTTAAAAAATAAAAATGACCAAAATGGTCAGTGGCAATTAGGTGATTGACCAAATTACCGGTGACTAAATGTCAACGATCAAATGTCACTGACCATTTTGGTGGCATTTGGTCATTGACATTCTGTCACATCCAACTTCGGGGTACTGTTTTAAAATTAAAAAGACCAAAACGGTCAGTGTCAATTGGTCGGTGACAATTGGTCAGTGATATTTGATAATTGACAGTTGGTCGCCTACCATTTGGCCGGGGACTCAAAATATCCATAATTTCGCTATTTTCAGCTTGATTTCTTCGCTCCCCTCAAATCCCTGCTACTTTCTTCAACGTTAGATTCAGCCCAAGGAAGTGGCACCTCCACACCTTCACGTGCTGCAGTTGTGGATTCTAAAGCTATAAGAAAAGCGCATTGTCAAGTAAATTTAAGGCTAAACTGCACTTTACCGGGGGATTTTAGATTTTTATGATTTATATGTCATTCGAAAGAGCTCATCAAGCTGAGTTGAATGACACTAAAATTAGTCCGCGGACTCAACTACGAGCCGAGTTACAGGTCCCTAAAGTTCGAAAAACCATAGGGGGGACCAAGCACTTTTTTTGGGGGTGAAAAATTCGAATATGCAAATTATACCTCATTCGAAAGAGCTCGTCGAGCTGAGTCAAATGACACCAAAATCAATGAAATCTGACTTGATTTGACAAAGTTATGATCTTTTATTTTAGCTCCTTACCTATGGCATCTGGGGAGATTTTTGCTGCTACTGAGGCCCCAAATACGTCCAGAGCAAGGGATTTAGGAATAGGTTTATGTTACGAGCCCAGACCCAGCGCCCGTAGACTCCCCGCGAGGCGCGTGCCGCAAAACCCCGCGCGAAGCGCGGGGTTTTGCACAAGCGCCTCGCCGACGCTCCATAGGGTTAGGTTTTTTGTTTTTTGTGTCATAACTTTGTGAAATCTTGTTTAATTACTGTGATTTTGGTGTCATTCGACTCAGCTCGACGAGAGCTTTCAAATGAGTTATAATTTGCATATTCAAATTTTTCACCCCGAAAATCAGCTTGGTCCCCCCTATGGTTTTTCGATTTTTGGGGACCCATATCTCGGCCCACAGTTGAGTCCGCGGGCTAATTTTGGTGCCGTTCGACTCAGCTCGCCGAGCTCTTTCGAATGACATATAAATTGTTCAAATCTAAAATCCCCCGGTAAAGTGCAGTTAGGCCAAATTTAATTTAATGAGGAGAGAATTTTTTTCTAATTTTTAGGTATGCGATTTGGATATATGTTCTACTGCACGTCAACGGCATGTATATATGGTGCATTTGAAGAAGAAGGTTTTTATTTTATTTTGACTTTTGCTTGTGTAGTTCCGTCTGGGTGTAGGGTGGGTGTTGGGTTCGAGCCTTCTTGCTTCGATTTTTATAGATTTTTTGACACGACACAGGTCATTTTTACTTATTTTTTCTCGAAATTTTCTATTCTTGAAATTTTTTCGACCCTTAAGCATGAGCGTAAATAATGGTGTGGTCGAGTGGTAACGATTCTGCCTGGCTGGGGGGAGGGGTTGATGGTTCGAGTCCTCTTGCCTCCTTTTTCTTTATACAAGTCTACAAATTTGTTTTTTTGACATGCAATTCATCTTTGACCATTTTAGAAATTTTCTAGAATTTTTTTAGCCTTAAATAAAAAATTTTAATTCATAGCTTCTTATTTCTAGGACCTATTTAAATGCAGATTATGTGAATATACAAATTCAAATTCATTATGGGAAGTTCAGAAACACACACGGATGCAGCATTGTATTTTTTTATTATTAAAAAATTTATTTAATTGTTATTTTTAGCTTCCGATATAAGGCCTATCAGCCAGGAAGAGAAACACAAACTGGAAATACAGGTTAATTTTTTTGTTCAGGTTTTGGATTAGAATTAAGATTGGCGGAGTTTTTGGGATCGAGAGTCCGTTTTTCTTTTGACTTCTGGACAATGTGTCAGTGGGTAATAGGTCTGTGGAGAGATATAAAGAGATTTGAAGTTTTAAGTAACAGAGATTTGAAGGAATTTTGAGGGATTTGGAAGGTTAATTTGGGGGTTAGGAGGGATATCGGGGAGATTCTTAGGATTAAGAAAGATATAAGGGATTTGGGGATATCGAGTATTTTAGTGGATAAAAGTGGATTTGGAGGGATATAGTCTAATTTGAGGGATTACTCCTGAATCGCTGACCGATAGCCCGCTGACACATTTTCCTCTTACACTTTGTCCGGGCACGTTTCCATTTATTTTTTAAAACCTAATTTCTATTCAGATGTGGGGTCATCTTTGCTTTCCCGAATGGAAACAAAAGCCTCAAAAAAGAAAATATCAAACAGAGGAGGAATTGACTGAGGTAAAGGAGGAAGACAGAAAAGAAGAGGTGTTTCAAAAACGAAAAATGAAAAAGGAGGAAAAATTGGAAGAGCCTGAGGAAGACAAGGAGGAAGAAGATGATGGAGGGAGAGCATCCACAACAACTACAAGTGCTGGGGGAGGGGATGGAGAAGGAAGCAGTAATGATGTAAATGATCGTTTGTGTCATCTTTGCATGTTTGTTTTGAATTTTTTTGGATTTTTAAAAATGAAATTTATTAGGGAGGAATCAAAATACCCTGGAAGACATATTGCTCAACGCCATTTAAATCAACCTCTCTATGAATGCCCTGTTTGTTTTAAATTTGGAAGTTATGAAAGTTGCACTGTTGTAAAGGTTTTAGTTTTCTACTGTTTAGACGTTATGCCACGAGTTACCCGGACTTTTTTCCGTTCCGAAGTCCGATTCTGCTTTTTTTTCAATCCGTGACATCCTTGGTTTGGGAGGGAAAATAGGGCCAAACGCGTAATTAGGGGTTTAATATCTCTAAAAGTAGGCTATAATCGGGAAAACCTATGAAATATGGATGTCTGAAAGGTTACTAAGTGAGCTCCCACCCATAAGGTTGACTATAAAATCTAAAGGAAAGTAGGGAAACAACTTAATCAGTTGATTTAATTTGTGTGTTCGATCAGCCTAATGCGCGATCAAGGGATCGTCGATTTTCATAAGGGCTGAGAGCCTCTTTCCTTTGCCTTCATTCGCTCCACATCTATTCTTAAATAGGCCGGTCCCATTTATTTAACTTATTGTTAGTTTTGACTTTCACAGGTCCTGAATCCACTTCCTTTATTCTTCCCCCTCCTTCCCCCTCTTATTCTCCCCCAAATTTTAAAATATCTTTTTCTAGCACATTAAAAAAGTACACCCAGAAGCTTCGGATTTCACACCAATAAGTAATTTGGAAAAATATGCTGATCAGATTCGTGATTTACAGGTTCTTTAATTCCAAAATTTCTCTAAAAAATTTTTTTCTTTAAAGGCTCGGTGTTTTCCCAACAGACAAATGAAGCTAGTTCGCCCTCTAAACGCTGTAGGAAAAAGCAGGCCGCGTGAACGGCATCATTGTGGAATGTGTGGGGCCGATGTAGCTCAATCCGATAGGCAAAGACATGTTTATCACAAACATTTGAGGAAGGGGAAGGTTTTGAAATTTCTCTAAAAAATCAGAATTTTAAATAAAAAAATTTTTTTTTCAAAGATTTTTGAATGCCCACTATGCGAGTTCTCTTCAAATTATGACATACATAGAGTCAAATGGCATATAAAGTAAGGAGGATAATTTAATTAAATAGTTTTTCTGAAAATTCAGGGTTCTGGTTTAATTTTGAAAAACCAGAATTTTTAAATAAATTCTGGAAAAAATCAGAACCTACAGAAATTAAGAAAAAAAGTCAGAAATTTTGGAAGAACTTAAAATCTTTAAATATGAGCTGTAAAAATCGGAATTAAATACTGTTTTTTGGTAAATTTTTAAAAATCAGAAAAATTCTGACAAAATCAGAACCTTCAGAAAAAACAGAATTTACCTTGAATTCTGCGAAAAATCAGAATTTCTGAATAAATTCTGGTGGAAAAAATCAGAACTTTGGAAAAAATCAGAAATTCTGATTTCATTAAAAATCAGAATTTTGGAAAAAAATCAGAACTTTCAGAAAAAAATCAGAATTTAGCTTGAATTCTGCGAAAAATCAGAATTTCTGAATAAATTCTGGTAGGAAAAAAGCCAAAACCTTGGAAAAATCAGAAATTCTGATTTTATTAAAAATCAGAATTTCTGATTTTTTCCGAAGGTTCTGGTTTTTTTCTAGTTTTTCTTGTTTTTCTATTTTTAACAAAATCAGAATTTCTAAACCCCCTTAGACCATTCCCATTTCCCCCTCTATATTTTCTCTTCTTTCCAGATGGGACCACAAAGATTTTGTAGCCAACAACAACGGTTCTTCCCCCCTCGAACCAATATCACACGAAGCACGTTTTCGGGATGAAATTGATGCAACAAATGAAAAATGTTTTCCTGGTTGGCAACGTAAAAGGCATATTTCTTCTCCAGAAAGCGAAGATTTTAAGGAAGAGAAGGGAGGAAATGAAGAAAAAATTGAGGGGGAGGAAGAGGCGACAGACTTTGAATTAATGCAAAAAGCATTAAAAACTATGGCTGAACTTTTTCAACAACAAAAAGGGCAGGAAGGGAAAGGAGGTGGAAATAATTTGATTCCGGAATCTTCTAATGCTTTGGATTGGACTTGTAGGGTAAAGAAATTTTTTTTTTGAAATTTTTTTGAGTTAAATAATTAGGAGGGAGGGATAAAATCGTATGTGTGGGTATAATTTGGGACTTGCTTTCTCATTTCAAAAATTTTTCCTTCAATTGTTTTTCGAAGGCTGACGACTTGTGGGATTGATATTCCAATTAGAGTTGTCGGTTCTGAACTCGGATTTAACCGATATAATGAATTATTTATAAGATCCCCGATTCAGAACCGACCCGAATTAGTTGGGATTTTTCTGTCTAGGATACTCAAAAATTTTCAAAGAACTGATAATCCTACTCCCAATTTTACTGTTTTCCTCCTTGGGATGGCGTAAGTTACTTATATTTTGCATGTCTTTCTGGATGAAAACGTACACTTTTAAATTTTTCTCAATAAATTTTCTCTCTTTTTTTTCAGCTTTGCTGGGTAGCTCTCAGACCAGGCACAAACTTGTTAAGGCACGTAGCTAAAGACCATTTGAATTTGCCACTCTATCAGTGCCCTATTTGTGAAAATCATGGGGCCCATAGTGCTTATGAAGGTTTTTTTAAATTTTACTACTAAAAATAAGAAGTCTTCACTTATCTTTTGTCTCTTACCGGGTTTTTTTCGTCGTCCCAATTTACTAGAATCCAAGGGCGTATCCAGGGGGGGCTAGAGCCCCCCCCCCCCCCCCCCGAAATGGGGAAAAAGAAAAAATTTGAGGAAGGGTTGGGGCAAAAAAAGTGAATTTTTTTGGCCTACGGCCTTCCAAAATTCAAAAAATTTTCGCCTGCGACGCAGAAAAGATGAAAATTTATGTACAAAAAAATTTGTGTCCGGAACGCCAAGGTAAACGCCAAAAATTTTTGCGCCCACCCAGTGTTAGCCCCCCCCCCCCGAAACCGACCCCCTGGATACGCCCTTGCTTCCCTATAATCCAGTCAATACATTTTTGTTTTTGTATCCATAGAAGGGTAGATCGGGTCGAGAAAGGAGGAAGTTTTTAGTTTTTTTACTCTAAAATATTTTTAAAAATTTATTTTCAAGTTCGTTCACATATGCTACGTTCACACAATGCAGATACAAGTTTAGAACCCCTTAGCAGTTTGGAAGAAAATATTGAAGAAATTGAAAATATTTGGAAACAATGCTTTCCTCACAAAGATTTTAAAGCTGGTGGAGGTGAAAAAGCTTTGATGGTTTTGGAAAATGATAAAAATTTTTTGGATGAAGCTAAAGTTAGATGTAAAGAGTGTTGGCAGGAAATGAAAACTGAGGATAGACAGGTTTTTTCTAAGGGATTTTTTTCAAGTTTGTGGGAGTTTTTCCTTTAATTATTGTTGGATATCTTCAGAGCGACATTTGCGGACTTTTCGTTTTTTCGCGGACTTATACTTTTTTGCGGATTTTTCCTGTTTAAATCGTCCTTTGGTATCTGATATCGATTCAAAAACCATGCCCAGAATCCAGAGACCACTTTCCATTTTTTGCGGACTTTTCCTTTTTTTGCGGACTTTCCATTTTTTGCGGACTTTTCCTTCTTTTGCGGACTTTTCCTTCTTTTGCGGACTCTTTCTATTTGCGGATTTCTTACCTGTATTTTTTAAATCGTTCATTGGTATCTGATATTGATTCAGAAACCATGTTTAAGACCCAGAAACCTTATAGTGGCTTATACCCAAATATCAAATGTCTTTTTCCAACAATGATGATCCGCAAGTGTTTGTCCGCAAATTTTCAAAAAGAAACATCTCTGCGGTAAGAGGCATTTTATTCTGATGTTCAGAACAAACTAGCTATTCCTCCTTCAGTTAAATAACTCCGTCAGTTTGTCTAGGTGGCTGGGAGCTTATAAGTTAACCGGGGATTGATGCCTTACCATTACCTCTAAAAAATTTTTTTTTCAAAAATCTTTAAAAAATCCAGATCCACGTCTACCGCCATCATTTACGAGAACCTCGTCTATATGAGTGCCCAATTTGTGATTTTTCTCATTATGCATGTTCCTCTGATGTTCGAAATCATATTTTGAGAGCACACAAGAATCAATCTGAAATGATGCCTAGAGCCAATTTGCTGAAATTTTCTAAAGAAATTGCTGAATGGAATGAACGTTGCTTTCCTGGATGGTGTGAAAAAAAAATTTTTTTTTAATTTTAGAAAATTTTTAATAAAAATTTTTGCGGACATAATTTTCGTCCGCAAAAAATTTTTTGTCCGCAAAAAAATTTTTTGTCCGCAAAATTCTTGCGGACGAAAAATTTTGTCCGCAAAATTTTTAAAAATTTTTTTTGAAAAAAAATATTTTAAGGATAAATCGACGACTTCCAGCTAGTTTAATCGAGGATTTCAATAGTTGCCGTCTTTGTGGAATGGATGTTAGACAGACTTCTAGGTTTATTTAATTCTTAATTAAGGGGAGAGACTGGTCGTGCCAGGCTAACAGACACTGTCCAGAAAAACAATCTGCACATTTCCAAACTTAAAATTTTTTTTGATTTTTAAAATAAATCTGGACCGTGTTTTGTCTGTCTGTGTCTTGCAAATCCTCGTTTTCCCCCTCACCCTTGTGGTCTAGTTGGTAGTCGTCTTGATTCCTTCCCGTATGGGGTGACGGTTCGAATCCAGCTTTACAGAATTGTTCTATTTTCTCTCATTCACTTCCAAAAATACCTTTTAAGAACTTTTTTTTAGTAGAAAAAAATTTTCTGCATTTTATTTTTAATGTTGTAACCCCTTAATTTCACTTAAAAAATTTTTTTTAATTTTTAAAATTTAAAGACACATTGCTGAACAACATTTACATATACCTCTACATCAATGCCCTCTTTGTGAATATGGCGCCGCCGAAGCCAGACTAGTTCAGAGACATATGCGAAATAATCATACGTTAACGGAATGCGAGGTTTTTTTTATTTTTGAAATTTTCCTAAAAATTTCCAACCTTTTTTAGGGACTAGAACCAATCGCCAACGTTGAAAAACGTCGAAGTGAATTTTCTGAATTACACAATCAATGCTTTCCTGGAAGGCCTAAACGTTTATCTAATATTACGATTGCTGATGAAAGCAGAAGGGCAAAGTGTAGAGGCTGTGGAATGACTATAAGGTAAAATTTTTGTTAGGGTGACATTTTGTCCCCTTGACATTTTGTCCGTGTGACTGTTCATTGACATTTGGGACGTTTTGTCAATGAAACATTTGGTCCAATTTGGAAATATGTGGGGGTGTTTTGCGGACAAAAATTGATTCCGCTGAAAAAATTTTTGTCCGCAAGTTATGTCCGCAAAAAATTTTTTGTCCGCAAGTTGTGTCCGCAAAAAATTTTTTTCTGCAAAAAATATTTTTTTTTAAATTTTTCAGTAAAAAGCGTCGTTTAATTCATTTATTGGAAAAACATTTAAAAAAGCCAATATATAAATGTAAATATTGTTTATTTTCTTCAACACATGAACGTCTAGCTGTTGAAGCACACCAAAAAGAAAAACATTTAAAGCAACAAATAAATATTATTTCAAATTTGAATAAACACAAAAATGAAATGAAGAGATTGGCACAAGAATGTTTTAATGAATTTAATTTGAAACTTGAAGATTAGAAGAGAAAAAAATTTTTTAGAAAATTTGAGAAAACCAAAATTTTGTCCGCAAAAAATTTTTTGCGGACAAAAAAATTTTGTCCGCAAATTTGATCCGCAAAAATTTTTTTTTAATTTTCCCTCATTTTTTCCTTATTATCAGCAAGTCCTTTATTTTATTAACCCCATATACAGTTGAACCTCATTATAATATACTCCCAATACTAGACACACGTCGCTTTAATACGCCTCTCAATTTTAATCTTAAATACACCTCTATTTGGTGGGCGTGTAAATGATCAGATACCTTTGAAATATCCCTTATTACGATCTTTTTAGTCACAAGAGTAAAGTGAGGTCCCCCAACTGTATCTCATTTAAAAAATATTGCCAAAAGAAGAAAGAAATGAAATTATATTATTTTTAAGCCTTAAAATGTGCTGTATCAAACTTGTTTTTTTTTCCAACTATCACATATGAATATTTTATTTTTTTTTACTATCAAAAGTAAAATAAAGCTTCGCAATTTTTGGATAACTGCAAATGCCAATGTAATGTATTCTTTCCTATTTAAATCCCTTTAAAAAACTTATTCCCAATTTTACTGCGGTTTAATTTACCCCCATAGGAAAACTAAAAATCTCCAAAAATATTTTTATTTTCTCGTTATTTTCTCAAATTTTTCTTCTTTTTACTAATCTTGACACTGATTTAATCTCGTTAATCGTTTCCTTTTGGCATTTTTCTTTTTCTATCCGTTTTGCATTCCAGCGATTATTTTCTGTGCACATATTTTATGGGGAATTGAAGACTTTATAGGTTGGGTGTGCGCAATAAAATCTTTGCAAAACGCCAAAATCGCAAAAAATGGGATCAAATGTCTCTTAGTATTTTTTTCTTGCTCAGAGAACTCCCTAGAATAATTCTAAAATTTTTCGTTAAGAAAATCCTCAAAAATGGCTCAAAATGCCAACCAAAAAACAGGCAAAAGCAATAACGCCAAAAACGCCAAAATTGTGGGATCAAATGTCTCAGCTAGTTTTTTTCCGTTCATAAGCCTCTCTAAAATATTTCTAAAATTTTCTGTTCAAAAACCCTCGAAAAATGTCCAAAATGCCAAGAAAAAATAAAACGCCAAAAAATTTTGCGCACACCAAAAAATCATTTTCTCTCTGTGTGTGTCTGCGCGAGATTGTCGGGGGAAGGGAGGATTTCTCTCTTCAAAGAAACCCAAAAAGAAGGCATATTTTTCGTAGAATTTTTGGAGCAAAAAAAGGAAGTGATGAACAAACGTGTGAGAAGTAAAAGACAAAATATGTGTCAATTGTGTCGAATTCCTGTGGCGAAAAGAGCAATTGAAGAAGAAAGAAGGGAATTTTTATTTTTGATCTTTTTCCTTGTTTGTATTTTTAGTTTATTTTAATTGTTGGGAAGATTGAGAAAGCAACCCCTCATTATAAGGGATACACCCAATATAGGATGTATCCCTTATACTTATGAGACTTCTTTAACTTCGTGGCTGTTGGATGGGAGAGACAGACTTGAGATCGTATACCTCGTTATAAGGTACGATCTAGGTACGATCCCAAGGGTGTCGATTTTTCTGACCCCTCAAGATGTCCACAACGCAGAAATAGTTCAGAATTTAACAACCGAAAATTCTTACAAAACGCCCACAAACCAAAAATCGGACAAAACGCCCACAACCAAACATAGACAAAACGCCCACAAACCAAAAATCGGACAAAACGCCCACAACCAAACATAGACAAAACGCCCACAAACCAAAAATCGGACAAAACGCCCACAACCAAACATAGACAAAACGCCCACAAACCAAAAATCGGACAAAACGCCCACAACCAAACATAGACAAAACGCCCACAAACCAAAAATAAGACAAAACGCCCACAACCCAAAAATAAGACAAAACGTCAAAACCTATATATCAGACAAAACGCCCATAAACCAGAAATTATTCAAAACGTCCATAACCCACAAGATGTACAAAATGCCAAAACGCATACAACCAACACACCCAAAATTCACTCAAATTGTCTAAAAAAATATTTAACCCCGACCCTTTTGTGTTTGTTTTGAACATTCCCTCCCCCCTCTTCCCGCAATTTTCTTTTCATTATTTTTAAAATAAAAACTTGGCCAGCCACACAACTTTTCTTTTTAAGGGGCGCGTCTTTCACTCCATATTTGGTCTACCTACTCATCACCTCCCCCCTTTTGTCAGTCACAACCAATTCATCATCAAACAGATTAATCGATTCTCGCCTTTAAATTCCTGCGCGATCTTCTCCCCTAGAAAAATATTTTCTCTCCCTCCCCTCCACCTTTCAACAAATTCCATCATTATTAGTACTTGACCCATTAATTCTCTCATTAAACTTTGTATATCATTTACATATTAGTCTAGTATCTCTTCAAAATTTTTATCAGTCAAAACGACTCAAAAATAGACAAAATGCCAGTCCAAAATCGTAAACGCAAAAAACGCCAAAAATTTGCGCACACTAAATTTGATACCAAGTCGAGATCTCGAACAAAGATCTAGGTTATCGAGGTCGGGATTTTTCGAGACTATCGTATATCGATACCCATACGACCCTCCTAGTCCGGTCACTAGTCCATATCTGCACTGACTTCCCTTTTCGATGTGCGCAAAAATTTTTTGATAAAACGCCAAAAATAAATACTGTAATTTTCTTGGGTAAAATTAATTTTTGAATTTACCCAGGGTAATTAATTTTTCAATCTCATGCCTGAGGGGGATAAATTAATCGAGAAGCATTTGGCTTCCTAAAACTTTACACCCTTAGGGTGTATTTTTCCCTTAATTTTTAAATAATTTTTAGTTGCTACAGTTGTTAACTATTTCCTACTATATTTTCCCCTTATTTTTTCCTGCCTAATTAATTTAATATTTAAATGGGCACATTAGGAGGCACTTCCGCTGCTTCCGGTGGTGGTGGTAGCCCTCCAACTCCTTTGTGCCGCTGTAGAGTTTTATATATTGGAAGTGCTGTCCCTACTGTTACAAAAGATGGACTTCAAGTAGGGAAGGGATTTTAACACAAAATAAATAAATTTCCCCTCAGGGCATTCAACAACCTTTGCGAGAACGATATCCAGCCAGTGAGAGTCCAGAAGCTAGAGGAATCGATTCTTGGTAAATAATGTTAAGAAACATAAAATCGGAGGGATATGCCTCAGATCAAGACTCAAATAACAGAAAAGTGACTATACCAGACTCCAATGACCCTTCGCATTAATATTAGACTCTAATGATACCGCGCTTTAGAATTCAGACTCGGGTGCTCCCCCAATTTAAAATGAGACTGTAATAACCCTACTTAACAACCACGTGCTCTAATGACACCAGTTCAACTATTTCTAGACTCCTTTAGACTCCCTAATTCAATCTTTTCAAATTTCGGTCAATTCACCACTAAGGCAAATTTTTGACATTTCGTCACTATGGGATAATTTAACGTTTCGCCACAAAGGACAAATTGATTAGCGATCAGACTCTAATGTCACACCGAGTGATAATTAAGCGGGGAATGTAGAAGGGGTCTCAGACTCTAATGTCCCCTCCACTCTAATACCCCCTTAACACATCCAGGCTAAACTACAGTTTCCGGATCAGGATCAGAATTGGACAATTTATATGTCATTCGAAAGAGCTCGTCGAGCTGAGTCGAACGACACCAAAATTATTCAGCGGAAAAAATTCTGAGCCGAGTTACAGACCCCTAAAGTTCAAAAAACCATAGGGGGGACCAGGCTGTTTTCTGGGGGTGAAAAATTCGAATATGCAAATAATAGCTCATTCGAAAGTGCTCGTCGAGCTGAGTCGAATGACACCAAAATCAACGAAATCTGGCTTGATTTGACAAAGTTCTGATCTTTTATTTTAGCTCCTTACCTATGGCATCTGTGGAGATTTTTGCTGCTACGGAGGCCCCGAATACGTCCAGAGCAAGGGAGATAGGAATAGGTTTATGTTACGAGCCCAGACCCAGCGCCCGTAGACTCCCCGCGAGGCGCGTGCCGCAAAACCCCGCGCGAAGCGCGGGGTTTTGCACAAGCGCCTCGCCGACGCCCCATAGGTTTAGGTTTTAGTTTTTCTATCGTAACTTTGTCTAAACTTGTCTAATCACGATGATTTTAGTGTCATTCGACTCAGCTCGAGGAGCTCTTTCGAATGAGCTACTATTTGCATATTCGAATTTTTTACCCCAAAAAAGTGCTTGGTCCCCCCTATGGTTTTTGACCATTTCGAGCCCTATATTTCGGCTCCGAATTTTTTCCGCTGAAAAATTTTGGTGCCATTCGACTCAGCTCGACGAGCTCTTTCGAATGACATATAAATCGTCCAATTCTGTTTCTGATCCGGAAACTGTAGTTAGGCCCACATCCAGACTCTAATAGCACCAAAAATAATCACTCAAAAAATCTCCCCCATTTTCCCCCTCCAGGCTTTCCGTTTGGTATAATGGACTCTTATTAGAATATGTGGATGGAGAGAAGAGAACAGACAGTGCATTTTTTGCTATAAATTCATTACATTATTGTGCTGCTGTTCGTTATGTTAATATGGGGGGATTTGCTGTAGAAGGTGGTGGTGAAAGATTTATCCCGTTAGACTCGCCATTTGCGCTAACTGATTCTCCACATCCCCCAATATTTGCTGCTATTTTTCGACGCACTACGGGGGTCAAGGTCGATTTAATTACTTTTTTTGCAGAAAATTTTTATTTGACCGAATTATTTTGTGTCCAAAAAACGCAAAAGTTGACCATTTCGTCACTAAGGGAAAAATTTGCTATTTCGCCACTAAGGGAAAATCGGGACATTTCGTCACCTAGGGAAAATCGAGACATTTCGTCACCGAGGGAAAATTGGGACATTTCGTCACCGAGGGAAAATTGGGACATTTCGCCACTCAGGGAAAAATTTGCCATTTCGTCACTAAGGGAAAATCGGGACATATCGCCACTAAGGGGAAATTAGGCCATTTCGGCACCAATGGAAAATCGGGACATTTCGCCACAAGAGACAAAATTGATCATTTCGTCATCACAAAAATATTTTAAAGGTTTTGGAATGTCATGGATTTGTTTGTACAAACGAAAAGGCGGCAAATGCCCTCGTTCGTTGTTGTTTTCATGCTTACGCAGATACAGTAAAGACTTGAAAAATAAAATTAATTTGAAAAAAATTTTTAAAGATGTATTTAAAATTGGATGAAAAAATGCCCTCACCGGGAGGATTAAAAAGTATAAGAGAACCACCACCTCAACAACAAATACAAAGCAGAAGTGGCACTCCTAGCAGTGAACCAAACTTTAGCGAACAAGAAAATGGTAGTGGAATCCCCCCACCACCAGGGCCGTCAGTAATAGTTGAGGGAACACAAGAATGGAATGATAGGGCGATAAGTCAAAAAACTTGGAAGCGAAGACAACAATCTGGGGAATATGATGGAAGCAGTTTAAATTCAAGTTTAATTAAAAAGGGAGGTGTAGGTGGAGGTGTTTATAGTAGAGAAAGACAACAACAACATGAAGGGGGTATTTTAGTACCTTACAGAGAAAATGGGAACGGTGTTGCTAATAACAACTTTAATAATGCTAGACGAACAACAAGTCATACAGGTAGAGAAAACAATGTTTGTAAAACTTGTTTTACAAAAAAGTTGTAAAAACAATAATAAAGGTTATTTGTAGAAACACTGTTTTTAAATCAGAAAAACATTGTTTGTAAAACAAGTTTAGGGAAAATAAAACTAGGTTTGTAAACTTAGTTTTTGTAAAGTCTGTAAAACAAGTTTTAAGAGATAAGTTTGCGAAACAAGTTTTACAAAAAAGTTTATAAAATAAGTAAAACAAGTTTGTAAAACAAGTTGTAGTTTAAAGTTTAAAAACAAGTTTTAGGAAGTATTTAAGTTTGAGGAAAATTAAGTTTGTAAAACAAGTTTAAAAAAGTAAGACAGGTTAAAAAGAGTTTTAAGATTACAAAAGTTTAACCTATACAGAATTACGCCCGCCTGTTGGACAACTATCATCAGCAGACCACTTTGAACAATTTGGACATCGCCCTCCTATGCCAAATCCTTTCATGTTTGGAGGGCCAATGTCTTCCCCACCACCACCTCCTCCTCATCCAGGCCTTGTATTTATACCGCCAGGATTAGCACCACAACCGCCTGGACATTTCTTTCGCCAACCACCACCAATGCATCACCACTCTCCTCCACATTTCTTCCCTCCTAGGCCACCATTTCCGCCGTTTCCTCCACCTCCACATTTTGGTGATTTTTAATATTTTTTCAGAAAAATTAAAAAAAATTTTTCCTTTAAGGACGTATTGCCGCTCCACCACCTTTTATGATGCGCCCCTTCTTTATGGTCATGCCACCCCATTTTATGGGAGGAGGAGGACATCATCATCCACGTCCCAAATCCCCTGAAAGATTGGGTGGTGGCCCTATAATCACTGAAACAGCTTATGATACATTTCCTCGCAATAATCGAACAACTTATGAAGAGCCTATAGTTGGAATATTTTTAAAAAAAAATTTAAAAATAAAAAAATTTAGTATATGCCATCTACAGATAATACAGTTCCCCCTCAAGCTAGTTATAAACCAGGATCTTTTTCACCCGAACTTTATGAACATTATTATGAAACATACAGACAGCAGAGAACGACAGAGAGAAAGGTAAACAAAAGATATTTACAAAACAAAGTTTGTAAAATAACTAAGATTGTAAAACAAGTTTTAAGAAACAAGTTTTGTTAAAACAAGTTTTAAGGAAACAAAAAAGTTGTAATAATGTTTTTGTTTTAATCAAGTTTGTAAAACATGTTTTAATAAAACAAAGTTTGCAAAAACATTTTAAAAACAACGCTATAAAACCTTAAAACAAAACATGTTTTAACAAAACAAAATTTGTAAAAACAGAAACAAAGTTTGTAAAACATGTTTTGATAAAACAAGTTTAAAAACATTTCTAAAAAAGATATAAACTTTCCAACAAAACATGTTTTGACAAAACAGAATTTGTAAAAACAAAAACATAGTTTGTAAAACATGTTTTAATAAAACAAGTTCTAATAAGACCTTAAGAGAATCTCAAGTTTGTAAAACAAAATAAATTCTTTTTTAGAATGTTATGAGCCGCACTGATTCCGATGCCAGTGCTGATTATTGGGAAAGCGGTGTTGAGGCAAATACATTTAGAAAAACACGCAATAACGCAGGTAATATAACACCAAAGGCTGAAAGAGGACAAAGTCCCGCTGGGGGGAATAAAAAGAACGGTGATGGGGATAATGGAACGTTAACTAAAACAAGAATAACACAACAACAACAACCAGGACCAAGTACTAGCAGAACAGAATTAATAGTAAATGGAAAAGCCAGACCAGACACGCCACCAGCTGATTATGAAGTTGGGGGAGGACATAGGGCAACAACTGCCCATTGAAAAATTAAAAAAAAAGTTGAGAGAGATTCGAAGGGATGGATTTATGGAAAAAAATAATTTAAAATATTTTTATAAGAAGATACGAAAAATATGCCAATAATTATTTGTTAAGGGAAAAACCTTTGCAATCTTAAAAACATGTTTTTAAAGTTTTAAACAAGACAAAACTTGAAAACGAACATTAAAAACAAAACAAAACTTTGTTGTTTTTAAAGAAAAACATGTTTTACAATTCAAACTTTTCTTGTTTGTTTTGATAAGGTTTGTAAAACATGTTTTAGGGAATAAAAAACAAGTTTTTATAAACAAGTTTAAAAACAAGTTTTTGTAAAAACAAGTTTTTATTAAGTTTATAAAATAAAAAGTTTGTAAAACATGTTTTAATAGAAAATTTACAAATTGTAAAATCAAGTTTTAATAAAACAAAGTTTGTAAAACATGTTTTAGTTTAAAAAAAGCAACAAAGTTTTTTTGTTTGGCTAGAGGTTTTACCCAACAAAACAAAGAGAATATGTTTTATTGTTTAATGAGATTTCGTTTAAAATTTTTAATAAAGAAAATGTGTGTAAGTTTTGAGGCAGAAGGGAAATTTGAAGAAATTGAAAAAAAATAAATTGAAAAACATTACAAGTATTTTTGAATTGTTCAAGGTAAAACAACATTCCAATTAATAGGTTCTCTTCCCAATTCCTTCAATAAATCATTAGTTTTTGAAAAACATTTTGAACCAAAAAATTTTGTAACGCTTAAAGGAGAAGGATGCGCAGTCTTTAAATAAAAATGTTTAGAAGGCGAAGAATATAAAGAAAAACATGCTTGAACGAGTTCAGGAAAACATGTTTTTAAAAATAGAATAAACATCCCAAATAAAGATGTTTGTAAAAACAAGTTTTAATATTCCAAGTTTGTAAAAAGATTAAAACTTGTTCTATAAACTTTATTTTTATTAAAACTTGTTTTACAAATTGTAAAAAAAAGTTGTAAAAATAAGTTTTAATGTTTTTAGAACAATTTTTAAAAAGTTTACAAACTTTTTACAATTTGTAAAACAAGTTGGAAACTTAAAAATAAATTAAAAACAAACTCAAAACCAAGTTGCAAACTTAAAATATTTAAAGCTACCTTAATAACTCGATGACGACTTTTATCAACCAACTTTTCTTTGCGATGCGCAAACCCACCCCAAAGTAAAAACACCACTCCATTACTTGATTTTGAACTAATTAATTTAATAACTGAATCGGTAAATATTTGCCAGCCAATGTTGGAATGTGAATTTGGTTTGTGTGCTTCGACGGTTAAAGTAGCATTAAGCATAAAAATTCCTTGTTTGGCCCAGCAAGTTAATTCTCCATGAATTGGAATTTTAAAGTCTGGGAATTCTGAGGAAAGCTCCTTTAAATAAATTAAAAAAAGTATTAAAAAATATTTTTTTCTAACTTTATAAATATTTTTGAGAGATGGAGGAGGCGCCGTTCCCTGTGGAACAGAGAAACAAAGTCCATGCGCTTGAGACACGTTGTGGTAAGGATCTTGGCCTGTAAAAATAAATATTTAAAAATATTAAAACTCAATTATACCAAGCAAAACAACTTTAATTTCATTAAAAGGTGTCAAGTTGAAAGCATTGAATATAAGAGAACGAGGCGGAAAAATATCGGTACCCTTAAATTAATTAAATTGTAAAAAAGGTTCAAGTTTGTAAACTTAAGAAAATAAGTTTTATTAAAACAAGTTTGTAGAATGTTTTTCTTAAAACATGTTTAAAGAAATTAATGTTTTTAATTTTTAATATAACACTTGCAAACTTGTTTTACCAAAACCTAAAAATGTTTTAATTTGTCAAAACAAGTTTTGAGAAAAGTTTGCAAACTTAATTAAGTTTTGATAAGACATGTTCGTAAACATGTTTGTAAACTTAAAAAAACTAAGTTTTGATAAAACATGTTTGTAAGTTTATTAAAACTTTATAACGCTTAGGTTTGTTAAACAAGTTCACAAGTTCGCAAACTTAAAAAAGTTTGCGTAACATGTTTCTAAGAAACATTTAATAAGTTTTAATAAAACTTTAGTAAAATATGATTCCAAAATTGTAAAACAATATTAAAAAAAAAACACCTTTTCATATTGGCTAATCAAAAATTGATGAATTGATTTGATATATTCCTTTTTTAATTCTGATGTTAACAATTTCCTCCATTCAGGTTCTACTAAAGTACAAAAAATTGAATCCAATTGTTCATTTGGCAACGGGGATGATAATAATGATTGTTGATTTTGTTCTTTAAGAATATTATCAAATGTTGTTGATGTGTTTGAATTAATATTTTCAACATTGAGTTTTATAGAAGGAAGTCTAAAAACATTAAATAATAAGCTTTTTTATTTGTAGACTTAAGAAAACAAGTTTTAATAAGACGCAAGTTTAATAATAAATTAGTCAAGTTTGTAAAACATGTTGCAATTAAAACTTGACTAAAAACTTGAAAATAAGAAAACAAGTTTGAAAATGTTTTTAAGTTTGTAAAACAAGTTTAATAAGTTTTAGCATAATTGTAAAACATGTTTTTATAAAGTTAGTCAACACCTCTAAAAGAAATTAAGTGAATTTGTAAAACAAGTTTTACAAACATTATTGACAGAAGCAACCCAAACTCTTAAAAAAACTAACCTTTTTCGTTCTGGAGAATCTCCAGTTGACCGACAAGACACAACACGTTTATTTCCAACATTTTCCTTCCCAGCAGATTTTGAGAACAATTCAATAAGTGTTAGTTGTTTTGCAGGCATTAGTAAAAACTTGAAATTATTTAAAATAATTAAAGAATTTTGGAAATATAAAAGAAATTAAAAACAGTTTCACAAATTAAAAAAAAATAATTTTTAAAAAATATTTATATTTAGTAGTAAAAAATGAAAAAATAATACAAAATTTAAACTAGAAGAATAATGTTCAAAAAACAATGTTTTTAAAATAATGTTTTTACAATTAGAATTTGTAAATAGACAAGTTTAATAGAAACAAGTTTTAAGTAAAACAAACAAAACAAAAGAATGTTTTTGCAAAGTTTGTAAAAACAAGTTTTAATTTGTTTAAAAACAAGTTTTAAACTTGAAAATAAGAAAACAAGTTTGTAGTGTTTTTAATAGGTTTGTAAAACAAGTTTTAATTTAAAACTTGAAAATGAAAAAAACGTGTTTGTAAAATGTTTTTGTCAAGTTTGTAAAAACAAGTTTAATTTATTTTAAAAACAAGTTTTGAACTTGAAAACGAGAAAACGTAAGTTTGTAAAATGTTTTTAATGATTTGTAATAACTTGTTTTATTTTGTAAACTTATTTTTCAATGTTTTTCGAACATTAAAACATCTTAGATAAAAAATACATAGTATCCTGTCCACAAATCCTTCAAAAATCATAAAAAAGTGCAAAAAAATTTTTTCTAAAACTTAATATTTTCCGATCCATCTCCCTTCATTTAATCCACTATTACTTGTACTTGTAACATTCTCAAAAACACAATTATTATTCTCCAATTGTTCTTCTTTTAATTCAACTTTTTGTCTCTTTTGTTGTGGAGGTGAAATTTGTTGTTGTTGTTGTTGGTCATTATTTAAATTAATTCCACTCCCTCCTCCACTACTGCTACTACTGCTTACTATATTAGTTCCAATTATATTAATTGATTCTCCTTCACCTTTTTTTATTATTTCAATTTTTTGTTGTTCTTGTTGATTGTCTTCTTTTTCTGGTTTTTGAATATTTTTGTCCGTTTCCTCTGGTAAATTTGTTTAAATTAAAATCAAAAATCTCCCGAACTTATTACACCAAGGCAATTATACTAAGATTGTTGGTGACCGGCAGATGTAAATCGGAAGGAAAAAACATCGGAAATCGTAATTCCGATTCACCTCTGGTGACCGGTTAATTCCGCTTGTGACTACCTTTCTTCCTAGCAGCACCTCCACCACCAGTCTTACGCTTTTGTGAAGTGTTATTTGTTAATGAATTTGGTGTTGTTGTTGTATTTGGTGCTGGTCTTTTTCTTGCTTGTGAAGGACGTTTTCTGAAAAAAATTAAAAAAAAATAATTTTTTTTTTAAAATTTTAAAACCAAATTTAATGAAAAATCTAAGGATAAATCTAAGAACAAATAAGAAATTTTGTCTTATTTTTATTTAGATTTGTTATCAGATTGTCTTGTTAGACTAGAAACAATCTAAGGACAAATACAACACAAAAAATTTCATTACCGTTTAGGTTTAGGAATCCCTTTATCATCCAAAGTTTTCGTAGAGGTATCAGAATCATCACTAGATTCACTCAAATTTTCATGTTGTCCAAGTCTATCGAGCAAAAAATTTTTATCTCTAGATAATTTGAGTAGTTTACGCTGTAAATTACGCAATTCTTCCTGATAATATTCATTCTCCTTTTTAAAAAAAATTTTTTTAGAGAAAGGTATAAAGATGAAAGCCTCACTATAAGATAAACCCATGCGTCTGGAAAAAGCGTTCTTATAATAAGGTGTATTTTAAATAGAAGGTATCATTTAGGGACATTCGCAAAAAGTTTGGGACGGTTTTCAACTTTCACCTAATTTTTGTCTTTTTTTTTGGTGCTTCACCTTTTGCTTTTTAAAATCTGTTTCGGCACACACCTACTGCTCACTAATGATCGGCGCATGACAGGATCCCGCGTCAACAATCCTTTCACTTTTTAATTTGCGGGATGCGAATTTTGTGGGATTTATCCTGCAAGATACTGTCCCTCAAAAATCCAGCAGGCGGAACCCATAAACACGATTTTGCCGGTCATTACTGCTCACTCTCACTTAGTGGAACTTTTTTAAATAAGTCTCTCAAACATTTCGCCTAGGTATCTCATCCAATCCGTGGTCAATAAAAATTCAAAAATTGTGCAAGGTTTAACTCAAAAACTCCACAATTAAAGAATTTTTTAAAACTTACATAAACCAAAAATTTAAATTTCTTCTTTAATTCTCTATATTTTGTTTTTGGAGATAAACTTTGTGTATCCATATCATTTAAAACAAACATAGCAAAACGTTGTGAACCAATATAAGACGAATGTATAGGTTGTTGGTGTTGGGGGTGAATGTTTGTTGGATTTATTGTTGTTGTTGTTAGTTCTGGTGAAGTCATTAAAGGATTGTTTTGATGATGAATAAGAATACGTTGATGTTGTTGTGGTGGTGGATGTTGTGGATGTTGTTGAGAGAGTGGGACAAAAGACGAATTATGTTGTTGTATGTTTAAAGGATTGTTGTTGCTTAAAATGTTTTATTGATAAAAACAAACAAAACATTTATAAACAAACATCTAATAAACAAGTTTTGATGATAAAAACAAGTTTTGATGATAAAAACAAGTTTTAATAAAAACAAGTTTTGATGATAAAAACAAGTTTTAATAAAAACAAGTTTTGATGATAAAAACAAGTTTTAAGATAGGTTGTTAAAACAAGTTTAAATCAAGTTTATTAAAACAAGTTTATTAAAACAAGGTGTACTATTAAAAGCAAAACATCCTAATTAAAACAAGTTTTAATAAAAGTTAAACAACAAATATATTTGAGTTGTAAACTTTAAAGTTTTAAAAACAATATTCAGCATGTTTTACTAAATGTTATAATGGATGTTTTGGATGTTTTTATGGATGTTTTTTGTTTTAAATGTTTTAATAAATGTTTCAATGTTTTTTTCATGTTCTAATAAATGTTTCAATAAATGTTTTTCCCATGTTTAATAAGTTCATAACTACAAACTTTGTTTGTTTTATACGAATAGGTCCTGATGAACTCGAAGGATAATTTTGTTGTTGCTGCGTGTTTTGTTGTAGTTGTAAAACAATGTTTCCAGTGTTTGTTGTTCCAATATCTGTTGGAGTTTCAGAAGTTTCATGTTGGAGAGGAATGTTTCTATTGTTGTTTTGAGAATACAACATTTCTATTGGACGATGTTTTTGTTGAAATTGTTGTTGCTAAAATTAAAGAAAAACATTTGTTTTTGCTTGTTTTTATTTTTAAAATTTGATCGAGCAAAACATATATTTTTAAACAAGTTTTGACCAAGAAAAACATTAAAAACACACCTGAATATAATTTTGTTTGTTCGAAATTTGTTGTTGTTGACGTTGTTCAACGCTTTCATTTGAAGGAGAGGATGTTGTAGAAACATTTGTTGTAGCCAACGGGGCTGAATTTAATTGTTGTAAAATTGTAGGCGAATTGTGTTGTAAAATTGAATGTTCAGATTGTGAGTGATGCAAAGGTATAAATTGTTGTTGTTGCTGTGATTGTTGTTGGTAGTGATGGAGAGGAGTTGGGGGTGCTGCCATTGAAGGACTTGGGTTCTGAAAATATTAAAGGAATTATTAAAAATCAAAACCTCTCTAATTATAACACCCTTCGGAACCTCGATTTTAACTGATATATAAGAGGAAAATTGAGGTATGAGAGGAAGTTAAATAATGGCTGAAACATACCTCTTAGGATCGAATTCTGAGGTGAAGTTTGAAGAAATTGATATGAGAGGGGGTATTAGAAAATGATTTCGTTTATTATTTTTGGTGGGTCAAATTGGGAAAACAATTTCTGACCACCCAATATCAAACTAAATTTGAGAAAATTCCAAAAACAAATAGAAAATACCCCAAAAAATGCCCCTCTATCCTACAGGACGTTTACCCTAAGATTTCCTAGCCATATCCCTATCAGGACAGGGAAAGGTTCAGAAAACCGAATTGAGTTTTATAGGTAGCGTTTTCGAATTTTTATTTGGATAGACGATCCACCCTTCCCCACTCCTCATACAAAAATTTTTTTTTAATTTAAAATTAAACTAACCTTCATCCACTGTTGTTGTTTGTTATGTTGTGGAGAATAAATAATTTTTTTATTATTATTTATTTGTTGCTGTGTTTGTTGTTGTACTTGGTGTCCAAAACCCTCATTTCCTCCCAATTGTTGTTGTAAAGGAGAAAAGTTTGTCGCTGTTGTTGTTGATGATTGTTGTGGGGCTACTACACTTCTTAATTGTGTATATGCTGTAGTTGTTGTATTTGGGGGAGATAAAATTTGGTGAGAAGAATTTGTTGTATTTATTTGTTGTTGTTGTTGTTGGTCATCCATTTTTTCTTTTAAAAATCGAAAAAAAAATTTTTTTAACTGAAAAATAAAATTAAAAAGAATTTTTAAATATAATTGAATATTTACATATCAAAAATTCAAGAAAATTTTTTTTTATTAAAAAAATTTTTTTAAGAAAGATTCTACGTACAAATATAAAAAATGTGTACAATTTTCCGTTATCACTCCCTCATTCCGTTATCCTCCCCCACCCCCTCATTTACTTATTTTTGCTTTTCTCTAGAATATAGGTGATTGTGAGCAATATCATCTATTCCGAGTTAAAAGGGTAGAAGAAAACAATGCCCTATTAGGTAACAGAGCACAATTTTCAAAATTGAAAGCAGACATGATAAACCTCAATATTGAAAAAAGGGGAAACCCAATACTAATATTCTGGCCAATGCTGCTATTAAACCAGCACTACAGTTGATTTTTAAATTTACAAACCTTATTTTAGAGAAAGGAAGAAGGAAACTGGGGAGAAGATAACGGAAAATTACCAAAAAAAATGGAAAATTATTTTATAGAGATTAGGCATCTGGGCTAATAGAATATTAAAATAATATAAGGCCGTTTTGCGAATTTTTTAAAATAAGAGAAAAATTAATAAAAACCTGGCAAAATAATAAATAACACTTTTTAAGTATACCCAATATTTTTTGGCAAAAAACTTCTTTCAATTGGAAGAAAGCAATTCATTAAGTAATTGAAGAGGGCGAAAGAGTTGAATCTTTAAAAAAATTTTTTTAATTAAAACAAATAATTTAAAAAATAAACCTCAATCCAACAAGGAGTTTCTTTAATGGTTGAACGTGGATAACCAATTCCCAATCCTTTTACAAAACTAATGGCAATTGTACAGCAAGTCTATTTTAATTAAAAAATTGATGAAAGGAGTAAAAAATTTTTTTTTGAAATGTTGAGGATTAATAAGGAAGTAACTAAAGAAATGCAGGTAAGAAAGGCTACCAATTTTCAAGGTAAACCAATTCCTGCCCAAAGGAAAAAAAGTTCGGAGACGTGGGGATTTAGTCGGAAAAAATCTGCCCTTTTCCATTTCCTTGGACAAGAATAGACATTTTTCTATTCTTGTCCAAGGAAATGGAAAAAAGACAAATTTTCACACCAAAGAATTGGTCAAGCCTAAAAATTTATTTAATATTCAAAATTTCCTTTCCAAGAATTCTTAAAAATAAGCATAATCGGAGAAATCAGATCACTAAAGGTTGAGGCCATATGAAAATTATTGAAGTCGTCGAGGACGAAACTTTCAAAGCAGTGGAGGACAGAAGACATTTCGACTAGACATTTTATCGACCCGAAAGTATCCTAAAAAATTTCTCAACCCGACCCGGCTTTTTACTCAACCATACCCATCCATGGTTTCATGACGGAACCCAATCCTAATTTGAATAATCCATAATTTAAAAATATATACCGCTCTAAGATCATCTACACCCGTACCAGAATCTTGAACTAAACCATTTTGAGGGGCAATGCCTGCTACTGCATAGGCTTTTACCATTGCTAAAAGAATTGGAAAAAATTCAAAAAAAAATTTCGATTTAATAAACCTGCCATATTTGCTCTTCGTTTTTTCTCAACCATTTCTGTATAGGCCATTTGAGATTAAAAACCTGAAAAATAAAAAGCTAAACATCCTTCTTTTTACACAAGCATTCCTAAAGTCCTTAAAATCCACCTTTCACCAAACCCCTAATCAAAACATTAACCAGAATAAGAAAGCCTCCAACTCTAGGCTTAATAAAAGTAATAGAAAAGTTCTAACTCCTTCAAAATTACTTAATTTGAAATAAAATTTAGCTAAATTGGTCCATAACATATTAGTCCAAACTAAAGTAGAAGTGCCCAGTCAAGTTTTGGAATGGCCTAAATTTATCGATAAAAACTAGAAATAATCCTAGCCAATTTTAAAAATTGGAAAAGTCAAAAAAGGAACTCATTGTCAGTTAAAAATAGGCTAGAAAAGCAACATCTCTGACATCACATTCCATATATCGATGAACGGGAATGTGGAAACCCACAAAATAACCCCCAAGCCCCCACATTTCTCGAAAAAATATTTCTATGAAAAAATAAAAAAAAACCTTTCTAATAGCCCCAAAACAAAATTTATGTACAGCACTTCCATAGCCCAATCCATTTTGAAAATCAAGAAAGCAGCTTTTAACAAATATTCCTTTTTGAGAACAACATTCAACAAATATATTACAATCTTCAGAAGAATCAACAATTTGTAGACGTATTCCTTTTCCAATATGTAATCTAGCCTTTTCTGAAGATTCGCTTCTATGAACATTTGAAAGTGCTCCCAAACAGAAACGTCCATTTTCCGATCCGTTTGGATCCATTCCTGGAAAAATAGTGGAAAAATTTTTTTAAAGGTTTTTAAGACAGAATAAAAGTTGTTCTCGTTCAAAAAAATAGGGTTGGGGTTTCAGAGTCGGACCGACACTCGAATAATATTTTTCGAGTCGGCCTGACCGAGTTATCGGGCTTCATTTTCTGTCTTTTTCAGGCAACCGAGTCTTTTACGGGCCAAAATTAAATGCCCGACTTCGATCTTCCGGGCCGGGCCCTACCCTAAAAATAACGTATTTCTTAGCGACAAACCACTATATTTGGATCTATATGATCAAGCTTACAGAATCCGTGTTGCCGTACATTTCGGACCTCATTCGGAATCTATAAAATCGATTTTTGCCCACTCAAGAGAAAATAAACACTTCCCCTACCACTTATTGTTAGAAAATTTTTAAAAATATTTTTAAATAAAAATTTAAAGAAAAACCTCCATCAACATAAATATTTGACATATTCCATGGAGCTTTGAATGTTTCCCCAACTTGAGTGTCTAATTCAAAATAGGTAATAGAACACCAATATTTTGGAGCATCTAAAATTAAAATGTTTTAAAAGAAACAGAGGAAAAAACATTTAAATGTTTTTCTAGAGAAAGAAAAATAGAGAAAGAAGTTAAAAAATCAGAACAACATTTAAACATTAATTTAGAATGTTTGGAAAATAAGGTGAAGAGAAAAACATTTAAATAAAGGAAAACAGAAAAACAACAACAAAAAAGAAAATCAGAACAACATTTAAACATTGAAAAATCAAATCAAAATAAAACCAAAACTAGAAACAAAAAAATCAGAATTATAGAATTAGAATTAAATAAAAACAAAATAAAAAATCAGAAAAACATCCAAACATCAAAACAAAATGTTTGAATAAAACGAAAAAGAGAAAAACACACAAATAAGCTAATGTAAGATAGAGAAACAACAACAATAAAAATCAGAACAACATCTAAACATTAAAAAAATCAGAAGTATAAAATCAGAATTAAATAAAAACAAAATGAAATAAGAAATCAGAAAAACAATCAGAAAAACATCCAAACATCCAAACATCAAATAATCAGAAAAACAAAAGTAAAAATCAGAATAACATCTGAACATTAAAAGAAAAAATTTAAAAAAGCAGAAAAACAAATCAGAATATATTTAAAACAAATACAAAATCAGAATAAAATTTGAACAAATAAAGAAAAATAATTAAAACAATCAGAAAAACATTAGAACAAATTCAAAACAAAACAGAAAACAAACAAAACACAAAAACAAAAAAGACCAAAACTAGGCTACAAAGGAAAACCAATGAATTGTTGGTGTAGTTGGAAAATGCTTAGTCCCAGAAATTTATAGGTTAAAGGTTCGAACCCCACTCATGGAAATTAATTTGTAATCATCCAAAAAAGGGTTTTTATTACTTAAAGACATAAAAAATCGAATTAGAAAAATTAAAAAAAATTAAAAAAATTTTTTTTTACAGAAAATTCTTACTTTGCGGGTATAAACCATTCATGTTACAAGGTCCAGAAATGTTGCTACACGTTTCAAAAAGAGAAGATTGCCACTAAAAAAAGATTCTTTAATTTTTTAAATATTTTTTATTACTTTTCTAATAAAAATTTGTTTTAGGTTATTTAAAAATTAATTTTCTCTGAGTGGGGTTCGAACCTTTAACCTAACAAATAGCCAGAAAATTGACCAAAAATACCTCCAACGGACCAAAAATACCACAAAATGACCAAAATTTTTATTAAAAGAAAACCTGCTCATTTGAATAAAAATTCATTTCATTCCCAATTAACTGATTTTCTGCAGCCAAGTGAGTGATTACTTGACATTTTCGTTCAGTAAAAGAAGGGTTTTCCAAATTTTGTTGGGAAGATGAAGGGCCATCCAAATTTGTTAAGATATGCTGATTTGAATTAATAGGAGGAAGAGGGTCCATTTGCAACGAAGAAAGCTCTTTAAATTTTTAATTTTGAAATTTTCATTAAAAAAATAAATAAAAAACCGTAAGAAACCACACGATCGTAGTGGTACGGATTTATACAAATTAAATCTTGATGGTTTGTTGGAGTTTGACAGACAGGCAATTTGACCAATTCTGAGGGTAAAAAAAGAGAAAATTTAATAAAACGGTTAAAAATTATCCAGGAGCGCGTCACAGGAGGGAATTTTACGAGATCCCGCCTCGGGATCCCGAGTCTCACATCAGGCAACAACCACAATTACTCCAGCGGTTTATTTCTGTTTGACAATAGAAAATCCCATTAGGGTACACGCCGATGTACTGGCAGCTCAATGTACCGCCGAGCTATAACTCCTCGGTATCCTGGTATGTTCGATGCATCTCGACCGACTGAATCGAACCATACAAGGGCGCCACAGATTCGACAATTTTGGACAAAGTTATAGACGGCGGTACATTGGGCTCGCGGTACACTGGCCTTCTCACATCCCATTACGGGGCTCTGAATTTGCAATATTGCCGCACTCTAGTGAATCCCGGGGACGCCTTTGAATGTAAATCTAATCACATAATTTTATTCTAGAAAAATGACCTTTCAAAATAACCTGATTTATTCACATTCGGCCACCTCCAAATCCTTGCATACACAACATTTGGGACTCCTTTCCGACCAGCAACTTGTAAACGGCCGTCAAGTGATCTCTATAAAAAATTAGTTTAAATAAATTGAACAAAAATTCTAAAAAATACATGAATAGCAACACAACCAGAGGGCTGCTTTCCAGCAGAAGTGACTGCAGAAATTAGGGCATCTCTAAAATCAAACAAAATCAGATTTAAAAAAATTAGAATCCAAACAATTGCTCGCGCCTGTCTTTAAGTTTTTTGACCAAGCTTTCAATAGCCTTGTGGATGAATTCGGGGTCATCGCCACCCTGAAATGAAGATAAAAGGAATTTAAGAACAGTCTTTGAAAAGTATTAAGTAAATTAGGGTCCCATGGATACGACCAGCCGGGAAAAGCCTCAAATGGCAAACTTAAAAATCTGTTAGGTGACTTGGCGAGGAAAACCCAAAACCTGACTTTTCGAAAAGAAATTCTGAAAAACATCGCCCAGGATACAAAAGTACAGGAAGTTAAAAACGCCGAAAAAAGGCCAACTTAAAATTAAAAACCTGATGATAACACATCAAAATATGAACAAGTTGAGCACACGGATCCGTTGTAGCTTGCTGTTGCGTATTTTGTACAAGTGGAAGGCCATCCCCATTGTTGACAGAATTATTCATAATTCATAGGGATTGAAGTTACATTTAAAGAAAGCTAGTAGAAATAAGGGCATAAATATGATTCATGCAAAATAACATGCAAACAAAAAGAAACATGAAATAGATAAAAATTTATTTTTAGAATCAATTAAAAAGTCGAATAAATTAGTTTTTTAAAGCCCGTTAATTAAGTTTTTTGAGAAATTAATTATTTAAAAATCTTTGTTGAGGTCATTAGTCCTATTTCTTCTTGATAATCTTCCCGCCTCTTGTGTACTCAACTCTTCCATCCCTCATTGCAACGGGGAACAACAACTGAATTGAAAAAAAATAAATGAAATAATCAATAAAGAGCACCAACCTTCTTATCCCAACGAGACTTTTGACTCCTCCATTCAGCAAGAAAATGCTTTTTGTTAAAGCGGTTCTCCATGTGTATGTCAAATAGCTCGTTACAAAATCGGGTAGCAGAACGATAAGTCGGCAAGATAAGTGAAAGGAATTCAACGTCGTTATAACCGAATTTGTGAGCGCTTAAAATAAATTTTGTTTTAATATAGTATAAATTTAAAAATAAATACGAATAGGCATTAGCCCAAAAACCAATAAATGCATCACTGTCATCTACACAATTCTCTGCCAGATAGTCCACCACTCTTGACTTCATGGTAAAGTAGTCGACATCCATTGAATAGGTCCTCAAAAAAACTTTCAATTGAAGCGAAGATCCCAGCCAAATTTCTTCACAAGCAGACGCACCTGCTCGTTTTCCAATATGTTCTAAGGCCAATTGAAAGTGTGACTGGGGAGTCGCAGGTATACAAGGCTGGTCAACAATAACAGGAACATCAACAGCTACACGCCGGATCTAAAATATTTGGGTTTGTGGAACGGGGAGAAAAACAAAAAGATCTGTGGTCAAATACCCTAAAACCAAATTTAGATAAACAAACTAACTGGAAGTGGTACTAAAAGTCGTGAAGTAGACGAAAAGGCTCTAACACGGTGAAACATCGTTTGCAAAAGGCAGAAGAATGTACACAAGAAAATTAAGGCAGGTAGGTTTATTACCTGAAATATTAAAAAGAAATTGTAAGTTTATCAAGGGTCAAGTAAATCGATTAAAAAAAGAAATGGTTTATTGAGGTTAAAAACAAGGGAAATTCCCTGCTTTTTATGAAAACTTGAGTAACCAAAAGTTGACATAATGAAATGTACAAAACAAAATTATGCAGGTCGGTTTATCGCGAAAAGTTTTTTGGGCGGGCAGATTCAGTATCGCCGGTTCAGTATCTAGGGCATATTTTGGGCAAAAACCTTTTTGATTCTTAACCGATTAACGGACAAACATGATTAGTTAAGCCAGTTGATCCCGTCTAGTTAGACGTTTGGAATTCAGTCTATTTATGGGACTCACAATAAGGCATTTCGCCTACCCCATTAAATCCTATAAAATGCCTTTAATCCGATTGTGAATTCATTACAAAAAGTTTAAACCTCCAAATCCTTGCATACACAACATTTGGGACTCCTTTCCGTCCAGCAACTTGTAAACGACCGTCCAGTGAGCTCTATAAAAATTGGATTAAATTGAATAAAAATTCTAAAAAGTACGTGAATAGCAAAACAATTAGATGGCTGCAATCCAACAGAAGTTACTGCGGAAATTAGCACACCTCTAAAATTGAAAAAAATTAAATTAAAAAAACAAAAAATGCAACCAAACAATTGCTCGCGCCTGTCTTTAAGTTTTTTGACCAAGCTTTCGATGGCCTTGTGGATGAAGGGGGTTATCTCCACCCTGAAAACAAAGGTTGATAAAATTTATAAAAGAAAATAGAGAAAATGGTAAATATAAGATAATGAACAAAAATAAAAAGCATATTTCCAATGCATTCTTAATTCACAAAAAAATTATTTACAAATTTTATCAAAAAAATTTTTAACGCAAAAATTTCAATAAATTAGAAAATTAAAAAAATAATTGTAAACCAGAGGAAAATATAATTCAAGAAAAAAAAAGAAATTGAGTTCGAAGTAAAAGCACTGCTCGGGATTTTCTTTCTTATACAAATGTGCAGCAATAAACACTCTAGCATTGTGTCTAACAAAAATCCGGACGTGTCGGGCTAACTCAAGGAACGACAAGTCAAGGAACGACAGGTCAAGGAACGACAGGACAAGGAACGACCAACTCAAGGAATGTACCAAATCAAGGGATATTTTAAAAATCGAAATTTTTTGAAAAATCTGAATATTTTTTGAAAATAAGAATTTAAAAACAAATTGGAACACTTTGAAAAACAGAATTTAAAAAAAATCTGAAATATTCTGGTTTCTAAAAATATTCTGATTTTTAAAATATTCCTTGAGTTGGTCATTCCTTGAGTTGGTCGTTCCTTGACCTGTCGTTCCTTGAATTGTCTGTTCCTTGAGTTGGTATTCCTTGAGTTAGCCCCCACCCAAATCCGGAAAAGTCCGGTGGTCAGATAAAAAAATCCCGAACAGGCGTTTTTACTTGGAACTCTGAATGTAAAGAATAAAAAATACAAAATATTCATTTCTCTACTCTTTCTTCATAATCTCTTCACCTCTTGTGTACACAACAGTTCCATCACTCATTACAACGGGGAACAACAACTTAAAATTGAATAAAGCAAAATAGTTAAATTATAAATTAAAACCTAATGGTAAAAGTCGGCTGATGTTCCCCCTTTTATTCATTCTTTCAGCTCCCTAGAAAAAAGGAAGAAGTGCTTTTTCGATATTTTAGAGGTTTGCCAGTATTAGAGCTGGTTTGTAACAAAAAAATTTCCGAAAATCGAAATAAACCCAAAAATATCGGAATCGAAAATCCAAAGAAAAAATCTCGAAACTCAGCACATTCGATTGGCAAACTCTAAAATACGAAAATGGACTTCCCTTCTTTTTCTAGAGAGATGAAAGAATGAGAAAAAAGAGGAAACACCAGCCCGACTTTTACAAACCTCCTTATCCCAGCGGCCCTTCCATTCAGCAAGTAAATGGTTTTTGTCAAAGCGCTTGTTCATAACAATTTCGTATAATTCATTACAGAAATCTACAGCTGCATCATAAGAAATTGAGACCGAGAGAAGATGTTCAAAATCATCATAGTGTTTGTGGGCGCTTAAAATAGATTTATTCGGAAAATCTAACATAAGGATAAATTTATAATATTTTGCTCAAAGTAAAAATCATAAAAATCATAGTCAAAGTAAAAATCATAGCCAAAACATAACACGATGCCTATTTCGGATTTAATATTAAAAATAATACCAATGAGCACAATTCCAGTTACTGCTAAATTCCTCTCCATCATCTACGCAATTCTCTGTCAGATAATTCACAACGTTTGTTTGCATGGAAAAGCTGTCGACATCCAATTCGTAAGTCCTCAAAAAAACTTTCAATTGAAGCGAAGATCCTAGCCGAATTTCTTTTGACGCGGAAGCAACGTCCAGATCTCTAATGTGTTGATTAGCCATCTTTATATGGGAGTCCGGTGTTACTGGGCTGCAATGTTCGTAACGCTTGAGTTCTTCAGCAACTACACGCGCAAGCTAAAATATTTGAGTTAATGGAATTGAGAAAGAAAAGGAGAGGCGAAAGTAAACCCCGGTGACAGAGGTGAATCGAAATGACGAAGATGCCGGTAATCGGAACTGTCGGAAATCGGAAATGGCAACGTCGGAACTCGGAAATCAGACTAAATTTTTGGAAATTGGAAATCGGAATTCCGATTCATCTATGCCCGAAAACCAAAATTAATTAATAAACTAACAGGTGGTGTAACTGGAAGTCGTGGAAATGAACGCGGAAATGAACGTAGAAGAGTTGTTGAAAAAGCTCTAACTTGTTGAAGCATATTGAGCAAAAAATTAAAGTTTTAAAAGATTATCTGAAATAAAAAAAGGATTAAGTCTTAAAGAAAAGCAGATGGTTGTCTTTGCGCCGTTATGTCCGCGCGCCTACTTGTCCCTGTTCCGTAAATTATCAAATGAATTTCGAGGCCGGTTGGTTTGTCGAAGCAAGGTTTCTAAATTTTTGTGGATGCAATAAACGAACAGAAATAAAAAATGCAAATTTCTAATGCATTTGAAAATGGAAAAAAGAGAATTATTAATAAATTTTACCCAATTAGAAAATATTTTAAGTGAATTAGTAAATTTATAAAAAATCTTTTAAACAGAAAATATACTAGAAAATTTACAAAATTTGAAGCTTCAATTCTTCCAATTTTCTTTAAAAAATTTGTAAATGACAGAAAAGTCCTTAGACGCGTAGTTGGGATTATTCAGGAGATAAAGATAGAATTGATGTGCCAGCGCTCCCATTGGTATTGGAATTTTATTTCGAGTTGACAAGTTTTGGGCGAGCGATAAATCCTTTAAAATGTGGAAAAAAATCAGTGAAATCACTAACACAAAGAAAGTCAACTCCCATTAGGCCAACATCCAATTGGTCAACACCCAAAAGGTCAACCTATAAAAGGCCAACTTTCTAGTGATCAAATGACCATGAAGGTCAATTCCCAAAAGGTCAAATTACTCAAAATGGTCAACACAGAATGTCGAAGTCAAGGAGATTGGACGTATAAAGGGTCATGTTGATCAAGAATACCGTGGCATGCTCACTTTTGCCTTATCTGACAGTTGCACCAGAGAATTTCCGTCATATGCCCCTCAGGCATACTTAATCCCATATATCCCTCTTTATCCGCTCAAATATCTTAAATTGACATTAAGGGTCATTTATTGATAGGGAGTTGACCGTTGTGGGTAGACTTTGGGTAATCCCATTTGAAACACCAAAAAAACCTTAGCCATTAATGTGCAGGTAAAACCAGGCTCAAAATTATTAGAAGCAGGAGTCCCCGGCATTACGCCTGGGACAGGATTATAGGTGTCACTAGCCCAACAGCGTCCAGAACTGGAGTTGATTACTGATGTTAGGATTTGTGGATCTAAGCCAAGTCTGAAAAAAAGTAAAATTGGTTTTGTTAAGTGAATGTTAAAGCTTCAGTAATATTTGAAGCATGCTTCAGGTTTTTGAAATCATTCTCAAAATTTTTAAAACATGTTTCAAGTACCTTGAAGCCAATATGGGATTTTTGAAACATGCTCCAGATAATTAAAATAAACGTCAAATAAAATAATTAATAGCTTCTGACCATTAAAAGCATGCTTCATAGTCACCAGAAACATGTATCATATCATCAGAAGCATGCTCCCAATTATTAGAAGCATGCTTCAAGTCATTAAAAGCATGCTTCAACTCATTAGCATGTTTCATATGATCAGAAGCATGCTCCAAATTATTAGAGGCATGCTTCAAGTCACTAGAAACATGTTTCATATCATCAGAATTGTGCTTCATGTCATTAGAAGCATGCTTCAAGTCATTATTAGCATGTTTCAGGTCATTAGAAGAATGCTTTAGGTCATTAGAAACATGAACCAAATTATCAAAAGCATACTTCAAGTTCTTAAAAGCATGCTTCAGATTCTTTGGATCATGCTTCACATTCCCAATTTAATTTTTAAAATTCTACTTTTCCCCCATATTCATAATCTCTGCCAAAGCAATCATTTGAGAAGCAAGAAGCATATTATTACAAAGTTTGGTAACCTGTCCACTTCCGACTTTTCCACAATGGACTTTAAAAAACACTTAAATAAAAACACATATTCTTTAAAAACCTATATTCTTCCCCATTAATTCAAATAAATATTCTGCTTTTTTAATATCATTCAAATCACCCCCAATCATAAAAGTTAAGGTTGCCTTTTCTGCACCTACAAAATTAAAATTTGAAAAGTTGAAGCAAAAAATGTTTCTTGAAGCAAAAAAATTTTTTTTGAAGCAAAAGAATTTTTTGAAGCAAAAAATTTTTCTTGAAGCAAAAAATGTTTCTTGAAGCAAAAATTTTTCTGAAGCAAAATTTTTTTTCTGAAGCAAAAAATTTTTTTAAAGCAAAATGTTTCAAAAGAAACCTAAAACTCCCCCAGACACAGGTGCGTCCAAAAAACTCGCTTTTTTAGTCTGTACAAGTTCAGAAAGTTGAATAGAAGTTGCCTGATCAATAGTGCTACAATCAACGCATAGAGTGTTTTGTTGAAGCGTTCTGTTTTAAAATAAATTCTGAAACTTTTCCGGAAAATTAAATTTCTAGAGAGGTAATTCCGGAAATAATTCTGAAACTTTTCCGGAAGCTACTATTACAATTAAACTTTTTCCGGAAGCTACTATTACAATTAAACTTTTTCCGGAAACATTTACAATTCATAATTAAAACTTTTACAATTCTGAAACTTTTCCGGAAACTTTTACAATTTTCCTTGATAAATTCTTTCCTAAAGCTTTCCGGAAACTCTAAATTTATTAACTAGTTTTTCCGTAAACATTTACAATTCCGGAAAACTTTTTTACAATTATAAATCTTTTCCGGAAAACTTTAAAATATTTTTCCGGAAATATTTACAATCATCTTTAAATTTTTACAATTCTTCCGGAAAACTTTTCCGGAAACATTTTACAAGTATAAATATTTTTCCGCAAACATTTACAATTCTGAAGCTCTTCCGGAAACATTTTACAATTATAAATATTTTCCGGAAAACTTATAACATTTTCCGGAAATATTTACAATTCCGGAAAACTCTTCCGGAAACATTTTTACAATTATAAATCCTTTCCGGAAAACTTTAAAATATTTTTCCGGAAACATTTACAATTTTGAAACTTTTCCGGAAACATTTACAATCCATCCTTAAAACTTTTACGATTCTTCCGGAAACTTTTCCGGAAAACAATAAAAAATAACTACTCCATAATTCCTTCTTTTCCTGTATACAAACAAAGCACATCTTCCCCATTTGGAAGCATTGTAAATATTTTTTCACATTTTGAAGCTAATTCTGCTGCACTAGAACAAATATTAGAACCCTTTTCTTTGAATTCCAAAAGCTTTTCTTTGTTGTTATCGAATACAGCCAAGCGGATATTTTTGGTTAGCAAGTTTTTGGCCATACGCCCGCCCATAGAACCCAATCCAACAAATCCAACGTATCCTCCCATTTTTTGTTTTTTTTGTGGGCTGGGGAAATCTAGAAATAAAAAGCAAAATGCGGAATGCGAAACTTTTCGCGGTGAAAAATAAATATGCGAAACGCGAAATGCGAAATTAGCGGGACACGCCCAAAACGGCGCGCGGCCAAAACAGCGCAAAGCCATAACTTGCTTCAGGTTTTCCGAATCTTACCAAATTTAGTATTAAACGATTCCTCTTATCGAGCTGAAGAGGTTGGTACCAAAATTGATAAGGGCCAGAAATTTTTCACCAAGCTAAGGCTTTGCGCCGTTATGGCCTCGCGCCGTTTTAGGCTGTACCCGAAATTAGCCCAGCTCTGCTGTATAATAATAAAATTGATTTTTGGTCTATCCATTATAAACAGCTGTTGTTTTTTGATGTGACAATATACATCCTATAAATATCTTCTATTTATTTTAATTTTTTCATTTAAAAATATTTTTCAGGCTTAAAAGTTCTGCAAATTTGTAGGAAAAAAAATTTGCGGACAAATCTTTGCGGACAAAAACTTGCGGACTTTTCCTCAACTAAAAATGGATAGCATTTATTTCATATTTTTCTTGCTGATTTATTGGAATTATTTAGTGGTAAGTGCTCTTATTTAATTTAAATTAAATTTTCTTGGTAATAGTTAAGTTTGTGTTTCCCCTTTTTTCTTTCGGCTGTAATGTAGTGTACCGAGGTAAAAGTTCAGGACGTGGCATGTCATTCGATTCGCCTCGTCGAGCTGAGTCGGACGGTACCACTCCCAATTTCAGGAAAAGATTCTGGACCGAGTTATATTATACCAAAATCGACCTTTCTCCCCCATGGTTTTTCAATTTTTCGGGGCCTATAACTCGGTCCAGAATCTTTTCCTGAAATTGGGAGTGGTACCGTCCGACACAAACTTAACTATTGCCTTTTTCTTCTAGACTATAGCAGCAAATATAAATTATAATTTAATTTACCCAAAATTTTGTATTTCAATTTTAATCAAAAATGAACATGTTTTGCCCTATTTTATGGGATTAATCGAAGATTGGCGTTATCCAAAGGACAGAATTCATTTAAATTTTTTTGTTGAAAATGAGGATAGTGGGAGTATAAGGTTTTTTTTAAATTTCTTAACTTTTTGCGGATTTTTTGTAAGTTTTGCGGATTTCGATTTTTTTGCGGATTTTGGGGGGTTTGAGGACATTTTGTAAGTTTTGCGGACCCAAAATTTTGCCTTGTTCAGATTATTCGCAACCTATTCATTATTATCCACCCAATAATCCTTAAAAACTGCAAAAAATAAAAGTTGCGGACAAAATTTTCGGACTTTCTTGGAATAGCTTTATGAGGGTTTTCACTCTATTTTTTGTCCAATTTTCCCCTTACCCGCATCTGAACATTATCATTCATCCAAAAACTGCAAAAATATAATTTGCGGATTGTCTGCAAAAACTTGCGGACTTTCCGCAAAAACTTGCGGATTGTCCGCAAATTTATTTTTCTTTATTTTCTTCGATTTTTTTCATTTTTTCTTCATTTTAGATGGATTCAAGACTTCCCCAAAGGCTTGTACCTCTCAATAAGCTTAACAGAAAATGAAAATCAAAATTGGAGAGAATTTTCTTTAAATTTTGGACGTCGCAAATCTTGCAATTTTTTGTTAATTTTGGACACCAACAATTTTTTGTTGCGTGATTCTCTTCGACAATTAATTTCTTTTGCTGAATTACCCGTCGTATTATCGCCTTTTTTGGATTCTCCGATGCAAGGAAGTGTTAATAATGCACAAGAATTGGAGCTGGATTTTGAGTTTGTTTGGAGGGAGAAGCTGGATTTTGTTAGGGTATATTTTAATTTTTAATATTTTACGAGTCTGAGACATCGGGACCTTCCTCTATGATACGACCAACTAGAAAACCACAATTTAACATACGCTTTTTTAGTTTGGGTGGGCGACTGTGTGAAGGTTGTGGGGATTCCATAAGCAATATCCTCAACAATGGGTACTGTCTATTTTGGCTTTTACCTTCGGAAATACTTTATATTTTGGCCATGAGAACGTCAATAGAAGTTCGACTCTAGTCAGTTTTCGTTAATAACAAAATCATTGATTTTTGAAAGTTCCAAAAATAAAATTTGCGGACAAATAAAATTTGCGGACAAAAAAAAATTTGCGGACAAAACTTGCGGACAAAAAAATTTTTTGCGGACAGATAAAATTTTTTTTATTTTTTAGGTTTATTATTCCAATGGCCCACTTTTGATAAATCTAAAACATCCGGACTCTTCTTATCTAACATTTGAAGAGAACAATTTACTTGGATATGAGGGTTCTAACGATCCAATAGATGTTTTTGCTGTTTCCGCCTACAAAATGAATATTCCAATTTTATTCTCTAATCACTTTTATTATGGATATTTTTTGTATCCTTCAAGGCTAAATAGTGAACATGCTTCTCTAGTTTGTTTATTTTTATTTTTTTGTTTTAGTATTAGGTGAGAGAGGGTGGAAATGGAGAAAATATTTTTGCGGACAAAACTTGCGGACAAACTAGTTTTTTGTTTTTTTTTTTAAATTTTCATGGGATAAGTAATGACTTCAAATATTTGGATCTTGAAATACCAAACCCTCAAAAACGCTTGAAATACCAAGCCGTAGAAAAAATTGAAACTGCTATTTTCAGCTTTTTCCCACGGTTTGTATTTCAAGCGTTTTTGGGGGCTTGGAAGCTTTTGCTATTATACGACGTTCCGTTAAGGACTTATTTAACTTTCCAAGACTTCTTCTCCTAATAATAAGTTTGAAAAAAGCAAAGAGATTTAATTTGCGGATAAATTTAATTTGCGGACAAAACTTGCGGACAAACTTTTTTTTACGGATTGTCCGCAACTCCCATTTTTAATCGATTTTTTGCAGTATTCAACATTCTTGGCCCATTTCATCTCCGATTCTGGTTCAATTCCATTCCCATCTTCATCAGTTCTTCCACCTTGGTGTCCAATCGAGACAAAGGTTTAGCTTTCTTTTGGATTTTTTTTTAAAATTTTTTAAAGTTTGGCTTCGATCAAATCTACCTCATAAACCTCGCTCGACGACCCGAACGCTTAAACAAAATGGCACAAATTTTGCGCCTTGTAGGAATGAAATTTGAACGTTTTGAAGCTGTAGACGGCCAAAATTTGACAAAACGTCAACTGGATTCACTCAACTTTTTGCCTGGTTATTTGGACCCGTGGCATAAACGGCCAATGAAGTTGGGGGAAATTGGATGTTTTTTGAGTCATTATAAAGTTTGGAAGGATGTTGTGGCAAATGGATATGATAGAGCGATTGTTTTGGAGGATGATATGAAATTTACGCAAAATGGAACTTTAATGTTTATTTTTTTATTTAATTATAAAGGGGGGAATAGGGATAGGTTGGGGACTGACATGAGGTAATATTTGGACCCTTATCTTTGTTTATAGTTGACTTGTATCAATAATTTTGGTATCATGCGGAAGCTAAGAATGTCTAGATTATTTTACCCAAAGGAACCTTACCGATGTGGGCATTTTTCAAAAAGTTGTGGCCATTTAAGTGAACAAGTACGATTTTCTTGATTTATTGGTCTATAGTTTGTGATTGAGTATTTGGATTAAATCGGTCCCTTTATATAAAATAAAGCTGACATTTTTAGCTTCCTAATTATGAAAAAATTATCCAGAAAGATTAAAAATAAACAAAGTTATAGGTCTTAAAAGTGTAGGGGTTTCATGCCTTTTTTATTCGTTACAGCCTTTTTGGTCTAGTGGTTAGCATTGTAGGCTTTGTGGGGGTGATGTTGTTGGTTCGATTCCATATGGGGATCAGAAGTTTAGTGGGCATGTTTTTGGACCCTAGAATGATTTTTAATGATTTTTAAAATATTTTAAAAAATTCAAAAATTTTTTTAACCATTGAAAAATTCAAAAAAAAATTTTTTTTCAGACTCAACAAAATGGTTCAAGATTTAATGAAGACACGTCTGGATTGGGATTTTATCTATTTTGGACGAAAGATAAACAATAAGGCAATTCCAGAATTTTTTGTACCAGGTTTGCTTTATTTTAATTTTTAATTTTTTTTCACTATAAGATACCCTCTCGTGGCTGGAGAAAATTTCGTCTATCTTATAATCCGTTTAGGCATTCTCCTATCCCCAGCCTTCTCTCCTCTTTAGCACTTAAACTCGAAGTCCATAACTCAGTCCAAGGTTATTTAATCTCGGTCGAAAGGGCCCAAGGTTAAACAGGGATATCACTTTGCAATAGGTGACTTCTTGTGACTGAAAATAATCATTTACCTTTTAATCACAAGCCTTGCATAAAAAATCGCTTGGCGTCTTGCAACAGAAAATATAACGGAAAAAGAGGAGAGACAATATCTGCACTATTTTATCTTTGCGTCATCTGAATGTTATATTTTTGTAGCAAGACGCAAAGCGAATTTTTTATGTGAACAGAAAATTTAGGAGAAATTGATAAAAAAATTTTTTGGTGAAAAATTTGGTGTAGTTGGGTAGTTTTAGGTTACTAACCGTTAGGGCTCATGGTTCGAACCCCGTCATGGGAATCTTTTTTTAAAATTTAAGTAAAATGTTTAGAGGGCTAAAAAAGGTCATTTTAACATTAAAAAATAATTTTTAAAAATTTTTTTAAAGGTCATTCCCACCTCAGCACAATTTCTTATTCCTACTGGACTATAGGCTATGCAATAAGCCTGTCGGGAGCCAGAAAACTAATTGAAGCAGATCCCCTAAATAATTTATTGACTCTAGATGAATTTTTGCCTATAATGTATTCTCAACATCCCAACCAAATTTGGTCAAGATTTTTTGAGGAAAAAGAAAAATTGAATGCCTTTGCTGTTTACCCACTAATTTTGGAGCCTGAACGTTACTCTTCTCATTCGGATTTTTTGAGTGATACAGAGGGAAGTGAACAAGTTGATTTTAATTATTTGGGTAGTAGAGGGGAGGGGGAAGAAGGGGAAAAGAAGAATTTTTTGAAAAATGAATTGTTTGTTGAAAATTTAAATTTTAAGGATGAATTCTAGTCTTTCTTTAGTTGTACATAAATGATGGTTAGTTAATTTTCTAGTTAATTGTAAGCTTCTCTATGTGGTCTAATTTAAATTTGGGAAAATTTCTAAAATTTTGGGGAAGTTTATTTTAAATTGGGATTCAATTAAAGTTATTTTTCAAATTAAAAAAATTTTTCTTGTCCGCAAAATTTTTCTTGTCCGCAAAATATTTGCGGACAAGAAATTTTCTGTCCGCAAATTTTTTTGAAGCAACTAATTTTAAGGAAGTAAGCCAAGTCTAAACCTTTTTATTTTGAAATTTTCTTAAAATTGTCCAGGTTCCGAGTTGGGGTTTGTCCGCAAAAAATTGCGGACAATTTTTGCGGACAAAATTTTTTGTCCGCAAATTTTTGCGGACAATTTTTGCGGACACAATTTTTTTTAATCGCAAGTCTTTTTCCGATAGTTAGCTAATTGTTTTTGAATATCCCTTGTAAATTTTGATACATAGAGAAGTTTTTTTGTAATTTTACTTTCATTAATTGCTCATTTTTAACTTTTTCTTCATACCTATACCCATTAATTTGCTTTAATTTTAATTGATTGCTTTAATCTTTGTAAAAAATTTTTTTAAGTGCCATAAATTAATTTTTTTAAAATTGTATATTTATTTCAAAGGCATTATTTCCATTAAAATTATTTTTCTAATTAAAGAAAATTTTCTTGTCCGCAAAAATTTTTGCGGACAAAGTTTTTGTCCGCAAAATTTTTTGCGGACAGAATTTTTTTTTTATTTTTTAAACTTTTTCAATTGATGGGAGGATGTGTGAGTAGTAGAGATGTAGACGTTGAAATCGATGGAAAGCTGTTACGCTTAAAAAGAGTAATTGCTACAGGGTTTATTTTAAATTTTAATGAAGAGATTTTTTTAATTTTTAGAGGATTCAGTCAAATTTACCTGGCGGAGGAAGCTTCAAACAACGAAAAATTTGCTATCAAGAAAATTCTCTGTCATGGACAGGATGAAATTAAATGTGTTAGGAGGGAGATTGAGGTTTTTTATAAATTTTAATTTTTGAAAAATTTTGTCCGCAAAATATTTGCGGACAAAATTTGATTTTTGCGGACAGAAAATTTTGGGAAATTTCTGATGTATTGACTTTCCTATTAAATTTATCTGATACATTACTGGATGCAGTTAGTCTGCAAAATTTGTCCCTAAAAATTTTCTGTCCGCAAATATTTTGCGGACTAATTTTTGTCCGCAAGATTTTTTGCGGACAAAATTTTAAAAATTTTTTCAAGCTACTCACTCGTTTTGCTCATTTACCACACATTTTACCATTCTTGGGGGTTGCAGAGGGCCGCTCTGTTGATCCAACTTTTGCGGAATTCTGTATGGTTTTTCCTTTCTGCCGCCGTGGATCGTTACAAGAAGATTTGGCTAATAGACGACAAAATAAACAATTTTTTGAAAGAAAAGTTTTACTAGAATTTTTTAGACAGGTTTCTTTAAAGGTTTTTTGTGCCTAATGTGCTAATTTTGTTATTTATGGCAAAATGAAATTTTTTGCCCTTCTGACCATTTTGGACATTTTTGAAATTTTTTTAGTTGAGGGTATTTTTGGTTGGAAAAATTGTTTTAGAAATTTTTTAAAATATTTTTTTAATTCTCTTTTTATAGATTATCGAAGCTATTGGATATTTGCACAGTGCTAAACCTGCAATAGCTCACAGGTTTGAATTTCTAAAATTATTTTTCCAAAGGGGTGTCAGTTTTGTCTTTCGCCCAATTTCCCCTTATTTGGTGTTTCGTCTTTAGCTTTTTAAAATAAGTTTAGGCACATCCCTGGGTGTCCAACCAGTTCAATTCTGTTTGAAATGTAAAAGTCCGCAAAAATTTGTCCGCAAAAAATTTTGTCCGCAAATTTTTTGCGGACAAATTTTTGTCCGCAAAAATTTTTTTTTAATTTTTTAGAGATTTAAAACCCGGCAATTTAATGTTCTATCAAGACTTTTATACACTTCAATTAATCGATTTTGGTTCAGCAATGGAATGCCCTTTGACTATTTCAGATGCCTTAACTAGCAGAAAAATGTTGGACGAAGCTGGTCAATATTGTACAATGTTGGGAATTTTTTTAGTTTTTTGAATAGAAAATTTTTTTAATTTTTTTAAAGGCCTTATAGAGCACCAGAATTGTTTACTTGTGAAGTTGGAATGGAAATAGACGAATCTGTTGATATTTGGGTTTAATTTTTTTTTATTTTTTGGAGGGGGGGGGGAGGATTGCTGTCAGGGTTGTCCGCAAAAATTAAAATTCCGGCTGCGGCAAATTTTATTTGCAGACCCCTGATTAAATTATAGAGAAGAGGGTAGGATTCCGCTTCTGAATTTTGATTGGGGCTATCTTTTAACGCGTTATGAGCTACTTCCTCGAAAAAAAATTTTTAAGCTAGGAAGCTCTCTATAACTGCCCTTTTTACGTCAATGCTACTCCGTCCCGTAGGGTGACAGTTATGTATTTCCATCTACTAATTTAGTTTATTCCATCTACTAATTTAATTTTAATCTCTTTTAAAGTCGCTTGGTTGTGTATTTTATGCCCTTTGTTATTTTGTTTCACCCTTTGATGAAGTACATGAACGAGGAGATAGCGGTTAATTTTTTGAATTTTTTATTTTAATTAAATAATAAAGGGGGTTTTAATTAAAAATTACCCCTCTAGCCCTCCCCCTCTCTCGCTCTCATCAGAGTTATTCCCAGACGGTGGGAGGGCTACGGGGGAAGTTTTCGAGAGGGGGGGGGCTAGGGGCGGGGATATTTTTCTTTTTTCACGGGGGAGAGGGCGGGGGCGTGGAATTTTTAAAAAATGTCTCAAATCCCCCGACTTGCGGGGACGGGGAGCAACTTTATCTCTCACTCTTCCTATTTCCAAGTCAAAAAACAAAAAAAAATAACTTTATGATAAGACGCCCTCCTCTAGCCTCTCTTTTCTTTCTTTCCTCTCCATTAAAAAAAATTTTTTTTTTAATTAAAAATACCTCCGAGCCTCTCTCACCCTTTTTCTTATGCATTCTCTTCTCTAGTCAGAAATTTTTTTTTAATTTTGTAGTAGCTCTAGCCGTTCAATCTGCCAAACTCTCCTTTAACTCGTCTGCACCGTAAAATTTTTAATTTTTTTAAAATTCCCTAAAAATTTTTTAAAGCTTCTCAAATGACATAATTACCCTAATTTCTTCGCTAATTAAAGTTTCCCCGCAAGAAAGACCAAAAATTTTTAAAATTAAAAAAAGTGTTGAAGAAATGATTTTTACAGAAATTTAATTAAATTATTTTTTTAATTTTTTTTTAATTTTGATGCCTTCCAAATTTTGTGATTTTATTTCTAATTTTCACTTTAATTTTTTTTTTTTTAATTATATTTTTAAATTATTATATTGGGGACACGCCCAAGTAGGCGCGCGGCCAAGTAGGCGCAAAGCCATAACTACCTGAAAAATTTATGGACCTTAACAATTTTGGTACCATTCTCTTTAGCTCGATGAGAGGAATCGTTTAATACCAAATTTGGTAAGATTCGGAAATTTTGAAGCAAGTTATGACTTTGCGCCGTTATGGCCGCGCGCCTACTTGGGCCGTACCCATTATATTGACATTCTCCTTTTAATTTATTTTTTAATTAAACCTTTTTAAGCTTAAACTTGTGTTTTCTAAAAAAACTTGAGTTTGTAAACTTAAAAACTTATTTTCGCAAAACTTAAAAATTTAAATTGGAAAAAGGGTCATTGGATCCATTAGCCGGCTGTGAACCAAGGCCAGGGATGAGCCCAAGAGGCAATCCTGAAAAACGCAACGCGCTTATCCCTGACCCAGACCTATTACCCTAATAAATTTTGTTTGATAAAATTAGGTTCTTTCCGAGTTTCAAGGTTTTTAGCCCAGAAGCCTAGCCCGAGTCTCAGCTTAAAAACCCGACCGGGCCCAGATCCATTTCGAGTAGATTTACTCCTGACCCGTGCCTATAGACTGGAAACCGGGTATTTTGATAAAATCCGGTTTTCAAAGTTTTTAGCCGGAAGGGCTCGCATCTTTTTTGCTAATTTTGGAACAAAAGATTCCTTGGGTCGGGGTCGAGTCGAAAAAAGCTGAGTTTCGGGTACCGGTACTTTATGGATATGTCACCCCCCCCTATTTTGAATTTCAAAAAAATACGTGGAAAGGCAAAATAAACAAGCAAAATACTTGAAGAAGTAAAAAATGATTGACATGGAGAAGAAAATAATCTCTGACCATTTTCTACGTATAATGAAAACTCTGAGACTCAAAATAGGAGGGGGGGGGGGTGACATATCCATAAAGTACCCGGGTACCCGACCCATCTCTGCCTCAGAGAGTAGTATTTTCAAGTTTGTGTTTTTCTTATTAAAAATTCCCCACAATAAATTAAGCCTTTTTGAGGAAGACAGAAACAGTTGTTTGTTTGTTACCCTATTCTCGACCAAATATTAAATCAATGAATGTTGGAATAAACTTTAAATAAAGTTGAGATCTTCCCCTTTTATTTAATGTAAGGGAAAAATAAATTTCAAAAATAAATGTATACCCCCCAATATTTTCGTCATTGGAGACGTTCATTAGCAACTACAACCCCTGAAGATGACAAAAAAGAATTTGGGGGTGAAGAAGAAAGAGAAGATTCTTTAAAAAGTGAAGATAACAAGACTGATAGTTTTCTAAAATCTTCAGAAATTCATCCAAAAAATACAAGGGGAAAAGATGAACAAAGCCTTAGATTAGCCGGATTGAGAAGAAATTCTTTACTTTTGTTGTTTATTTGGTTGGGGGTTGTTGCTACGTTGGCTTTAATATTGCTTATTGTGAGTTTAAAGTTTTTAAGTTTGTAAACTTGCTTTTTCGTTTTCAAAGTTTATTTTTCTAAGTTTAATCTTAAGTGTTTAAGTTTGCAAAGTTTATTTTTGGTTTACAAATTATTCAAGTTTATTTTTAGGTTTGTAAATTATTCCAAGTTTGTTTTTAAGTTTTTAGCTTGCCAAGTTTATTTTAAGTTTTATGTTTAATTTTAAAACTTAAGTTTGTAAATTATTCCAAGTTTAAGCTAGCCATAGTTATATTTAAGTTTGTAAACTTATTCCAAGTCTGTTTTATTAGACTCGTCAAGTTGATTTTTAGTTTTAAGTCTATAGTTTTTAAGTTTACAAACTACTCCAACTTTATTTTTAGTTTTAAGTTTACCAACTTTATATTCAAATTTGTAAATTATTCCAAGTTTGTTTTTAGGCTACCAAGTTTATTTTTTTGTATTGGTTTATAGTCTTAGGTTTGCAACTTCTCCTAGTTCACTTTTTAATTTTAAGTTTGTAAATTACTCTAAATATATATTTAAGTTTACAAGTCATTCCAAGTTTAATTTTAGGTATTTAAGGTTTAAAGTTTTTTCAGCTCAACATTTCTCTCGTGCTTGTTTTACAAATGTCCCCTCAAGGAATGCGTTCTTTACGTATTTATTCTTTTACAAACCCAAAGACTGGTTATTCTGAACCTGCCGTTCATTTTTCTGCTGAACAAACTCATTTGGGACAAGTTGTGGCAAATAGTGGTAAAGTACTTGGACAGAGGGGAGTAAATGTGGGTTAAAACATTATTTTTACAATTCAAGTTTATTTAGGTAGATTTTATTTAATTTTTCAAGTTTATTTTTATATGCAAGTTGCGCACTTAAGTTTACATTCTCAACTTAAGTTTTAACGTATATTAGTATTCCAAGTTTATTTTTATATTTTACAATCCAAGTTTATTTTTTTATATTTAAGTTTGTAATTCAAGTTTATATTTTGAGTTAAGTGTGTAATACTAGTATTCCAAGTTTATATTTTATTCTCAAGTTTATTTTTTGTATATTAAAGTTTTACACTTAAGTTTATGTTTTCAAGTTTAATTTTTTTCAAGTTTATTTTTTATTTTCAAGTTTAATCTTATATAAACTTGATGACAAACAAGTTTTAAAAAATAAACTTGAATCGCAAACTTAAGTTTTAAAAAATATCCCATATCCTTTTTTGTATTTTCACTAACTTATATTTTCTTTTAAGCTTGAGATTCATGGCTCTCGTGTGCTTATTCAAACAGGGAATGAGACTAAAACTGTTTTACAAGGAGGAGAATGCAAGATTGAAGGGGTTAAACAATTCCAAGTAAAATATAAAAAAATCTGACAAAAAATTAATTTTTCCCTCCTTTAGATTAGACAACCAGGGACAGATAAAGTGCTGTTTAGTGCTCGCCACCCACTCGTTTCCATCGACAGACGAATCAAAAAAATATCTTCAGGACACATTATTACAAGTAAATTGAGATCTCCAATAGATGAATCTATTCACATAACAGCTGAAGATTTGGGGTTAAGAGGGAATGAAAGGATTCAAATGGAGGCTAAAGCAATTAATTTTACAGCAAAGACAGGCATTCGATTTTCTACAACGGTGAGGAGGAATAAAATTAATACACTCTGTTTCAAAAGTATAACCCACTTTAATTTTTTTACTTTTTTAGTTGCTTAATCAATGTATCTTTTTGAGATTTTGTATTTAGATACATTTAACAAATCTACGAAGATTCCAAAAGTTTCATAAAATTTTGTTCGATACAAAATTTTTAATTAATTTTTTTCGAAATTTTCCCTAAAAAGGGTGTTTCATAAGTATAACCCACTTTTATTTTTAATATTTCCAACATTAGCAAAAATCTACAAAAATTCCATCAACCTTATATAGGAATATTATAAAAAAAAATAAAAAAAATTAGGCCCATATCTCTACTCATTGTCGAGATTCTAACATCTCAAAAACCTCGAAACTCAACGTAAAACGAGGGTAGGTCTAATTAAAAAATATATTTGACACATTAAGGGTAGTTTTTAAATTTTAATTTTAGCCTATATGAAAGCCCTTGAAATTTGCTAAAAGATAGCATCTGCCTTATTTTTCAGAAAAAATCCATTAGCGAGATACAGTTGGTCAAACTTTCGCATCAACAAAAAACGCCTAAATGCCCACAAAAATGACCGTTAGGGTCGCTTCTGAAGTTTAACCACCTGTATCTCGCTAATGGATTTTTTCTGAAAAATAAGGCAAATGCTATCTTGTAGCAAATTTTAAGGGCTTTCAGATATGCCAAAAATAAAATTTCAAAACTACACTTACTGTGTAGAAAATATTTTTTAAATAGACCTACCCTCGTTTTACGTTGATTTTCGAGGTTTTAGAGGTGTCAGGATCTCGGCATTGAGTAGAGATATGGACCTGATTTTTTTTCTAATTTTTATAATATCAATATACATGTTTGAGGAATTTTTTTTAGATTTTTCCTATTGTTGCAAATATGAAAAATAAAAGTGGGTTATACTTATGAAACACCTATTTTGGGGAAGAATTTAGAAAAAAATTAATAAAAAATTTTGTATTAGATAAAAATTGATAGAACTGCGGGAATATTCGTAGATTAGTTAAATGAATCAACATACCAAATTTCAAAAAAATACATTAACTTATCATCGAGAAAAGTGAAAAATCAAAAGTGGGTTATACTTTTGAAACAGAGTGTATATGCTTGAGATATAAAAATAAACTTTAATTACAAACTTGGATTTTAAAAAATAAACTTGAAATATAAACTTAAATAACAAAAATTAAACTTGAATTATGGAAAATAAACTTGAACCGCAATCTTGAATTTAAAAATAAACTTAAATTGGAAACTTAAGTTTAAAAAATAAACTTGAATTACGAACTTAAGTTTTAAAACTTAAACTTGGATCGCAAACTTAACTAGCAAAAATAAACCTGAAATACAAACTTGAACTTAAAAATAAACTTGAATTCTAGAAAATAAACTTGAATTACGAACTTAAGGTTTAAAGCCTTGTATTAGAAACTTAACTAACAAAAATAAACCTAAATTACAAACTTGAATTTAAAATTAAGCCTAATTTGCAAACTTGTATTATAAATATATTTAAATTTCTATAATATTTTCCAATTTTTAATTCCACATCAATTAATTAATTTTAGGAAGACGGCTCTATCCGTTTAACATCAAAACAAATTTTTCTCGGCAGTAAATGGCTTTCTTTGCCATTAAGCCCATCCCCAGCATTAATAGCTTCTGTGGAGGCCTTTCGCGTTTGCCTTTGTCGCTCGTCAGCAATAATGATAGAAAGACCAAAAGTCTTTATAGTGCCAGGAAATAGGCCTTGCATTGCCTCAGCTAATATATGCCAATAATTTTGAGATTTTATAAATGCATGAAATGAAGTAAAACTTGTTTTTGATTTTCTAGGTTTTTGTTATTTTTATAGATTTTTAGAACAAAAATAAACTTGAATTATAAAATTAAACTTGACTTAAATAAAATAAACTTAGAAACTTAAGAATACAAACTTGGCTACAAAAATAAACTTAAATTAAATAATTAAACTTGATAATTAAGATTAAGCTTAAACTCAAATAAATAAACTTGAAAATATAAAATAAACTTGAATAACAATATATAAACTTGAATTGCAAACTTGAATTATAATACAATAAATAAACTTGAATTTACAAAAACAAACTTAAAATATTAAACTTAGGTTTATTAATTAAGCTTAATCTTAAATTACAAAAATAAACTTAAAAAATAAACTTGATTACACTTAAGTAAACAAACTCAAAAATACAAGATTAATCTTAAAAATATACAAATTTGCCTGAAAAGTATTTTTTTCAAAACATTTTGTTTTTATTATTATGCATGGGTGATGATGAATTTGTGGGTGGGCCACTATACTACTTTAAAATGTAATGAAGCTTTTGCCGCCAAGTGTTAGCCTTTTCCGGCAATATTTCTTCTATTTTCTTTTTTTTCTTATCGATTCACTTTTATTCATCATTCTTTTTTGCCACACTTTCTATGGCACAAAACACTACTTTATTTCCTTATATTTGCTATATTAGAGATAAAGTCTTGGCAAAATGAAGTTGAATTGACATTTTTGTTGTTTTATTTTTAAAAAGGAGAGGAGAAAAATAGAAAATTGGAAAAATATCTCTTTTCAATTTATTTTTAAAGAAAAATGAACAACAAGGATTTATCTGTAAATATGCATAAATCAACAACTAATAGGAGTATTACTGTGAGTAGTTTTTCTTATATATCCCTAACCCCTTTCTTCAGGGGGTTAGTCGGCGTTGGGCCCCAAGAGTGGTAACCCACCCTTGGGGCGCGCCGATCCACCTATTAAAAACGAAGGCCTTCTTTTTAACCTTTTTATTCAACAAATATAATTAATAAATAAAAGGCGGAGAGGACAGGCCAACTTTTGATCGGGCCCAAAACTAATTAATGAGTGAATAAGTTGATTTGGCCTATTCTCTCTCGCCTTTTATGAGGCGCTAAAATGGGCGTTTCATAAATTTAACTATGACATTCTATACGCGGGGGTGGGGGATACAATAGAAAAAGCGGATAAATAAAAGTGCGGAAAATGTGAAATGAAATTCTGTTTTCTTTATCTGAATAATCTATCTTTCTGTATGTGCCGTTTCTTTCTGGTACAATGTGCTTCTCAATATTTTGTCATCCACATTCTTCGCTTCCATTCTTTTAGCAATCAAATCTATCCCGCGCAAAACATCATTTCACCTCAACAGATTCCTGCACTTGTATGTATTAGATCAAGAAAATTTGGGCAAAAACGGAAAAATTATGTATATGTAAACGGAGCGCCAATCCAAGAAAATGTCAAACAATAAACGCCAAAATCCACTTTCTCTTCCTCTCCTGGGGGGTCAGCAAATAAATTTATTTCGAAAAATGAATCCCGTCGCCAAATGTTTTTTAATACTCCTCAAAATCTGTTCCGTCCGTTGGCCAGTTCTGATATCCTTGATCCTGACAACATTCCTCTCCCCAGTATTCACTACTCTCATGTGGAAACCATTGGCCTTCAACGTCATAATATTGGTCATTATAGTATAGGTCAAAATTTGGGTCAATCTGTTCATCATCCCAATTTTTATCATCCTCTTCCCAATTCTCACTACATCTGGTTGGCTCGTGGAATTGCTCCTCATAGTAATATTGGTCATAGTTTTCGTATGGATCCCTTACCTCATTAACCTCCGCTAGCGCCGCCTTAACTTCTATTTTCTCCAGTCTTTTTCTCGTCTCATCTTTAATTGTCCGATTTAATTCATCAACCCTTTTTGCCTGCGCTATTGCTTCTGCCAATGAAGAGGGCGCATTCATAAAAATAACCTTTTCCCTAAGTTCAGGTAACATTCCGGCTTTAAATCTCTCCATACAAATCTCCTCTTTAAACCTTTTGACCATTTTTTCATTTTCCCCCTTCAAGCCTGTCCTTTGCTCGTCATCTAACTTAATTGAAGAAAGATCCATTCCAAACGCATTCTCAGGATAAGCCGCTTCTACTAGATATATTAAATCCCTTGCAAATTCTTCTAATCCTTCGTTCATTTCCTGTCTCCTTTCCACCAATTTTTTGCGTGCGCTTTCCTTATTTGATATCTTTTTTAGCCTCCCTGCCAAGCTTTCTACAAGTGTCTTCCACCGCGATTTTTCATCCACGGGCATTGATTCGTAAATCGCAAGTGCAGACCCTTGTAGATAAAGCGGTAAAATCTGCGTGCATCTCGAGGGAGTCCAATTGTGTGCCGTTGCTATTCGGTTGAAAGTCCTTAGATAACTCAAAAAATCTCCATTGCCATTAAAGAAGGTAGGGTATGGAAGTCCACTTGAGCTCGTACCAATAGTATTATCCCCTTTATCCTTTGTATTATCCACTTCCAATCCTGAAATGTCCTCTTCTTTCATCACAAGCCTCTATTAATTCTTTAGTCAGTCTTTGTCCGGACTTGATTTATTTTATAATTTTTTTTCCAATTTTATTCCAATGCTCGACTTTTCCTAACACTTCAAATAATGTTTCCTCTTTTAGCTAGCTTTTTGCCCACAGTAGGGGAACTAGAAGCGATCCTGCAGTGATACGCCCCTAATCTGTTAGGAAACGATTCGAGCTCTTATTTCCCAATTTATTTTTATCCACGTGCACGTTTTTTTCTAAGCTTTGATTCCAAGACTGGCTATAAAATTTCACTAGAGGCCTGTTTCAAGAGATTATATCCAGAATTTTCCAGGATCTTTGTCCTTTATCCTTCCCAACCTTTATCCTTCTCTCACTTCAAATGCTACTGACTTAACAATCAACCCAAACTAAAATCTTCCGCTCCAATTGAACTCCTTCGCTTTAGCCTTTTCCCTCTTATCTTTATTGGTATTATCCTCAGAATATCCCTTATGTGTTTATCTTCCTTCTGCTCCTTTTGTTCCCTCCGTGTATCTTTTGAATGAATCCGTCTGTGTGAAAAAATCCTTGTGTATCCTTGATGAATGAATCCGTTTGAAAATTCCCTCGCTCCTATTCGACTCTTCAGTAATCAAATGTGAGCCAAATTGGTAGATTTTTAAACTCCTTTTTATATTAATTTCTCCCTTTCGGTCACGCCTAAAACTTGCTCGCGCAAAATTTCTTTGTTGTAATGTCACAAGAGATAGCTGTAATTCTTGTGATAAGAAATTTTGGCGTTTCCCAAATTCTTTCCTATTTGCCCACTTCCGGCCAATTTGCGCGTTGCTGCAAATAAAGGAGTCCAAAAAAAACTAGTTTAATAAATAAGAAATATTTTTCCGCTCGCCAAAATTAAGTTGATTGATGGGTAGAAGAATAATTTTTTACAATAAATATTTTTGGAATATTTTTAGAAATTTTTTTGGGTGGATTAGGAATTTTTTTTTATCAGGTGGAGAAAATTACAGGAGCGCCATCTTATATATCCCTAACCCCTTTCTTCAGGGGGTTAGTCGGCGTTGGGCCCCAAGAGTGGTAACCCACCCTTGGGGCGCGCCGATCCACCTATTAAAAACGAAGGCCTTCTTTTTAACCTTTTTATTCAACAAATATAATTAATAAATAAAAGGCGGAGAGGACAGGCCAACTTTTGATCGGGCCCAAAACTAATTAATGAGTGAATAAGTTGATTTGGCCTATTCTCTCTCGCCTTTTATGAGGCGCTAAAATGGGCGTTTCATAAATTTAACTATGACAGTTTTAATAAACTTAAGTTTGTGGAAAATAAACTTGGATTAATTCAAGTTTTTAAATAAACTTGTTTTAAGTTTTCGAGTCTGTGAAAAATAAACCTGGAATTATTCAAGTTTTGATTTTGTAAACTTAAGTTTTAAGTTTGTAATTTTATGGAAAATAAACTTGAAATAATTCAAGTTTATTTTCAAGTTTTAATGCTCAAGTTTTAAAAAATGCTCAGGTTTAAAATGAGTATTGTTAAGTTTTGGCGTTTTAAACAAACTTGGCGCACAGTTAAAAATATAATTTCTGGCAGTGTGCGCCAAAAATTTTTTGTACAAAACGCCAATTTTTATTTAGATATTACTTAAATTCTGTATTTTAGAATCAACCCGACTCTGGAATTGTCTCAAGAAGTGGATTAGGAAAAAGAGTGATAGTTAACGGTCACTATGGCGGTGTTCTACGTTATATGGGTCAAGTTGCTGGCAAGGAAGGAATTTTCTGTGGAATAGAATTGGATCAGCCCGTAGGGAAGAATGATGGGACACATGAGGGTAAATTTAAATTTAATAAAAAATAAATTAGAGACAATAGGAAGTGAAGAGATTTTTCTCTAACCGAAGGAATTTTTTTAATTTTCCAAATATTTTTTCCTTAAAATTTTTTTGTTTTCCTTTAAAATCCAATTCTTAGGAGCCTTTTATTTTGGTTGTCGCCCAGGCCATGGTGTCTTCGCTCCTTGTCATAAAGTGCAAATGGAGACAATGAGAAGACAAACAGAGAAGGGAGGAAAAGCTTCACTTATTGCTAAAGCTGAAAGGGTTGGAAAAGAGATTTTTAAAAAATTCATTTTCATTTTAAAGACACTTTCTCGATCAGCAATGCCTTCATTAAACATTGATAGAAATATTAGTGAAATACCATCAACTTCGACTCAAATCCCTCAGATGCCTATGGATTGGTCTTTAATGTCAATGTCTACTGTTTCTAATAATTCTGATTCGTCTTATGTGGTAGGGAATTAGGGGAAATATAAGAATATTTTAATTGTAAGGACACCATATAAAGAGGGATATCTAAAAATATTCTAATTATAAGGACATTCTAATAATAAGGACATTTTAATTATAAGGACATCTTGTAAGAGCATAAGGACATTGTATAAAGACACTCTAATTGGGAGGACATTTTTAAAGTCAATTTATGTTAGCTAGCTTGATCAGTTTTTGGGTTTTATTCAAATCTGTGACCATTTTTCTAACTAAAACAAAGGATATTTTCGCAATAAAAACATTCTTTTCTCCTAAAATTTTAATGTAAATCCAAGGTCATGTAACTAAAAAGTAAATAAATAAACTAATTAAAAAAGAAAGGCCATTGATATATAAATTAATTTAGTTGACATTAACAACCGGAAAAATTAGGTTGCATTTATTTTTCTTCAAATTCTTTTCATTTATTTTTTGACAAGTAAATTTATGTCCCTATTCTTTGAGAAAAAAAGATTTAGGGGTTATTTTGTATTTTCTTGTGTTTATTTTGTGTTTTTAAGTTTATTGTTGTATTTAAAGTTTTATTCTTGTATTTTTTTGTGGTTTTCAAGTTTATTTTCATAATTCAAGTTTATTTTTGTATTTCAAGTTTATTTAAGTCAAGTTTCTTTTTTTGTGTTTTTCCAAGTTTATTTTCTTAAGTCAAGTTTATTTATATAATTTTGTATTTTTTTGTGTTTTTTCAAGTTTATTTTTATAAGTTTGTATTTTCCTGTGTTTTTCCAAGTTTATTTTTGTGTTTTCTCAAGTTTATTTAATTACTAAGTTTAATTTTTTGTGTTTTTTCAAGTTTATTTTTACAATTTCAGTCTATTCTTAAGTTTGTTTTTTTATTTTGTATTTTCGGTGTATTTTCATAATTCAAGTTTAATTTTTGTATTTTAAAGTTATTTTTGTGTTTTTAAAGTAATTTTAGTATTTTTATATTATTTTAAGGTTTATTTTTATAATTCCAAGTTTATTTTTGTGTCTGTTTGCTCTTCATATTTAAGACTGAAATTCTGGTATTTGTATAAAAAAAAATCTTTTTTGTCAATAAATATATTTTTTGTTGCCTTAATTTTAGAAAAAAAAATTTTTTTTTAAAGAACGATTATTTACTACTTTTTTATATTCTCTATTAATTTTATTACTTTGGCCGATTATAAAAATGCGAAAATAAAAACCTTTTTTCCCTCCCCCATTTTTATTGCACTTTTATATTTTTTATATTTAAAGTCAATAGAAAAGAGAGACTGATCACTACCTACTAGCTGGCAACAATTGCCTTTCTTTTTTAAATTTTATCATTCTGAAATTTTTTTCAAATTAAATGTGACAGGGACTAGGAAAGGAAATTTATTAAATTTTTCTTTTCTTAAGTCTCTGTCTTATTCTTAGATCTTTAGCTTATCACATCCTTAAGGAGAGACCCGAGTACTGGTATAGCTTGAAGGCTGTGATATATGGGAAAAATTTTTTTCAAATATGTATGGGGTAACACTGAGCTTAGGAATATGGTTGGGATTAGAGGTCGGCAAAATCGCACTTTCGGGATCCCGAGCAGACGTGGGCGAAACGTTTCGTTTCGTTTCGTTGTTTCGTATGTTTCGTATGATTTTTACTGTTTCGTCTCGTTTCGTTACGAAACACTTTTAAATTTGTTTCGTTTCGTTTCGTTACGAAACACCTGTGATTTTTCAACGAAACGAAACAATTTTTTAAGCCTAAACTAAGGCCAAAATCTATAAAATTAACCATCTTTTATTGAAAATTAAAAAAATTTTCGCCTGCGGCGCTGAAAAAGAAGAATTTCGGCTTCTTGGCCTTCCCAAATTGTCAAAATTTTCGCCTGCGGCGCTGAAAAAGGAAGATATCAATTACTTATATACTACAAATCCGTTTATACTCCACTCCCTAATCCGCATATACATATTACTTAATCGACGACAAATTCTATTACCGGACTCGCATCATAATTTAAAAATTGCAAATTGCGAGTTGCGGAAATACTGGAACCGGAACTTCCGGCGAAGCATTAGCTTATATCGCTCTCCTCTCGAAATGGAGATATGGAGACAATTTGGGTAGGCAATGGAGCAAGATAGTGAATTTTTTGGCCTACGGCCTTTCAAAATTTTAAAATTTTTCGTCTGCGGCGCTTAAAATAAAATTTTACTTGAAAAATATTAAATTTTATTTGAAAAAAAGCGTCGCCAAAAATTCGGCTTCGAAAATGATTGACCCCCCCCCCCTTCCCCGAAAATTTTCCTTGCTACGGGCCTGGCTTATGGGACAAATTGTTGTAAATAAACCAAAAACTAAATCATTTATAAATCGTAGGCGACTAATAAAGTATTTGAGGTCGAATAATTGCGAAATAAATGAAGTTTTGAAAATTTTTTGAATATTAAAATGTTTCGTTTTGTTTCGTTTCGTTTCGTAAGATTTTGGTTGTTTCGTTTCGTTTCGTTAACGAAACGATTTTAAAAAAATTTTGTTTCGTTTCGTTTCGTCAGAAAAAAATTTTGAGTTTCGCCCAGGTCTGATCCCGAGTCGGGATTTTTTTCTTAACCGAGGCCGGGACGGGATCCCGAGGGATAAATCCCGAAAAAATCCCGAATTTCAAAAATCCCGAAAATAATTATCCGGGATCCCGCCCGGGATTCGGGATTTTTTAAAAAACAAAAAATTTAAAATTTTTATAAATAAATCCATCAAAATACTGCACTTTATATGTAAATAATATTAACTTCGTAAAAATCTAATAGATTTAGAGGGATATCGGTGGATTAATCACTAGGTACCTTGATAAAATCCCACTATATACTAATCCACCCACTTTACCTCCGATAATACCTCCAGATTTTTCCGTTTGCAGCACCGCAAGCGAACATTTTGAGAATTTTGGAGCACATGAAGCCAGATTTCTTCCATTTTCAGCGCCGCAGGCGAAAATTTTTAAAATTTCGAAGACCGTAGGCTAAAATAATTCACTTTTTCAGCGCCGCAGGCAAAAATTTTGAGAATTTTGGAGTTCCTTAAACCAGATTTCTTCATTTTGTTGCGCCGCAGGCGAAAATTTTGAGAATCACAAGAGTAAAACATGCTTGGGATATGCTAATTTAAAAATCCCGAAAATTATAAAAAAATGTCCGGGATCCCGATTCGGGATTTTATTTTTTAACCGATGCCGGGACGGGATCCCGAGGGATAAATCCCGAAAAAATCCCGGATCCCGAATGATCCCGAAAATCAAAAAAATCCGGGATTTCGGGAGCGGGATCCCGGAAAATCCCGTCGGGATCCCGTCCCGCGCCGACCTCTAGTTGGGATGTCTGGGAGTTCTCAGGAAGGTGTTGGATGCCTGGGAGATCTTAGGGGGATTTTGGGATATCTGGGAGGAGGTTTTGGGAAGGTGTAGGAGTTCTGGGAGATTATAGAAGATTTTTGGGGTATCTGATGGATTTTGGGGAATGCCTGGAGTTTTAGGATATCTAGGGATTCTCGGGAAGGTGTGGGAGTTCTTGGGGATTTGGGAGTGTGTGGGAATGTCCTGGGATCTTAGGGGATTTTTGGGATATCCGGAAGGGTTTGGGGAACGTATAAGACAAGAAAGACATGAATTTGTGTATTACTCAAGCCTTTATTTAACTATTAGAGTCCCAAACTAAGCAAAATATTTTTTTAGATTCGAAACCATAATATCGACTTAATGGCCAATTCACAAGCAACTTATACCGTCTTTGAATCAGACTGCCCAATGTTGTCAGATTTGGAATTAAGTGAATCATCTCTACTTAGATTGGATGAGGAAGACGATGATGATGATAGAACGGCTATTATTGGGTGGATATTGAATGAAAATGGTAAAATTGTGTTTTTATGTATTTTGTCTTTTGTATTTTTGTGTTTCTGTATTTTTGTGTTTTTGTGTGTTTTTTGTATTTTTTTGTGTTTTCATGTATTTTGTGTTTTTGTGTATTTTTTGTATTTTTTTGTGTTTTTCTAGTTTTGTGTTTTTGTGTATTTTTTGTATTTTTTTGTGTTTTTGTGTTTTTCTAGTTTTGTATTTTTATGTGTTTATGTGTTTCTTTGTATTCTTGTGTTTTCATGTATTTTTGTGTTTTTGTATTTTAAATGAAAAACATAATGTATTTTTCTCATTTGTACAGGCTATCCTCGAACCTTCCGTCCAGACGAGTCTGTAATATTAGATGGACCTAGTTTAGGAATGGATTTGCCAGTAATTACAAGTCCAGAACCTGAAGACGAAGAAGATTTGGCAGAAACACCAATGGCTGAAACAAAAAATTTTACAAATGGATTAATAAATTTAAAATCTGAAAATAGACAAAATAGAAGTCATTTGAAATTAGAAGGGCTTGAACAAGGAAATAAAGAAGAGAATAAATTGGTAAGGAAGAAAAACCCCTTTTTCAATGTTGAAAAGGGTGGTTTTTAAAAATTCATAACTTTTTTGTTTTTCTACCTTTCGGAACAAGTTATGTATCATTCGAAAGCCCTTTGAATGAGGATTATTTTTCCTGTTCAAATTTTTTCTATCCGATCATTTCCCAAAAAGATAGGAGTATAAGCACGAAAAAACACGATTGTACGCATTTATTAAGCTATAACTTTTAAGGAACTGATCGGATCGGTTCGACCCTTTTAAGAAAAATATAGAGCACATTCACAGCTTTCGAATGATATATAATTCTGTTCAGATTGGCTGAAAAATAAGAAAGATATCAGCAAAAAAGTAGTTGGCCTGTTTAAATTTTGAATAAAAATACATTTTTGGCGTTATGTTTAATTTTTGGCGTTCTGTTTAATTAAAGACATTTGGATTTTAAATTGAAATAGGCTTCTATTTTTCATTTTTTTGACTGATAGGAAGAGTTTCCTTTTGTGTTTTATCAATTTTTACTTTTTTCTCGTTTTCTGGTTCCTCCTTCCTCTTAAGTATCCCTATTTAAAGCCGAATGATTTTTACGGTTTTTAGCCAAACAAAGTGATTGCTGATGGAAAGATCGTCGTTGACAATGCTTGTTATTTGAGAACAACAAATGTTTCAAACAGCCACAATAATAATGCAAATCCTCACCGAGAAGAAAAAGCGTCTAGTAAAGAAGAGAAGAAGACAAGGGCAAGTTTATTTGGAGGGGGGGGGGGCTGATTTTGTGGGTACAGCCCAAAACGGCGCGCGGCCATAACGGCGCAAAGCCATAACTTGCTTCAAAATTTCTGGCCCTTGTCAATTTTGGTACCAATCTCTTTAGCTCGATGAGTGGAAACGTTTGATACTAAATTTGTTAAGATTAGAAATTCTTGAAGCAAATTAGGGCTTTGCGCCGTTATGGCCGTGCGCCGTTTTGGGCGTGTCCCTGTTTTTGTGTGTGTGTATTTTTGAGTGGACAAACAGTCTTAACGCTCTTGTTTTTTTCTTTTCGTTACTTTTCGTTTCTTTAGTGTTTTGGAGAAGGGGAAAAGGACTCTTCTTTTTAACACACATTTTTGCTTATTAATAATTTTTAATCTTCATTTTTGCTGCAGCAAATGCCCAATGTCCACAAAAATTGAAGAGAGGATACCCTCCCATATCCTCTCCCTCCACACGCTCTTCCCCATCCCTCTTCATTTCCAATGTCCACAAAATTGAGGGAGGGGGGGGGGGAGGGCTTCCTCCAAATACACATCTAACAAATAAGAGGGGCCTCCAGCCACACATCCTTTCCAATGTCCACATCACCTACAACCACATAAAGCACATATCCTCTCCCTCCACACATCCCCTTCTCCATCCCTCTTCATTTTTAATTTTAGTTTTCTTCTTGCTTGCCGCGACATTTTTAAAGCTTTTCTTTTTTTTTTCTTGTCGAGTTTTATTTAAAAAAATTTTTTTTTCAAGTCTTAATTCATTTTTGCTGAAGCACTGCCCAATGTCCACACAAAAATGAAGAGGGGGGGAGGGGGGACTCCCGACTCCCTTCTTACATCACCTTCAATGTCCACCACCCCATATCCTCCCCCTCCCACCCTCGGTTTCCCACATCCCTCCTCGTCCCTCTTCATTTTTAAAGCTTTTATTTATTTGTTTCATTTTTCCTCGTGCTTGTTTTAAAATTATTCAACTCTTAAAATAAATTTATTTTTCAGACTTCTATATTCCAAACAATTCCAATGGCAACACAAAATCATTCAGCAGCAGCCCGATCCAAACCCAAGCAGCCATCTAAATCGCAAATGGTTATGGAACAACTTAAGGCTAGTATGGAAGCTGAAAAACTTCGGGCAAAGAAGGAAATACGTTCAAAATTGGTTACTACACCTAATAAAGGAGGAGGAGGTTTATTTTAATTTTTTGTTACTTTTGAATAATTTGGGAGTAAGAATAAGAGTACACCCCAAACCTACCGCGGGGCCAACCTACCGCCTAGCTATAACTTCGTTCAGAATTGTCGAATCCGTGACACCCTGGTATGGTTCGATGCGCCTCGACGCGCTGAATCGAACCATACCAGGGCGTCCCGGATTTGACAATTCTGAACGAATTTATAGCTCGGAGGTAGCTTGGGCTCCTTTAAAGGTTTAATCAGTTATCCAAAAATTCACAGGGCATAAATCTAACGTTAGTCCTGCTGGCAGTTGTTTCTATACGTTTTGCTCACCAGGGCACGCACTTGCGGATTGCGTGTTTTTTTGACTTGCGGACCAACTTTTTTGAATTCTAAAACATTCTCATTCTTCCTTTCCTTTCCCTCTAATTTTTTTTTAAATTTTTTAGAAAAACGTGGAGACGATGTCGGCAAATCCAAATCAACCACAAACGTTACAACAACTCGTGGCGATGCAATAACTCCAAGTCGTTCAGCAGAAACGAATGCATCAACACCAACTTCAACTTTAGGACGTCGCAAAGAATTGGCAAAATACCCTAGTAATGACAACAGGATGCCTAGGACATTTCAACGTTTTTTTTTAATTTTTGTTCAGAATTTTGGGGGCAATATAATACGTGGGATTCTAGATTTAGATACGAAATATCGGTACACCTCAGTTGAGTCCCGGACCCTATAACTTATGAAGTGATGGTCACTTTTTGTTACTCTTGGTACCATTGGATAGGGCATTAAATAGACTACAATATACCAAAAAATCAAAATTCTTGACCGACTGGTAAAAAAGTTATGATCGATAAAGTGCCGAAAAATCAGATTTTTTTGAAAAAGTTAGCTTTCAGATCATATCTTTTTTATCAATCGGCCAAAAATTCTGATTTTTTGATATATTATAGAGCTTTAGATTCTCTATCCATTGATACCAAAAACATTAAAAAGTGGCCATTCATTGCTGAGTTATAGGGCCGGGACTTAATTGAACTGCTCCGTCGAAATATTTACCATTCGGGTTTATTGTCACGTTGTGTTCGGATGTATAAGAATTTTTTCTGGGAGACAAACCTGAGAAAGAAGCCCCTGAAAATGAAAAACCATGGGGTGGGGGGTAGCTCATTTTTGGGAATTTCTGTTAAGCTGATATGAGTAGGGGACACCCAGTTTGCCCATTTTTCCCTGTAGTTTTAGTCTCATAGAAAAAAGTATTATAGATTCAAACTCAGCGTGACGAGAGGAATTGACTGGTATATCTTTAGGTTTAGGGTCCAAGGTTCGACGAAAGTGAAAAAAATTTTCCGAAATCCGCAATTTAACCTTAAAATCCGACGCAGTGTCCGAAAGTCAAAAAAAACCACGCAATTTGTGCAGTCCGCAATTGTGTCCAACATTGATCGGGTCCCATATACTATAGACATCCCATAGTTTTAATTTTACCAAAAAAAAATTTTTTTAAAGGAACAGTTACTAACAGCAACACACCTTCCAAACCTTTATCGACTGGAAGAAACATTATTTCACGTCAAGTTTTGGGGTCTAAAGAGAACACGACAAAAGAAAATCCTTCCTTAAAAACTCCAACAAAAAATTCAACAAAAATTATTGCAAATTTGGTTAATAAGGAGGATATTGAGCAGAAACAAAAATTGACTGAGCAACTCAAAGTAATTGAGAGACTTGAAAAGGAATTGAAAAATGAGAAGAAAATGGCCAATTTCTTTGTTATTTTGTGCAAAAATTTTAATGAAAAGGTTTGGATTTTTTTTTAATTTTCAAAAAAAATTTTTGGGGACCTCAAAAAGTCGATTAAATTGCACTTCTGCGCCTTGAGACAACAAAACTGACTCAAAATAAATTATTTGCCCCGGTGGGATTCGAACCTCCGTCCCTTTTCTTTTTTAAAAAAGGAGGCTTATACCACTTAACCACCTAAAGTGCATTTTTCGCTGCTTGGGGGTCTCAAAAAGCGATTAAACTTTAAATAATTAAAAATTAGCAAAATTGACTCAAGAAAAAAATTATTTCCCCCGATGGGGTTCGAACCTGTCCCCTTTTTCTCTTTAAAAAATTTGAACTATCCCACTAAACCACAAAAGGTTAGAAACCCCTAATTTATCTGTAGAGCTTTTCTGTCTGTACGTGGTGATCGAGCTGTGTCTGGACCAGGGCCTGGGTTTTTTCTGTACCCAGAGTCCAGGCATTTTTTGTCCTTCCTGGGGTTTTTTGTGTCTGGGTTTTTCCTGGACTACAGGCCCAGGATCCGGCCCAGGTTAATAAATCAAATTCGGAACCTAGGAACAGGCCTAGGCTTTTCAAAAATCGCTATCTCTAGTCTGTACGTGGTGAACGTAAAGTGCCTAGCAATAAATGCCAGGGGGTCTTAGGTTCGATGCCTTTCCGGGGCTAAACTTTTACCCTTCTCTCTTACTATTAAAAAAAATTTTTTTACTAAAGAAAAAATTATTTTTCTATTTTTAGAATATTAATGCTCAAAAACAAGTCAATAAATTGGAGAATTTATTAGAGCAAAATAATTCAAACCATGAATTAGAAATGCAAAAACGTGGGTTTTATTGCAATTTTATCTCTTTTTTTAGTCTTCTTTTTAATAAAAACTCTTTATTAAATAGAGGGAATTCCTTCTATTTTTTATTAGGAAGAGATTGTTATCGAATCGCGTGTGTGTGGGTGATCCTTTTTGGTATTTTAGTACTGAGAATTTTATGTCTTTTTTCGATGAAAGTTGAAAATTTAAAATTTTTTTCTGAGGGGGGGGGGGATAGAACGAATTTTGGATTGCCAGTGATATGTAGAACTTCGAAAATTTTTTTATTACGAACAAAAACGAAAATAGGACAGTCCAATGCTTGTAGCCTTCGTTTTTGCTCACACTTCCACATTCCCTCTAAAATTACTCGTATTTCCTATCATGTATGTAGAAATTTTGGAATAAGTATCCAAGCATTACTTCTTTAGATACTCTTAAAATTTAACCCCCCCCCCCCCCTTCTCTTTTTTTTTTAATAATCTCATTAATTCAAAAATCTTTCTTCTCAGTTATTATTCTTCTCAGAAATCATTTTTAAAAAAACTCGATTTTTTTTCCAAATTAATTTTTAATAGTTCTCTCTATACTCTATTTTTATTCCAATTATGGAATAAAAATATAAAAAATATAAATATCGCCGTTTTATTTTAAAAGAAGCGTAATAAAATAAAACATAAAAACACGCATTTTCTTTGTGTGTTTTAAAAATGGGGTTCTTTTTTATGGAAAATGGATAGGGCGGAGGAAGGATTGAAGAATGGGAAGGATTGGAGAGGGGTTATAGTGAAGGAGATATATGGGGGGAAGGGGGACGATGAAGATAAGGTGAAGGGTTGGATAATGACGGGGGTTAGAGTAGGGGGAAGGATTGCATGGGGAGAAGGAGAGAGAGGTGGTTGATGGCTTGGAGAGAGGGGGTTATTGAGGAGGAGGGGGAAAGGGGAATGGCTACTCTCTGGTCAATCAGTTTTAGTAATTAAACCCTCTCGCCTTGCTTTGCTTCTTTTTTTCCAAAAAAAAATTAATTTTCTTTCTAAAATTAATTAAATTCCCAAAAAATGTATTATTATTGCCTCTATTCCCTCTTTAAGCCCAAAAAATTTTTCCAATTAATTGTCATATTTTTGGCAACAATATCTCTATTTGTCCTAATTTATTCTCCTTTAATCTTTACTTTTTGTAAAACTAAAAATGAATCTAAAAATAATTTTTTTAATAATTTATTATTTTTAACAACTCTAAATTTGTCTAAAATTGTCTTTATTTGCTTCATTTTTATTTTTATATTATTTATTTTATTGTTATTTTTACGTTTTGTAGTTGATGACAAGTGGAAGAATGATTTTCAAAAGGTTGATGAATTGCACAAAAATGAGGTGAAAAAATTTGAGGAAATTTTTTTTGAATTTTTAATGAGTGGGAAATGAATATAAAATATGTAAATTTGCCGAAAATTATTTTTTTCGGCAAGCGGATTCGAACCCGCACACCTTTTCCTCCTAAAATAAAAATTTTAACCACTTAACCAGAAATATGGTTTTATTGATTTTTTAATGATTAAGTTAATAGTTAAATGAATTAAAATTATTGAAAGGATTTCTTTCATCAAAAAATACAAGGAAAAAATTTTTTCGGCAAGCGGATTCGAACCCGCACCCCCTTTTTCCCTTAAAATGAAAATTTTAACCACTTAACCAAAGAAGGGCTTTTTAAAAATTTTTGTATGGTCGAGTAACTGACTAAATTAATAAAAATTAATAAAAACTTTTGGACTTTGAAGAAAAAAATTAATTTCGGCAAGCGGGTTCGAACCCGCACCCCTTTTTCGGTCCACTTTGAAAGATTTAAGCCACTTAACCAAAAATGTAAAAATTTTTATTCTTCTCTTTATAGGTTGATGATGTTCGTAATTTGCTTCAAGCTGAGCAACAAACAAAATTGGAACAATTACAACTTGAATTTGAACAAACTTTAAAAGAATATGAGAATAAAGTGGCTGAAATGAAGTCTCAATTTGTTGAACAAGAAGAGAAGCATTTACTTAATGAATCGCAAAGGAATCGGGTAAAAAATTATTTTTTTCTTTGAGAGGCTCTCTTTGTAATTTTTATGTTTCCAAGTCAAAAATTGTTATTTTTGAAGCATGCTTCTAAAATAACTTGAGCTTTAAATACGTGTGAAAGCTTTTGAAATGAAGCTTGCAAATAAAACTAGAGACATTTCTGGAATATTTTTCAAGTAGGGTTGTACCCCGTCCTCGAAATTCGGGTCGTGAAATTTTAATTTTTTAAATTCTTGAAAATTCTCCACCTTCCCCCCCCCCCCTCCCGTTCGAGAAACAACTAGTTTTCTAGGAGAAAAATTTTTGTTTTGAAGCATGCTTCGGAAACATTTTTTGGACAAAGAAATTTTAGAAACTTTTAGTTTCATAAGATGCTTTAGAAAATTTAAAGTTTTGGAAGCATCCTTCAGTAGTGTTCAGGTTTTGAAAGTATGCTTCAGAAATATTTTTGCTGAAGCAATTTTTTTACTTTATTGCTAATTTTTTAAAAAATCTTTTAAAGAGATTAATGGATGAATTAACCAGCCGCTCTTACGAACTCCAATTAAAAAATGAAGAGCTAGCCAAATTACGCAGTGAGAATCGCGAGTTACAATTGAAAGTTGAAACAATAGCAGAAAAGGATGTTCAAATAATTAAATTGGAAAATAAAAATTCAGAGCTTAGAGAAGGTGTTTATCGTCTAAAACAAATTGAAAAAAATTTGATTTCACAAATTGATGTTTTGAATCATCAACTTAGTCAGGCTATTAACAAAACTAAAGAAATTGAGAAAGACAAGGAAATTTTGGAATATCGTTTGACTGATGAGTGAGTTTTGAGTGTTTTTTTTGGGGGGGGGGGGGGGGGGGGGTTTGGTGGTTTCTGAAGCATCATCAAAAAAGTGCTTCATTAACTATGAAACATGCTTCAGGATTTTTAGGATGCATGTTTCTGAGATTGAAGCATGCTTGAATGCCTCTTGTATTTTCTGAAACATGCTTCTTGAAGGTTTTTTGAGAAACAAGCTTCTTAAGGCTTCTGACGCATGTTTCTGAAGCATTTTTGAAGTTATTGAAGCCATTAATTATGAAACATGCTTCATGTTTCTTTTAAGGATGCATTCTTCTGGGTTTATTGAGGCATGCTTGAATGCTTCTCGGTCTTTCTGAAACATGCTTCTTGAAGGTTTTTTGAAAAGCAAGCTACTTAAGGCTATTGAAGCATGTTTCTGAAGCATTTTTCGAAGTTGAAGCATGCTTTTTGGTTGAAGCATGCTTCTTGGTTTCTTGAAATTACTGAAGCATGCTTCTTAAGGCTTCTGACACATGTTTCTTAAGCATTTTTCGAGGTTATTGAAGCTTGCTTCTTGGTTTTTGAAGCATATTGAAATTTCTGAAGCATACTTTTTAAGCTTTTTAAGGCATGCTTCTTAAAGTCTCAGAAACTTGCTTCTAAAAGTTAATGAAGCGTGCTTAAAGTTGTTGCTTAAAAGGTGACACATAGCATGCTTCATAAATGTAGCATAGTTGAAGCACCATCAAGCGTGCTACTATTTTCATAAACCAAAAAATTTTTCCTTAATTTTTTAGTTTCAAATCGCCTCGTTCTTCAACTACAACAACTCCTTCAAACTTCCACACTCGAACACCTTTAATTACAACAGCAGAAAGGCCAAATTCTTCATGTTTGTCGTTGGGACGTTCTCAGCCTTCTCTTGAAAATGATATGGCAAAATCGGTCGATTCAGCTTTGTCTTTAGTTAAATGCTACCAACAAGAAGGACGATCAAAATCGCAAAATACTCCTACCAAAATTTATACTCCACGGGAATGCTATGAATGTGAGTTTGCGTGATTGATACGAGACACTAAATACCAGGGGTGTGCCAATTTCCCTGGTATTTAGTGATCCCCCTGGTATTTAGTGATACGAGACACTAAATACCAGGGGTGTGCCAATTTCGTATTTGTTTCGACTTTCGAGTTTCACTTTTTAAATTTAGTTTCGCATTTCGCTTTTTAAAATCTATTTCGGCACACCCCTGCTAGATACAGTGGAATCTTTGTGTAACGACGATTAGAGGGCAAAAGAAGAATCATAGTATGATCATAGATAAGACGGAAAATGACGTATATATGAGGGGGCACTGGGGATCCTTTTTTGATTTCTTGGTCTTAAAAATCCAGATCTTTTGGTTCCCATGAACTAAAATCCGATAGAGTTTTTGTATATAGGCAATACTTTTCTAAAGTCTTCGGGATTAAGAAGAGAAGAAAAAAAAATATTTAAAAAATTCTAATTTCAGTGCCAGACCCTTCGCCTGTTGAAGAATGCAACAGTCCTGTTTTATTCGCGGATCAACAACCACAGCGCACTATTGACTTTGGGGAGGTTAATGAAGACGAAGAAGATTCCTTGCCTCAATGATGGGAAAAATTGAGAGAAAGAGATTTTTATATTAAATATAAACACATAAACGCTTCAATTTATAATTGAGAAAAATGGAGGGTCCGAACTTTTAAATACAGTAGAAGCTTTATTTAACGATACTATTAGGGACAAACTTTGGCTATGTGGGAGCGGAAGTAAAACCAAAAGCGTCTTCGGGCTTAACTGGGCCAACGAAGTGGTGTCGTATGGGCAGTTTGTCGTATAGGCATTTGACAGACATTTTGTCTTTTGGACATTTTGACCTCTGGGGCATTTTGTCCCTTTGGGTATTTTGTCGCATGGGCATTTTGTCCCTTTGGGTATTTTGTCTTATGGGCATTTTGTCTTATAGGCAGTTTGTCAAAAATCCCAGAGTTTAATATTTTTGATCAGCAAGTTCGGTCTCTCTATTTTTTAGTATTCTCAAATAAAACAAAAAAATATTCTAAGTAATACCCCCCCTTTAAATTGTACCAATTTTATTTATATAATTTTAACGGACACAATATATATTTAGGGTTTTTCCTATGCTGAGTGCTTAGTCTTTTTTAAAAATATTTTTTGATCTCATGAATAAATGACACGCATTTTAAAATTTTTTTGGCTTAATTATTGGGTGTCTAACTAGCTATTTTTGGTAACTTGTCTAGTTTAGAGGTACATACCCCATTTATTCGCAAGGAGCAGGCCTATGAGAAGGAGTGAGGTTTTGGCCTATTTTTTAAGGAAAATGGCAACCGTTAACTCCAGAAAATGCGTAACACAAGCTCTATCCGAAGCCAATAGAATCCCCTTAATCGACCAAGAATACCCCTTGTTAGGATTTTTAGCTTGCGAATAAATGGGGTCCGACGCTCTAGACAAGTTCCTAACTATTTTTTGGTTGACTTTCTATTTTATTTTTAGCTTTGAAAAATTTTTTTTAATTGCCTGTTTAATGGATGCGTCTTTTGATCAATTTGGAGGGTATGGATGGGGAGAACAATCTGGAGGAGGAGGAGGACAAGATTTTAACATTCCTACACCATTTCAAAAAAGCCACATAACTGATAAAATTCCAATTCCAGCAATTGTTGAAGATTTGTTGACAATGTCTAATGATGAGGAAAAGTATGTGATTGGTGGATATTCGTTCAATACGGTTTGGTTAAATTTTTAAAAATGTTTGAGTGAAATTTCTCCTTAAATTTAGGATTTTGGTCGGGTTGGTGTAGTGGAATAGTTTTTGGACCTCAACTCTAAGGGGTCGAGGTTCGAACTCGTTTGGGTGCTTTATGTTTTAGACAAGTTTAATTGCCTAGAAAAAGTCAATTGGACCTTCTAAAGGCATTAAAATGTTCGGTTGAGAATTTTATTGGGTTCTGGTTTAGTTGGATAGTTTTTATTATTAGCTTATGAGGGGTCATGGTTCAAACCCGCTGTGAGAGTTTATTTTATTAAAGGGTGAATTTTTTCTTGGCTGAACAAGTTTAGGGTAATTTGAGAATTTATTACAAATTTTGATCGGAAATTTTGGTGTAGTTGGGTAGTTTTAGGTTATTAACTCTGAGAGGTCATGGTTCGAACCCCTTTGGGTAAAAACTTTTTTAAAGTTAAAGTCAGATGTTTAATTAGTTAAAATAGTGATTTTAACCTTTCTAAATTCCGCAAAAATTTTTTAAACGTTTTTAAGGTCAAAATTATGGGCAGGATTGTGAGTGTGTTTACTGATTCAAATCAATGTACTACCTACGAAATTTGTGATGGAATGGCTGATGATCCACGCGTAGCTAAACGATTTACTGTTATTCGTTATGGAGGAACTGATTTGGTTTTTTTTAAATATTAGAAAAAATTTTTTTTTGGAAAATTCCAACATATGTTTCAGACTCTAATTCATAGTTAAGGGTAGGGATCGCAACGGGTACGGACCCGTTTACCGGTTTTCGGATCCCTTTTCCCGGCTTTTTTTTTGAAGCAACCGGGATAAAACCAGGAACGGGAATTCCCGGTCTGGGTCCCTCCCTGTCAACTTTCAGAACCCGTTTTCCGGACCCGGTTTGTTCAAAATTCCTCTTTATTTAAGTGGTCTAAACTACTAGTCTCAACTTTATCCAAGTAAATCAGTTTTTGTTGATTTTGGTACTCACATCAGCTCGTCGGTGTTCATCTCGACTCCTTGTCGGCTAATTTGGGTCCTTTCGAATGACATAATGTTTGTTGTGTTGATGTCCGGGACACATGACAGAATTTCCCCAACGGAAATTTTCAATTTTAATTTTTAGCAACCAAATATGGAGCAAGTCTTTTCTGAGGGTCAAACAGTTCAGGCTGTTGGAAAACTTCGTCTGGTTTATTTTTTAAATAATTTTTTTCAAATTTTATTTTTTAAAGTTCAATAACCGCCTCAGTCTTGTCAGTTTTCACATTCGGGATGTTTCAATGGAAGAAGTTGAAATTTATAAAATGGAGTGTAAACTTGCTAAATATTACTTTTCTAAGGTTTGAGACAATTTTTTGAGGGGAGAAAATTTTTTTTTGAAGGATTTGGGGTTAGAAATATTTTTTCTATTTAAATGTAATTATGTGATTATTGGTAATAGAGACCCCCCTCCTTTTCCTTTTTAAAGGTATTTTCCCCTCAACTTATTTTTTAAAGTCTTTTTTCCCTTTTTAAAAATTTTTTGGGGTACAATTTTTTTGGGAAGCTCAGCTCGGCATTATGAAAAAAATTTTCTTTAACAATAAGCTTAAATGTTTTTTTGAATCCCGGACATTCGGACAACAAAAGAACATTTTCAAAGTCGGTACTATTGAAGAGTACAGACCCCATTTTTTCCTCCCTATTTTTCCCCTTATATTTTTACAAAATGGTCAGACTTTTTCCTTCCTTCCATCCAATTTGCCTTTCTAATTTTCGCCTAAATCAAACGAAAAGGATTATTTTTGATTGATGGATGGAAGAAAATTGGGTGGAAGAAAGGAAAAAGTCTGACCATTTTGTAAAAACATAAGGGGAAAAATAAGGAGGAAAAAATGGGGTCTGTACTCTTCAATATTACCTCAAAGTCTCCTATTTTTGGAAAATCTTGCCAGAAAATGGCTTTTTTGACTCGAAACTCAGCTCGGCATTAATCTCAAATCGGCCCATCCCTGTTCATACGACAAGATAAAATTTTTTTAGATGTTAGATTTACTGAGAGATTTCGTTTGGGACAATTTGTCTTTTTTAAGAAAAAATTTAAAAAAATATTTTCCCTTAATTTCAACAGAATTTGCCTGAAAATTCCCACGGATTAGAAGACACAATTTTCCGCAATGCACAAACATTGCCCCGTCCAGGAATGTCTTCTCAAGCAACCACAACAACTCCAAGTCGTTCAACTACAAATATGTCAACTTCAATTACTCCAAGCCGTCAACAACAACTATCAAAGCAATATGCCAATTTATCACAACAACAAGCCAAGGTTTTTTGTGTTTGATTAGTTGAAGGAAAAAAATTTTTTTTCAATTTTTAGATAATGGATTTTATTAAACGATTTGGAGATGCAAATAAAGGTTTGTGTGGGAAATAAAAATTTTTTTGTGGTTAAGAAGGGTTTTCCTTTTTCCCTATATTTTCTCAAATAAAGTTGTTCCGGCGGAGTAAAATTTTTTCTTCCGCCACAGGAGTGACGGGGAATTTTCAAAAAATGTCTCAACTTTCCCCTACTTGGGGAAAAATAATTTTTTGGAAGGCTATATTTTCTGGAAATTTCCAAAAAAAAAAAAAAAAGTCGGGCATTCAAGACTTTTGGACGAAAGTAGAAAAAAATTCCAAAAAAGAATTTAAAGTTCAGGAAATCAAAGTCGACAAGTCTTGAACAGCTCTATTTTTTAGAAAAAAATTTTTCTCGATTTAACCCCAAAAAAAAAATTTTTTTTTGGGGTAATAAATCTATTCTTGACTTTATTAAAATTAAAAAAAATATTATTTAGGGTTAGAAAAAAAAATTTTTTTATTTTTTAAAATTAAGTTCATCCTTCTCCTCTTCTTCTTTTCAATTTTTATAAAAAAAATTTTTTTTATTTTTTAAAATTAAGTTCATCCTTCTCCTCTTCTTCTTTTCAATTTTTATAAAAAAAATTTTTTTTCTCAAAAAAAGATGGAAGAGGCGTTCATGTAGAACAAATCCGTTCATCAATTAAACCTGGACAAAATTTTATGACTGATATTCAATTTTTGTTGGATGAAGGAAAAATTTATACAACTTTGGATGATGACCATTTTTCGATTATTGATGATGTTTGTTGAGGAATTTTGAGGAAAAAGTTTTTTTTTGAAGAGAATTTCTCGTTCGCTTTAATTTATTTTTAAAAAGGATAAAAAAATTTGACAAAAAAAATTTTTCGGTTTAATTTTGAAAGGATGTTCTTATTTCCTTATATTTCTCACTCTTTTAAGTTATGGTTTTTAATTGGAGGGAGGCGGTACACCTCAATTGAGTCCCGACTCAATTGAGTCCCGGACCCTATAACTTATGAAGGGATGGACACTTTTTGTTACTCTTGGTACCATTGGATAGGGCATTAAATAGGCTACAATATACCAAAAAATCAAAATTCCCGACCGACTGGTAAAAAAGGTATGATCGATAAAGTGCCGAAAAATCCGATTTTTTTGAAAAAGTTAGTTTTTATATCATAACTTTTTTATCAATAGGTCAAAAATTCTGATTTTTTGATATGTTGTAGAGCTTTTGATTTTCTATCCAATGATACCAAGAACATTAAAAATTATCAATTCGTACTTGAGTTATAGGGCCGGGGCTGCCGGGACTCAGTTGAACTGCTCCGGGAAGGAGGAGTTTGTGTGTCGTTTCCCTAAGGATCTCGAGAAATGCCAAAATCGCCGAAATACCGAACAGCCGTCAAAAATGTTTTGACATTTCGATTATTTTTCATGTCTGCCATTTCGACTTTCTGGTATAGTTAACGGCTTTTTGGTGGCTTTTTAGTATTCCGGCATTTAAGACACGTACGCCGTTTCCCGGATCCTTTTCTTGTACCTTTTCATGTCCCCCTTCCATGTCTCCTTTATTTTAGAATTTCATACTCGCTCAATACTTTTTTTTGAATTTAATTTATTTAAATATTTTGGCATAGTGTGTATTTATTTATAGATAATATAGCAGACATAGAAAGGAAGTTGACTTTTTTCTTTTCTTTTTTCAAATTTTAGTTTGTATTTCTTCCTTTTTCCTTTGTTTTCTTTTAGTTTTTTGTTTTTTAGAGATTTAAAATTTTTTTTTCAATGATTTATGCTTTACCATTCTACTAGTTCCTTTGATAAGATGAAATGGATGTGTGATGGTTCTCGATTGAATGATGGTCCTAATTGATATTGACAGATTCTGATTTTTTATTTAAATGCTGTCGAGTTGTTTGAGGTTTATTTTCTAAATTTTTGGGGGTTTTCAAAATACCTAATCAGGTTTTGTGAGGGGTTTTGTCTGCATGGACATGCATCCCTTGAACATGTATCAGGGATGGGTCGGGTTAACCGGAACCTGGTTTTTCGTCTCGAAAAGAGATGTAAACCAGATCTGAAACACGGCTTCCAAAGAAATTTTTTGTAAAAGAAATATGGCTTTTCGACTTTTCATAATTTTCCTTGGGGCGCTAAAAGCAAAAAATTTATCTTTCTGACAAGACCGAACCGATCCATTTTTCTAACCAGACCTTCCCTGATATGTGTATTATTGATTATTTGGGGGGTTTAACGTGCATTCTAGATTTAGTAGGTACTTATTGGGGTAATCAATGAATTTTTCTGAATAGGATGAGTAGGCACACTTTTCCTCTATTCACAATCATGTAAATGTAAACAGGACTAATTCTCAACCAGATTATAAAAACGTTTATGTCCAAGGGCAACATTCTATGTACATTTCCCCCAACCGCTCTTTTCAACCCTATTACCAATTTAACTAGGTATTTGGAGTCTTTAGACTGTTTTGTACATATAAGTCAGCAAAAACTGATTTTGGTTATTTCAAGTACTATTTCTAAATTAAATTTAACTGGTACATTCCACTTTGTCGTTGGCTAGTTTTTCCCTCAAGTTTACCCTTAAAATCAAAATCAAAAAGAGCCGGGCTCTCTTAGAAGCAAAAAACCGTTTTTTAATCACTGCGACGAAGTGGGCGAGAAATATAGACCGCGACAAAGTGTCCTGTCCTAACTTGGGAATGAAATAGTTCGGGTATTAGAGAAACAGAGAAAAACCTTTCTTCTTATTCAAATTTAAAAATGGCTTCCCTTTTCTGCTTTAAGTTTTAGATTTTTCGTTTTTGAGAGTTTACTACTTACCTGATTTTTTAAATTAATTTGTTCTTTTTCAGATTCAAACCATTAAATATCTCTTCACCTCAATTTATTTAATTGTGTTCAGAAGTGGATCTGAATCATGGCAATGATGTTGTATCTCAAAATGTTTGAATCTCAAAAACGTAAAATCTAATGGTTGGTTCGGCGATGGTTGGTTCTACTCTTGTGAATCCAACAAGGTTTAGTTTAAATTTTGGAGGTTAGGTTTCCAAAAAGCTTTGGGGTTCCTGCTTCGATTTTATTGAAAATACTCTATATTGGGGTCAGGTTTGGTGCCTTCAATTAGTTTATCCCTCCATTTTACTAATTATTGAGAGGCTCAGCCAATGAGCCTTCCACTGAAAAACTTTTTAGGCTAATGAGGAGATAGGCTAGGCACGGGCGGCGATGGTTGAGCTTTTCCACGCCGGTGCTTACTTGGCTCGGGAGGTAAAGAAGTAGTTGTCGTTCTAAGATTATGTTGAATTTTGCTCATTTGACTTACAATTAGTTTATCGAACTCTTTCCCAATGCTCTTCCTTCTAAGATTTTGATTACTTCAAAGGGTTGTCAGTTCTGGACCGAACCGATGATTTTTCGGTTTGGTTCCGGATAGCCGAAGATTAAAAACTATTTTATCATTTCTTTATTTAGGAATGACGTGTGAATGTTTCGGACTGTATTTCAACCATTGGAAGTGTGTGGCTCTGCTGATGGTATTTTCGCAAGTTTAATTTTTTCATATTAGCTAACTTAAAAAAGGATGGCGCTACTTTAGAAAATGCGTCCCATGAATTTTATGCGTCCCAAAAGGTATAAACGTCCCTGAATTAGTATAAGCAAGCAGTAGAGATCGGAACGGTTCCCTTAAGGCATTTTTAATTATTCCCACAAATTTCCTTAGGCACTGAAAATGGAAGGAATTTGGTTTCTTGGCCTTCCAAAATTCTCAAAATTTTGCTTGCATTATGAAAAGATAGTTCCAATGGAAGGCTATAGAGGGCTTAGGAGTGACTAACATAAGTGGATTTTGAAACTAACAAAGATATCGAGAAATCTGCGACGATTAAGTGTTTTTGGGTCTTTAGATTATCTAGGTTTGGGATTTGTGATGAATATTGAGGGATTTGGTTAGCTTAAAAGGATCTGGACTGATATTCTCTGATGGGACGCATATTCAATTTCAAGAAGATATACTCTAAGGTCTCGCTTATACTTTTTTGTGATACACATATACTCAGATGGGAACTTATGAAATTCTCAAACTTTGTTGGAACGCAAATGGGCAATAGTTAAATTTGTGTTTCCCCTTTTTTTATTTTTGTTGTGGTGTACCGAGGTAAAAGTTCTGAACGTGACATGTAATTCGATTTGTCTCGACGAGCTGTCGAACGGTACCACTCACAATTTCAGGAAATGATTCTGGACCGAGTTATTATTTGCATATTCGAATTTTTCACTCCAAAATCGACCTTTCTCCCCCTATGGTTTTTCAATTTTTGGGGTAACGTATTCTAAAAATCGATATAGCAGATTAACCCAGAACTACTTTTAAATGAAAGAAGAGAGTTTTGACAGGCTTGCACCGATTAGCCACGGTTTTCGATTAAAAGCAGGGGTCATCTTTAAGAAGTCCCAATGTCACCCCACGTACTCTCGTTTGTTAAAGAGTGATATCGTTCGACTCATAACCGAGAGGAATCGAATGAGCTATAATTTGGCACTTTTTGACGGGGGTCCTCGATTAAACTATATCCCTCTAACTTCATTTTCGGGTTCTGTGTTAACTTGCTGTTTCGGGTACTTATTTAGTTCCCCCCCCCAGCCAGTTTTTTCGGAAATTATGTAAAAATGGTATCATTTGTAGATTTTCGTATTTATGATTTTATGCTCCTGTGGTTTAGGGGGTCTGTATTTCGGTCAAATGTTGTCCGATTTCGGTGATTTTGGTGTCATTCGACACAGCTCGATGGGTTCTACAATTGTTGTTCAGACTGACCATTTTTACATAATTTCCGAAAAAACTG